ATTTAAAAATAAATTAATTAATATATTTTATTGATTAATTCATAAAAAAGTTCATAAAAAAGAAGCAATTAATGATCGATGCAGAATTCATTTCGAAATTATCCAAAAATGACGAAAATTATGTTGAAATCCAATTAAATATTCAACATAAAAAAGTTTTATTTCAAAAATTTGACTTCTTTAATGATTTAATGAATTATTTAATGAAATTAAATTAAATCGATTTTTGAATTAATTTTCTGAAACAATTTGTTGGCAGCTGACACTATTAATTATTTGAAATTATATTAAATCTTTTCTTCTCATTTCACCGAATTGAACAAAGCAAAGAATAGAATGAATATTTCTATTGTATGAAAGAAATTTCAATTTTCATAATTGAAATATTCTGTTTGAAAAAAATTTTAAATTAAGAAAAATTTCATTAGACAAGAGAAAAAGAACATATGCAACGCAACGTAAAGATGAAATTTTGAGTTGTGATACGATCAATGAAAATGATAAGTAAATATAATTATTGAAATTAGAATTAAACTACAAAAAGTTATTAGAATCAATCGATAAATGAAAAAATGAAATTTGTCAAAATATATGAAAAAATTGAAAACGGAAAAAAACGAATTGCTTCAAATATTTCAATTCAATTTAAAATCATTCAAAATTTATGCTTCAGATTTTTTAATTCATCTTTAATTCAACACAATTATTTGCAGAAATGTTTAAATTTCGAAAATTTTCATCAAAGTTTTTTATAGGATTAATTTCAGGAAATTTAAAATCATTGAAATCATTCATGCAAAATGTCTGATCGGTTTTAATAAATTTTCATATAATACCATAAATTGTGGATCAGTGGAATCAAACATTAACGACTATATGTGTTGAATGTGTTGACCCCTAAAGTAATTACTTTAAGATTTCAAACTTTTTAAAATTCATTCCAATATATACTTCTTTTAAGTAATCTAATTCTTATAATTTCTCGCCCGAGTTTTTTCAATAATTATTTAAAGGAAATGAAAATTTTCCCAATTAAAATTGAAAATATCGTTTTTAAGAATGTGAGCAAAAGAAGCTTTAGTTTGTCAAATACTCTGTAAGTAAAAGAAGCTGGCATGAAACGAATAAACTTTTCCAATCGTATACAATAACAAATTGGAGTGAAATACAATGAAAATACTTTTGATAAAAATGATTGATATTGAAATATACAAATTGATAATAATTAAATTGAAATATTTAATTTTTTTTTTAATTAAACTAAATCCAAAAAAACTTTTATTAATTTAATTATCGATTTGTATATGTTATTTTTACAGTTTAAATAAAGTATGAAGTGGTGAATTATTTTTGACTTAATAAGAGATGAAGCAAATATTAGGCAAGCTGGTAGAAATAAAACTTTTTTACTTTTCTCCTCAATTTTGATTTCTCTTTCCATTCTTTATATCCAAATTAAACGGGAAAAAAGTGAAGGAAAAGAAATAGATGAAAATGAAATCATTGCAAATAGTAAGGATAAGAAGAGAAATTTTAATGTTACATTTAAAAGTATTAGCTTAGCTTTTGCTTGAATAGTTGTTGAATTGAATGAATTATTCAGAATAACATTTTTTGAAATTTGGTGTGAAAATGAATCATCGATCGCCTACCTATATTGTCGTTCATATCGGATGAAACAAATCATTTCAACTTAGGATATTATTGACCCATACTTATATTACATTTTTCCCGTCATAAACTTTAACTATAATTGCACACAATATTTGATTATAAAATCAACTTTGGCATTTAGCAATTAAAAGAAACTTTCAATCTATAAAGCTTTTATAAATAAGCCATGAAATAAGAGAAAGAGAGAGAGAGAGAAAGGAAGAGAAAGGAAGAAAATGTTAAAAAGCTTTTAGAAATAATCCATGAAGTTAAGATATGAGAAGAAAGTGGAAGAAGAAGAAGTTTAAAAAAGGATGAAAAAATGCTGAGATTAGAAAAAGAAATTTTTTTCAAATAATAAAATAATACAATTGGAAAAACAAAAGGAAAAACCATTAAGGTAAGAAATATAATTAAGCAAATAAATTCCTTCTTTAAATGTTGCTGAATGGATTCAATTGAATGTAAAAATTAAAATTAAAATTAAGATATTGAAATGGATTAATTATTGTATGTTTATGATAACAGCTGGAAATAAAGAAGTAATCAAATAATTTGAGATAAAATAAGAAAGACTAAGTATGTTCTTCAAAAGTAATACAAACTTGTGAAAAGTTATATGGAATTGATAGATAAAAAAGTTTCGTAATAACTTTAAGGTTTGTTTGAAATCAAATATTTCACACTCACTATTTTATTTCTTTCATTTAATTAATTCAACTATAATTAATTCATGCAAAGTTTTGTTGTACAACACAGATTGTCGTCGTATTTTGAATTTCTGCAAATTGGAATTTTATTTAAACCTTAATTGTTTTCAAATTTGAATTTCTTGTAAATTTCATTTTTTTTAAGATTTGAATAATTTGAAATTTTGCAAATAAATTTAGAGATAGTGAGAAGTTGTAATTCCGACGATTAGAAGATTATTATTGTTAATGTTATCAATTAGACGCTTAAAAAGTTTTCATTCCTTTCTTATCCTCAATTTTTCCTCAATTTTAAGTAAATATTTCTTATATTAATTAATTAATCTTTCAGTTATTTGAATGTAATAAATGTTTCCAATAAATGGAATTATCGGTAATTTTTAGCATGAAAATCAATAAATACAAAAATATTCAGAAAGTTTGTTAACAATGATTAGTTTTACGACACTTTTTTTAAAATGACATTTGATGTTAATTTAACTTCCAATTATTTGATTGTTAATTTGTTATGCAAATATTTTAATTATTTTAAAATGATTTCAACATGTTGATTGTTAAAATTCTATGTACTAAATTATATTATATATATCATATATTATAGTTATATCATATATTTTTCAAGCATATATCATATATTATATCATACATTAGCATATATCATATATTTTCAAATTTTTGGGAATGATAACTTCTAAACCATTCTCTTCATCTTTCATTCCTTCCTTCATATTCGCCTAAATGCTACTTTTCATATTATTTAGATATTTAAAAACTTATATTTAAAAACTTAAGAACTTGAAAACTAATTAACATTTTGTAATAAAATATTAAAATGAAAAAGAAAAACGAAAAATCTGAAACAATAGCAAAGGTTGATGGTCATAGAATATAATTTTTAAATTTTAAAAACATTTAAGTGATCGTTTCAGGGAATGAATCAGCCTGTTAAATCTAAACATTAAAATGATTTTCAGTATAAAAAAAGATTAGCTTAGAACCTTTAATAAGCCATATGGTATGGTAAATCATTCTATTTCTTATTTTCTTCACTTTAATTGTTCTCATTCAATTTTTATTTAAATATAAATTAATTAACTGAAATTGAAATAATTGGCTAAAGCAATGTAATTTATTAATATATCATTTGGTTAAGTGTTAAGTATCAATCAATTTTAGGAAGGAAAGAGAAATCAGTAAGAAAGTATCAATTCTAATTGCATAACCGGAAAATGCTTCTCTCAACGGATTTCGCTTCTTCCCGTGAGAATAGGAAATAGCAATTCTTTCGCTCATTTTTTAATTTTTAATTTCTTCAATTGCTTTATAAGCAAAGAAGAAGGAAACTAAACGAAGTGCAATTTGTGTAAATAATGAAAGGATGCTTATTAAATTACAGCATTGTGTACAACCATCGATTTTAGGCCAAACTGACAACTAATCAAAAGACGGAATGAATGAATTGACAAAAAGGAATTATTCATTTATATTCTTAAACATATGCTTTATTATGCATTAATGTTTAGTATTAAACTATATACATATTTATAATAATAAATTGAAAACGGTTGAAAATATAAAATATGCTATTAGAATTTTAATAATTAAATAATAAGATAAAAAATAAATAAATATTTTTTGTTGTTAATTAATTTTTCATTTCATTAATTATTTGCACAATGAAATGTTAAAAGGAAAATTATCTGATAGTTTAGTATGAATTTGTTGTTTTTGTTGCAAATAAATTTTTAAATTACCTATGCATTAATTAAAATTGCTAATTTAAATTTCATATATCATTATGTTGTAATATATATTATATGAAGCAAAAGAAATTTTTACTATATCATTAAACATTTCTTTTTCATTTTATTATTAAGGTAAATGGCAGTTTTTACTTTTATTAAAATAATTTCAATTATTTCTTTCACTTTGTTTTTAACCTTTTTGTTTATTTCACTTCAAATAATTTTATTTATAAATATTTATTTTGTATATTTTTGTTAGAAATTTTAACGATATTAATTGATTGATACATGAAGAATTGATATCTTTAAATTATCAATAGAAAATTTCTGAATATATTGAAATAAATATGCAAATGAATTATCAATTTATTAATTACAACAAGTTTTGATGTAATTTAAAACAATAACTGATAATTCATTTTGATTTTTCATCTTATAATTCTCATTTTTCATCAATGAAACAGAAGAAGAAAATGAGAATAATGATGAAATTGAAAACTTTCCGAAATTTAATTAAATTGTACGTAAACAAATGTGTGTGTGTTTTTGTGGTAAATTACAATTTTGTCCTAATTTTTGAAGGAAATAAAACAAAAATTGGAAATGAAAAAAACAAAAAAGAAATTCAAAAATAAGCCAAATTTTTATTAACGGCGAATATCCTAAAGATCAGCGATCAACAAAAACTTATATTAAATATCTTTGTGATAGATAGATAATGTTTATAATGTCAACAAATATCATATGATAAGATTGCAACGAATATATATGTGTATAATTAATGTTTATAATGTCATGTTGTAATTGTAATGAATATGTGAGTAGACACCTGAATTATTTAAAACAAAAGTATTTTGTTGTTTGTGATAAAAAAGGAATTGAAAATATAAAACTAACTCTCAAATACTTCGTTTCCATTTTCCATGATATCCCTTCCAAATTTGGATTTATTCAAATCATAATGTTGTAATTCGTCTAATTTCTGTCGCCGTGTATAACGCTATAAGAAAATATATAATATTTGCTGAATTTTATGCCATTTAAATATTTTGAATTTAGGCGAATTTTTTTCTTTTAATATAAGAAGAAAAATAAATTTAATATTTTTAGTATTTAAATTTTTGAAACGACTCAATTATATTATTCTGTCCCTTATTGTTTTACTTTCTTTCTTCATTAATTTGGAAAAATTCCTGAAGTACTTTTTTTGGCATATTCATTCATAATTTAATTTTTTGACATATATAATTTATACATAGAAACATATAAATAAATAAATAAATAATAAATAGACAATTAAATAAATGAAAACTGAGATATTAAAAAGAATCCATACGGGTTGCATATTTTGTTTCTGAATTCTAAACTGGAAACTGGCATTTGGATCACAAATTGCTCCCTGATGATATTTACCGCATGATTCACATCTATCGGTGCTTGTTTTCGATTGCTGATTTGTACTGCTATTAACTGGAATGAAACTTGTCACCGCTTCTACCATATTATTACTTCTAGCTTCTTCTTCAGAACATCCCAATACTTGCGTCTGCTGCAAATTAACTTCGTCTCGACTTTCATACAAAACAAAAATAAAAGTTGATTTGATCGACGCCCAATAATTTTTTATAAATATTTCTTTTTATTTGATAATTAATTAATTAGCATAATTATTCGGCACCTTTTATTCGTATGAAAATAATTTAGTGAATATTTAGAACAAGAAATATGATTGTTTAGAAATATTAAATTACTATTTGATTTATTAGAATTAATTAGATGAAAATAGCGAATGAAAGCATACTGTCCATGGAATATCATCATCGTATGTGATCGTTGATAAAGGATTTGCTAAATCGTGAATTTCTGATAAGACTAACGGCAGTTTCGGTGATGAGGAATTGTTCATTTTAAATGATTCCGCCATAATGCGATTTCTTTTGTCACCGAAATGATCTATTCGTATTTGTGCAGTGAAAAACTACACGAAATTTTATTCATTTTAAAATTTAAAATCAATTTTATTTGGATAATATTATGATACGATATATTTCAGGCTGCTTGGAAATTGCTCATACGACGAAAAAATGTGTAAAAACAATAATCATAGGCAATGCATTTAGCTTTCATTAAAAGTATTCGTTAATTGATTATGATGATAATTATTATCAAGTAATTACGATTTTGCTAATTGGCAAAATATATCAATAAATGCTAGCAAAAATATTCTGAAACTGAAAAAAAATATTGACGTAATCGTAATTACTTGCTAATAATTAAAAAATGAATAAATAATATTTTGCATTGCTCAATTTTGTCATTAAGATAAAGCACTAAAGCAACTGATATGATATGATATGATATGATATGAATAAAGGATATTTAAATAAAAGTTGTGTCTATCTACATTGAATACTACGCCAGCAAGCATTAATAGCTTCATTATTAACAACCATTAATGCTATTAAAAAAATCAAAATAAGCATAATATTTCAAGAACTAAAATATAACTCATTGGTACATAAAAGTTATTGTTGGTGACAGCTTCGACAATAAAATTTTGTGTGACAGCTTTTCTTTTCTACATAATTTAAAATACTTTCTGTTAATTTAAATTATTCACAATTATCATTTTTGCTTTTTTGCTATTTCAATCATTCAAACACTGAAATTCATTAAATGAAAATGCAAAAAGTTTTGATTTAAAATTGAATAATTTTGCACTCAAATATTAGTTAAATTATTTGTAATTTTCTCAAATTATATTTAATTTAATTAACAGATTAATTAGCAAATGAAAATAACGAATTATTTATTTGTTTATTTATCGATTTACTAATTAATTCAATTTAGATTATTTCTTAATTCGCAATTCCATGAAATAACAAATGTTTGTTAAAAAAATCAAAATAATTGTATTAATATAATCAAAGTGTTTTTGTGTTATAAAAACCTTCGCTGTAAATAATTGTTTACTTTAAATATTCATAGCTGTCATTTATTTTTCATTTTTTCCTTAATTTTTCCATTTAGAAATTAAAAAAAAAAGAATTATAAATGATCGATTTCATTTATTAAATGTTAATTGTTTTTGTTTATTTATAGTTCTTTCTTTTAAAAATTTCTAATAGTATTGTGAAATGGTTCATTGTTTACTTACTCTTCTTTGTTTACTTTAATTTTTCTTGTCCAAAAAAGAAATTATAAATAATATAGTACTCATTGAATACTATTGTGTGTGTGTGTGTGTGTGTGTGTGTGTGTTTGTGTGTATATTGTAATGCTACCAACAGGCTTCTAATAATTAATATTACCTGTAGTATTATCGACAGTATCTAACCTAACAATTTACTCAATCCATGATATTGTTTGATAATTATCATGAATAAACTCTTCATTAAATATATTAAACCTTCGATTATGCCACATTAAACTTTCACTCAAAAAATTAACTGTATTTATGCTCTCAGAAATTTATCTTTTAAATATTAAAACAAATGGCACAAATACTAATCCAATTTGTTTGCATTTTTAAATTTTAGTCTTAACAAAAAACTGATTTAATTGAAATTTCCTCTTCATATTTTCAATTTCTATTTTTTATTAATTAATTGTTAATCCTAAATATTATAGCAATATTTAAGTAAAATAAATGTAATTTGAATAAATCTTCCAGGAATGATAAAACGATAATTAATTGATAATGAAGTTTAGTAAAGTTACTGCGCATATTTTACCAAAATTTATTATCATTACAAAGCAACATTTAACAGTCGAATAGACTGAAACTGAAATTGAAACTTTTAGTTTCAGTCTATTCGACGGCTGAAAAGTTTTAATGAGAGTTAAATAAAGTAGAAGAGCTATTATAAAAGGTTTTTCTTTTCCTGAAAGGATAGATATGTGAACCGATCGATTTGTTTACGACAATTAAGATATGAAAATATCAGTAAGTCTAAATATTTCTCCGGTATTATTTATAATATTTCATCAGATATTATCAAATAGGGAAAGCTTTCATTAAACAATAGAAAAAATTTAAATGAATTCGAAATTTGCAAAATTTAAAACTGACATTTTTACTTTCATCAAACACTACTGAAGGAATTTTTTATTACAAATTTTTAATAAATTCACTTCACACTCAACGAAAAGTTTTTTCGAACCCAATTGAATAATTTGTTTCTTAATTTTTGCTCGAAAAGTGATTAATTATTAATTGTTAATTAGTAAATTATAGATATGTAAACCTAAATAAGTTGTAATAATTAAAACTTAACATTTCTTCCGCAGTAAACGACTCGTATCATTTCATTCTTACAATTCAAATAAATTTTCTTCTAAAAAATAATTATATCTATACTGAAAAAATACTTCGATTGCTAAAAAGTATTATTAAAACTTCCATTTGTCAAAAATAAAAATAAATTTAAAAAAATTTTTCTTTTTATATATTTTTTCATAAATGCTAAATGTTTCCGCAATTTTGACAGTTATTTTTTATATTTCAGACTTTGTTTTGGTTTTGGTTTGATTATTGAGTATTGAATTTCGATTATCAAATATTAAATTTAAAGTATTGTCTTGTAAATAGAGCGTTGCAAACATAAGCGATAAGTAATGAGACAGAATGGATTACCATAGTAACAACAAATAACACAAGCATTTCTAACGAGCTATTTCACAGTTTTGGCAAAATAATCAGTAATTCGAATTTCAACATTTCGATAATTGTTTTGGAGAACGGATGATATTTGTATATTTAAGCAAAAAGGTTACATTTTCAATTCATTTAATTTTTTCCTTAATATAAGAGAAAAGAGAAATGAAGGAAAAGAAAGAGAAGAAAACTGTTTATTTGCATAAACACCTCATCATCGAAGAGAGTTTCGATTAATGGCAAAAAGTTGACATTACTTGATGTCATCTTCTGGTGACATCTCATGATGACATCCAATCATATGTTATGTAATCCATTGCCATTGAGTGAATATTGGAATTTCATGTGAAATGGAATGAAATGAACAAATTGGTAGTGAATATCGTTTATAACGAAAACTACTACTATTATGCAAGATTTGATCGATGAAAAACTTTAATAAACAAATTTTGATAAAAGTTTCAAATATTTCCAGCATGATATTTTAGATTTCAATTCCGAATAATACCAAGCTATATTGTGTATCATGGATGAAATCAGAAGGATATATTGCAACTGGTGGAAATCAGGGACTTCTTAAAATTCTTAAATTACCAGGAAATTCACGTTAGTAATGTTTTGGTTGAAGTTTGCTATGTTTTAATTTCATTTTGAAAGTTATTAAATATATCCATTTGACGGAGCTAAAAAAAGGATTGCTAAGAAATGTTCCCATTTTTATTTTTATGAATATTTATAAACTCTGCGACTTTTAATATCTTAAAATTTATGTTTTTGAAATTCCTTTTCCTCTTCTTCAAAGAAAAACTTCAATTTAAAAATTTCTTTTTTAAAAAAAGGGAATATTCATCTTTTTAAATATAAGAAAATTATTTAAGTATAATGCGACCGATCATACGACAGGTAGATATGATTGTGGTAAATTTTACAGCAAATAACAATGCGTTATCATCAACAGTATCGAACAATTTGTCGATGAATCAAAATTTAGATGGACATTCAAATATTGTCCACATAGCGGTGTGGAATGAATGTTATCAAAAGTTAACAACATGTGATAGCAATGGCTTGATAGTTGTTTGGTTAACACAAAGTGATACGTGGTATGAAGAAATGATCAACAAAAGGAATAAATCAACTGTGGTTGGTATTGTATGGAATCATAATGGTACTAAAATTGCTATCGCTTATGAGGATGGTTTGTAATTTAATTATTGCAATTAATTCTTTATCATTGAAGTACTGATTTTAATTTAAAATATCAATCCTAAAATACATAATTTAGTACAACATCATGTTAATAAACAATACTTATCATACTACTAAAATAAATAATATTTATCGTACAATAATATCATTTAATTTTTTCCTATTTCTACTGATAAAAGGATTAATTATTGGAATAATAAATTTTTAAATTAACTAATACTTACTCTAACATAATATATACTGAAATAAAATTTTTGTGTTTGAGTACCAAACTATATCAGAATGATAGGAAGAGGCATAAATTTATGAACCTGATCCGGAGAAGATGATAGAAAATGATAAATGATTGTGGTTGCATAAAAATGCTGAATGTAGAAATTAATCGAAAAACGGATGAAGACAAGATAGATAAATGGGATAAATGGGAAAAGCTGATATAGTGCGCTGATTTTCTTTTTTATCTAAAAGTGAAATTGAGAAATTTTTAATTAGTTCAGACCATTTTGTAACGAATAGAACGGATATATTCTAAAAGGTTTCACATTCTTTCAATTGAAAGATCGCAAAATTTTAAATTGAAAATGATTAGAATACGGAAAGAAGCATAGAAATTACATTCATTTATCAATTAGTAATATTATAAAGATCCTTCTGTCGTTAAACTATAATTATTTCCTTTTAGGGCAAGCAATTGTTGGTTCGGTTGATGGAAGTCATTTATGGAATAAAAATGTTGCCAGCAATTTGGTCGCACTTTGTGTAAATTTTCATCATTGTTTTAGATCAGATGATATAACTGATAGAAAAAAGCATTCGACAGCAATTTGGAAAATATATTTAACAGTTTTAATCAATTTGAATTTGAATATAAATTATATGAATTCAATAATTTTTGATGAGAAATTTTATTTTATTTTTTTAAAGTTATCATTCCTTGCTTGCATGCTTTTATTTTTCTTTCAAAATTATCGTTGTGTATTTTTATTTATTTAAAATTATCATTAAAACAAAAAGAAATTTCCGATGACCAAACGGATCCATTATTGATAATTGATAATTGCATTTCACATTTAATATTAAAATAAAGTTTCAATTAATAGAATTTAAAATTTTCCAGTGGTCAGGTGATTCAGTATTGGTATTTTTCGGTTTGATAGATGGCGAAATACATTCATATGATGCAACAGGTGCATTTATACATAAGTTACGAATGTTTTCTATTGAAAATGTTGAATTGGAAACAGCTCTAAACAGTAAGCTCTTTCTAATTTCCAGCCCGATCGATGATTTTTTTAATTATGAATTTCTTCTCTTGTTTTTGTCCGAAAAAGAATTCAAATCGATGAGATTATTGAAGTCAGTACATTTTTAGTTGAAATTTTATTTCAGAAGATTTAAGCATTACAATTGTTTCGATGGAATGGTTTAGTCCATTATCTCAATCAAATAAATATCAGGCTAGTTTTGGTTAATTTGGGATGATTAAATATATATCGGAAATAAATATGAAAAAAGTAATTCTAAATATTACCAATACTCTACTTCTTATTTTAAAGTTTCTTTTATTTCTTCTATTAATTAAATAATGTACTATTTCAACCGTAATCAGGCTTATTGATTGTTAAATTTTCGGTATCACGACGAATTTATATCCCGGATGATCGACCGCGATTTCTTGTTGCATACAATCATGGTATGGTACAATTGATGAGACATGAAAATGATTCAAGTAAGTAGTATTGCAGTAAAAATGAAAATGTAAACGTAATAAAATTAAGCATTACTTATTCATAATTTCAACAAGAAGAAAAGGTGAATATGCTTCTCCCTTGGTAGTAATAATTGATTTATTCAGATCCGGTCATCATCAAATTACCAAATATGATTCTTAGTAAGGCTCGCTGGTCACCGGATGGTTCAATGATTGCAATTTGTGGTTTACAAACCGATTCGGAGGATGAAAAATGTGTAGTACATTTCATTAATGGTTATGGCGAGGTTAACTAATTCCATCATTCCATATATTTTAATTTCGAAAATTTTTATTTATCACAAATTCAAAATTTTGATATTTACTGATTATCGTTGCATATTTCTATCACAAACTTTTATTTAAGAAATATTTTTTAAAGGGAAGTACTTTATAATTCTTTTGAATAAGTTATTGACAACAAGAAAACATTAGGAAAATATTTTGCAACTTTAAAAAAAAACCTATTCTTCTTCTTACTTTCTTTATGGCATTGTTTCTCAAATTTTAGCACTTAAGAAATTTGTCAATACCAGGACAAGGAATTGCTGATATATCTTGGGAGAGTGATGGCTTACGACTTTGTGCAGCGGTTGACAGCCACTTATTTTTTGCTAACATTCGACCAGATTATAAAGTAAATACTGCAAATATTCAAATTACGACATTATATATATTTACGATAAAAATTAAAAGTAATATATTTAGATATATTGATGTAATAATTGATAAATTATTAATTGGATAATTATTCAAATTAATACAAGCAAATTACCAAAGATTCAGTTCCATAACTTTCTTTCTATGAAACAATATTCTTTGATCTCTTTGAAATGTTATTAGCAAGGAATGAGCTAAGTTAGGCAATAGTAGAAGTTTCAAAGTCATATATAGTAATATTATATTTTTAATGTAATTTTTAAATTTCATTTTTAGTGGGCCTATTGCGGTCAAGCGGTGATTTATTCGTTTGAAAGAATGGAAAGCAAAGAGCATTGCGTGGTATTTTTTCAAATAAATCTTGAAGAAGTTTATTTGCAATACGCAAAACCTATCGTTGCATTAGCTGCATCCGATGAACATTGCATTCTAATATCACGTGTTGAGAATCAGTTAGGCCAGGTTTCATTACTTTTCACTATTATCATTGATATTATTTATTATCTATTCGTTTTAGCTTACCAATTTTAGCTACAACGTTCACACGGATATGTAACAATTAGCGTCAATGATTTTTTTAAATGTTCAGATTTATGAATTTGTACTTAAACAATAGCGAAATATGTAATTAAAAAAACGAATTATTTAAGTACTAAAGGAAAAATTAAGTAATTTGATATTCAAATAGGCATTTTAGATGAATATTAAGAGTGATTTCATTTTTAGTATCTCATGCAAATTTGCAATGCTATCGGAACAACAATCGATTCTAAATATCTTAATTTTGAGCCAAAGCATGTAGTAATGAATGATTCTGAAATTGTCATCGCCAGCAATTTATCATTCACTATTTGGCAGTATAATAATCCATGTGCTATTAATCGTACAGACAATTTAAGTGCTGATAATTCAATTCAAAGCGATCAAAAGTGATTAATTTATACTTCGCTGATTAAAAATAATATTTGATTCTTTCGATGCCTTCAATAAATATTTTGATATCTCTTAGTTTAAAAAATTTCGAAATATAAATAAAATTTCAGATTGTACTACATTGATGAAACTGATGAAATCGATACAGCTTCATTTGATCTCATCCGAAGACGATCACAAGTTTGAAATGTTTTACATTAAATTACAAAACATTTATTATTGCAACATAATTCATCCCTTATTTCACGTATTATTCATTAAGTTAATTAATAAGTTAGCATAAATATACGTTGGATATATATGTATTATGATTCTTGGTTAAAATATTTTATTTTATACAATCATTGCTCAAAATTTATTTCAGCAACAAAAGGATGAAATATGCGCGATAGGAATCTCAAAAAATTTTATTATTGTTGTAAGTTCTTCTCTTCAATCGTATTTTTCGAAATATTTCCAAAAATTCTTTTGATATATGCAAATTTTCATTTCTAAGATTTTCTCTTTGGTATATAATGTCATCTTCTCTTACGTTTTTTGAAATTTTTTGCAGAGAAAGAGAAGAATAATATAATTAACAAAGATTATAATTAGTAATAATATGATATAAGTAGCTCAAATTACGTGAATTAATGTTTGATAATAGATCACGTTAAATTAACACTTGAAAAAAGAAATAATTATAGTGTCGAAATTCTGGAATGGCTAATTATTATTCATTACCAGAAGTAACATTGCAATCAACTTTTAATTTGGGTTGTTGTGTAGAAAAATTAGAATTGAATTGTAATGGAACACGATTAGCTGCACTTACGGTCAAAGGATTAAAATTATTCGAATTACGCAATAATACCATAATATCATTATATCTTGAGCGAAGCGATGTTTGGAATATTAAATGGGATTCGGTAAAAATACAATTTTAAAATTAATTTCGTATTATGCAATATTGAACAAAATATTTAAGTACAACTTATTTAATTAAATTAAAATTTCTAATCAGCCATTCTTGTTTTGCTCACATATGTGTTGACGATAAATGGAAAAATTTACATCAAATTTGAATATATTAAATAAATGTACTCAAATTTCTGTAAATAGGTATAAAATTTGAGTAAATATATTATGATACTATCGGAATTCATTTTTATCTAATTTATTTAAGGAAAAAGATGATACGATAGCAGTAATGGAAAAAACGAGGCTTTATGTTATACGAAATAAAGAAATTGAAGAACCAGTTTTTAACAACGGTTACATATGCTCATTCAAAAATCTTATTGTCCGTACCGTACTTCTCGATGAACTGATGAAAAATCCTGAAACACCTCATAAATCGTTTATTATTGATGTCGAAATTAAGGTAATTTAATAACTTCAAAATTAAGGTTATCACCTAATAGCTAACTATCATTTATGAAATAAATAATTGAAAATGAAAATGAATCGTGTAATTATTAAGCTTTTCATTTGAGAGAAAAGCGATAACTTTATGCAATAGCTTTATTTGATAGAAATTAAAATTTAAAAAGAATAAGTTTTTGCCGAGTTTCTTTCCAGCTGCTTCGAAATGTGAAAAGTCTCTTAGAGAAGATGAAAATTCAAGAAGCAACAGCATTTATTGAAAAAAATAATCATCCCAAACTATGGGCATTATTAGCTGAGGTAGCATTAAATCGTTTGGATACAGTTGTTGCGGAACATGCATTCGTCATGTTGAAAGATTATGCCGGAATACAGCTTATCAAACGGGTCAATGCTTTACAAGTAAGTATATCGCATCATAATTACTACACAATTTAATCTATTGATTTTATCTTACCTGCGCATTATTACTTATCATTTTCAATTATTACAGAAAAAATTATTTAAAAAAGTAAAAAATTCCAATATTTTTATGTAAATATTCTCAGCATGATGGCTTCAAAAAAGCTGAAATAGCAACATTTTATGGATATATCGATAAGGCGGAAAAAATTTACATGGAAAATGATCGACGTGATTTAGCAATTGAACTTAGAGAAAAAATGAATGATTGGTTTCGAATTGCGGAAATTTTGCAAAAAAGTAAACAACCAGGTGATGATGAATTATTGAAGAAAGCATGGAATCATATCGGTGATTATTATGCTGAACGACAAAAATGGTACGATAATAATGATTATGAAATTTTCTTCGGTTTAATTACATTTAGCATGTCATATTATATTATTAGATGGCATTCAGTAATCAAACTTAAAATTTTTGTCATTTTTTTAAACTATCAGCAATTGATATCATTGACAAATTTTCAACTACTCACTGTATTTATTATTCAATTCAATGAAATGATATAGTTGTAAGAAGTATTAACCTTTGACATGTTAGCAGAATAATCCATTTTGCCGAAAGATAAATTAAGAATGAAAAATTCATTTCAGGAAACAAGCAGAAAGTTATTATGAAAAAGGAGAAAATCATAAGCAATTGATTCGGTGCTATCTAATGGACGATAATTATGATAGTATGGAATTGTTGGCAAAGCATTTACCAGATGGAGACAAACTTATCGCAGTAAATTTTTGCGTCGCCGTATAATTTATTATTTATAATTAGCCAAATATTAATGAGCAATTACTTGTAATTTTTTGATTATCAGTTGTCAAAAGAATACTCCTTACTTTTCTTTATATGAAATCCAAATTAATTTTTTCTCAGTGAAAAACTGATGTAAAAATGAACTGATAAAATATAATTAAAATACGAAAAAGACAAAGGAAGTTTGAAATGAATTAAATTTCTCTTAAACTTTGTTTTCTTTTGGATTGGTATCATACTTATTCATAATGTAAATTTAAATTTAAAATTTTCTTTACTGCAGGAAATAGGTGAAATTTTTGTCGGTGCTGGTTTATGTGAACAAGCGGTACAATGTTTCGTACGGGTATGTATACCAATTAATTTTCATTATTTAATTGCATAAAATTATTGATCTTATTTTAAGCTCATACTTAATAATTTCTGCAAAATAAAACAAAACTTATTAAATTCATTTTTCGTTTTTTCTTGTACCCATGAAAATAATGTTTTATTAGCAAAAAATAAAGTTAAAATGAAATCTGTCAAAATTCTCGGGAGAAAATAAATTTAATTGAAAACATTTCTTTATTGATTGATTACTATCCGAGGGAAAGAGAATAGTTATGCAATCTTTGGGAGCGATAATCAATTTCGAGAGTAACAACATTTATGCGTAGAATGATGCAAATGATCTGAGCTATCATTGTCGTCGAAAAAAGAGATTATATGATGAATGAAATGAAATATTCATTTATTCAGTGTGGTATGTTTAATGAAGCATTAGATGCTTGCATACAATTGAATCAATGGGAACAAGCGGTTCAACTGTCCAAGACGTATAATCTACGTGATATTCACTTACTGCTTAACCGTTATGCTGAACAATTGACAGGTATGGAGAATTATTTATCATTTAAATTTCATTACTTTTCATTACGTTCACTTCAACATTCATTACTTCATACGACAAAAGCGCTACATATTTTGTTTTATCAGAAATGATAATATTATCTTTTATCAATATAATCGATTGAAAAATAAATGATATCATTGACATATTTCACAAAATGTAGTTGGAAAAGTTTCGCAAGGATTAATAATATTGCCATGTCCGAGCAACAAATAATAATAATATAATTCTTAAATAAAATATGAAAGTTGTTGAGTAGTATATTTTTAAAATGTAATTTTAAATTTTTGTAATAAAATAATTAGAAAAATTGCACATAGTATAAAAAGAACAATTAGAAGTAATTAAGAGAGCGATAATTATTGTTGCTTGTAGGAAGTAACGAGAAAACATTAGCAGCCATACAACTTTATCGAAGAGCTGGAAAATATTTGGAAGCAGCTCGTATTATTTTTGATGTACATTATCTTGTCCTTTTCTTAATATTCTCTTATCATTTCTAATCATTTCCATAATTTGTTTTAATTTAATTTTTGCAAGAGGTATGAGATAAGATTTTTGAATCAAACAGTGCTATTAAGTAAAAGAATACATTTACATTATATATTTTTAATCATTTATCAAATGGAGAATTCCATCGGATCCATTTTAATATTTTTAATTATTTAAAAATATTATTTTTTCATACAGTAATTCTTTTATTGAAAAACATTAATCTTTGAATTTATTATTTTAAATTATTGTTCGAACAAATGTTTTATAATTTTATTTATTTCTTTTCAATTATTTACACTTTTAGATTGCAAATGATGAACGTATGAAGCAAGCTGAAGTTTTACGTTTAAAAAAACTTTACGTAATGGGAGCTCTTCTTGTTGAACAGTATCATGAACAAAGTAAATCAGGAATTGCTAAGGAGTCAATAAATAAATCTGATGTTAGGCTTTACATTTTTCTTTTCTATATCACATGAGATAATTTGATATTCATGAACTCTCTTCTTATCAATCTAACTACTTTCTCTCTTTATCACTAGAAAATAACGTGTGACGTTGAAATTTGGGAAAATCACAAATTTAATTTTTTTTCAGAAATAATTGTTTAATGTATTTGAAAATCTCAGGAAGGAAAATGTTTGCATTTTAGGCAGAGATAGCTCTAAAAGGATTACTAGAAATAGATTGCAAAATTTCACTTGTTGATAGCTCTCTTATTGATAATGCATGGCGTGGTGCTGAAGCATTCCATTTTTATATGCTTGCACATCGGCAACTCTACAACGGTTAATTTTCTATTCAAATTTTTTTGAAAAGTATAAATAAATTTATTTTCAAAAGTTATAATTTAATTTTTTATTGCTAAAATAATTAAAATTAATATTTATTAATTTACAGTTGTAATTAAAATAAATGATAATGAACGAATAGCAATTAAAAGAATTTTGTGATATTCGATTAAAGGGAAAATTTCTCATTCAATGAAATTTTCCAACGTATACATTTTATTATTTTGCTTATTGATCGATCACATTTTTATAGCCAAATATTAATTCAAATAATGAATCATAGCATTAAAGTCTTATTTTCAAATAATAAACTTGAATTTTTTTACTCAATTTAAAAAGGACATTTTTTTTGGAAATTTCATAAATTCTGTTTGAAAGACTTTTAGGTGATATGGATAAAGCAATGATAACAGCTTTACATTTGACGGATTATGAAGATCTCATCGATCCGGCCGAAATTTATTCCCTTCTTGGTTGTTTATATTTGAAACTGTTTGTTTATTGATAGTTGTATAGTAAAATTTGAATTTTTCATTGAGGATCATTTAAACAATTTGGATGATATATGTAATGCTATCGAACCTGTAAATTTGTTTATAATATAATCAATGCGTGTTTTTCTTTAAACAAACTTCTAATTTAATTATTTGTAGCTTTATCGAGTTGCGCTGCGAGACAATTTGCAGTATGCAGTCGTGCATTCATCAAATTGGAAAGTTTAGAAACATTTACAGCAGATGAAAAGGAAGCTTATAAAAAACTTGCGATAAAAATTTTTACTAAGTAAGCGTATCTTTTATTTCACTGAAATAAAATAGGAAAAACGAAAAAGAAAATTTGTGAAAGATACTAATCAATAATTTATAGATATCCACCAAAAGATACGCGAATGAATAAAGTGGAATGTACGGGATGCTATGCACAAATTGAAGATTATTGCCAAGTATGTCCATCGTGTGATATTAAATTTCCAACATGTGTGGTAACCGGTCGACCGCTACTTGGTCATCAATTTTGGTTTTGCCTGACCTGTAAACATCGTGCCTATGAGCGGGAAATTAGTTTGTTGCAATTTTGCCCATTATGTCATGGGAAATTATAATGATATTTGATACTGAATGTATTTAAAATCGTTAAAAACGTTGAATATATTTAAATTTGATTCAAATAACGAATATATGTAAAATTGATGAAAATGTTGAATATTTAAAGTTGATTAAAATAGTAATTATGTTTAAAATCGATCGAAATTTATTGGAATCGCTATCTTAATAAATTGTCTTCTTAATTCTTTCCACTTCAAATCACATCTATTAGGTCTTACAAGTTATTTCATATCATTATTGCCAAGCATGCCCATCGGTAATATAAAATTCCCGACATATGTGGTATCCGGTCAATCGCTATTTGGTTATCAATTTTGATTTTGTCTAATCTGTAAACATAATGCCTTTTTGATAACATCTGAACAGAAATCAATTTCATTTCTTCTCCAACGCTCACTCTTACTTCACAATTCATCAGATATATCAAATAAAGGAGAAAATTGGAGAGTAAAAAAATATCATATGCTACATAAAAATATTATTCATTTGTAATTATTTCATTTTTTACAGATATTATTATGTAGAAAATAAATTTCATTATAAAATAATGAATTTCTAAAAATTAATTGAACTTAAATAAATTCATTAATTCATCAGAGTAAATGAAAAAAACTTTACGATAATCACTTGTGATAAGATAAATGATATCAATTCTGCACATCGCTTCTGAAATATTTGTATTTCTTTCAATAATTGCTTGCTTAACACATATGAAATAAAAGCTGACGAAAATTTCAAAAATTTTAATTCAAAATTTTGCTGCTGTTAACAGAAAGAAAAAAAATGTATATTTTATTATGATATATGAAATACAACATATCTGTAATTGTTTGATTTAAGTGTTAGGTGTAAGTTTCAATTTAAAATTTGTTTGATTGCTATCCAAGTTTTACGTTATATTTCTATCACATATTTTCATTGTCCCATTGAAGAATTTCATTGAACATTTTATTACACTACGACGCCGAATTTATTAAAAGATAAATTTATCTAATGAATGATTAAACTAACATGAATTAAAAAAAATAATACGTTTAAATTAATTATTAATTATGATGAAGGTGGAGAAGTTAAGCTTTAATGAAATTTCATAAATTTTTCAAAAGAAATGAAATTATGTTTGGTTTATTAGTAATACTTTAATCCTTTGGTTGGATATATATTTTTTCAGAGAGAAATTTATATTCACTTTTATTTCAATATTCTAATCACAAAGTAAGTAAATAAATTTTGAATACGAAAGTAAACAGAGAAAATTAAAATCTGTCATTATCGTTATGAAAGAATGAGAAACCTTTTTTAACTATTCGAACGTCGAAACATTTATTATACTTATTAAAAAAGAATCAAAAGTAAAAATTAAAAATGACAAATTTCAAAGAACATGTTCCATTGAATCTTATTAATCATATTCCTCGGAATTTACGGCATATTTCGTCCAATAATTACTGTTCTAATATATTAGTTTAAATTGTTTCAATAATTAATTTTAACTTTTTCAGTTACCTGCCAAGTATCGCAGTGAAATTATCAATGATAATGAATAATATTTTGAAAGAAATATTAGTTCATTGTTAACAATAATTAAATTACTGTAATTAGAAATGGAAATGAATTTGTGTATAAATTGGATTTTTAGGAAGGAAGAAAATATCATGCTGTCACGTTTTCAATATATTTAATAGCCGCTGATAATAATGATTAATCAAACAAGACTTACACATTCCGAAGAAGATTATGAAAAACCCGCTCTTGATATAATCCTTTATCATCTATGTTACTTATTAATTATTATTGTTTAAATTGCTTATGAGGAAATAATTATTATCTACCTACAGGGGATTTATTAAAAATTTTACCGGTCTTTTAATTACAAACTCATTTTCTATTCGAACATCATCAAGTTATTTCCCATAGCTTCTCTATTTGAGGAGAAAAGGATATAAAATTATGCAATTTCATCAAACTATTTCACACATAAAATATTTCCGTCCAATTCCGCGCATTAAATTTTGATTTCAAATTTTCAAAATTTCTTAGATTCAATTAAAAATTACAGATAGAGTTTTTTTCTTTATTGATTTCGCAATATTGCGATAATTCCACTATATTTTCAAGAATGAATAATTTCTGGTATCTATTATCTCTATGGACAATTTTTCATTTTTCCAACTCGCAAATTTCTTGTAAGTATTCCTGTAATTATTAAATTTCATAGTAATGATTAATTCAACAAATTCGATTAGTAATAAACTGAAATTAAATAAAATTTATTTATCTTTCTCGAACATTTTTCATTTTTGGTTGTAAGTATTAAATATTTATTTTAATTTGCACCTTAATATTGCATAATATTATGCTCAGAATAATAGAATTTTTTACATATTAAAGATTACGGTAATTAACAAAAACAAAGAAAAAATTTTTAGGTCAATTCAATGATAATATTTCAAGTTATGTGTTATCTTTCAGATAGAAAACACTTGAATGAACTTGAACCAAATAATGGCTTGAAACCTAAGTTTAGACCGAACGGTAAGTTATCAGTAACAAAGTTAAAAAATACCAGTTAAAAATATTATGATTACGTGTGCCAATACTATTACTGCTATTATTACCGTCATTATCATTAATTCTAATAAACTTCGAACACTGACAAAAAGCAATATGAAACACTTTAGACTTATGAAAATAATATAAAAAATTTTTCAGAAGTACAAAACCTAAAATTCAAATATGGAATTTTAAAAGATCAAGTAATGAAAAATACTGGTTCAAAATGGATTGGTCCCAATGGATTTCTTAGCTCCAGTCGTGCTATAATTCCTCAAGAAGCAGTTCATTTCATCAAAAAAGAAGCCAAAAGAGTGATTGAGAACAAACAGGGAACAAAAGCGGTGAGAAATACAAATATCGAATCGAAATCAGCTTACCAACAGAATCCAGATTTCAAATCTAGCCGAATTTCTATTTATCCACTTCATATAGCTAATCATTATTTGAAATTATCCAAAGAAAACGAAAAATATTTCTACGATCGTTTCAAAAAAAAACTAAACGATTCAAAGGAAACGTCATTTTCGCATGAAGTGAGTGATAAAGAAGGGATACATGAATCAAATGATACGATATCACCAAATGGTAAATTTAATCGGGCTTATATATTATCAACAACCCATGATTTTGGCGTGAAAGAATCACCATCCAATTATCAACTTCAATTAGCAAATACAACTGAGGAACTTCTTAAAATGCAAGAGAATTCATCGATCTCGTCAAATGACACCGCAAAAAAGGAATCGAGTCATGAAGTGGGAAGAGAAATAAAATCGATTAATGAATTTCAATCAGAAAATAGTTATACAGCAATCGCTGAAAAGAAAAAGCAGGAAAAAATACCATATTTAAACAGTCTTCCAACGGTAAAACTTCAAATCTTTACGATCAAAAATTTCCTTCTTTTGAAATAATACTAAAATTGAACCAAAATACTGTAAAATTGCCCAGATATACAGATCCAACACTGGATGTAGTTATGCCATCTTAATTGGGTATCTGATATGTAGTTATACTATTTAAATGACCTTATATTTGTATTGAGAGAGGATAGAATAAAAAATAATTTTAGCCAAGCCGCTGTCCGCCTCTTGATCCATTGCAACATTCATCGAAACATATTAACACGGACGAAAATTGCGGACAAAGTTTAGAGGGTTGGACAAAAGATCCTCAATGTGTTTGTGTATATTTTGTAGCTGAATATAATAATGAGGGTTGTCCAATTAAATTTCACACGCTATGTTATCGACCCATCGATCAGGTTGCCTATTAGTTATCACTCTTCCAAATGTATGTAATTAGTGATGATATAATGCTTTTCAACCAGTACCATATTTTCCAGAAATTAATTGTTGATTCTCTTCGGCTTTCTTTCATTTTTTATGAAAAATTCAATTATTTCAGAAAACTGATTACAAAACTGAAGGTCTACAAATATCTGAAAAATCTTTTGGACAAAACATCGAAACAGATTCCAGTGGACAAAGAGAAAAGATCGGTAATTATGATCACCAATCGACAATTGCCTATAAATTGTTAAACGAAAAGCGAGAATCGGAAATGATGGAGAGATCACGGATAGAGGGTGATAAGAAACTCAATCAAACAGTTCCAATAGATCAAGAAGCTGAATCAAAAGAATCTGAATCAAAGGGAGGAGCGGAATCGACATCTGAAACTTTTAACATAAATGAATTCAACAAAAGGAGCAATGAAACGTTGGAATCTTCGGAGCAAATTTAGAATACCTTCCCGCCAATATATTTAATTAAGTATAAAACGAAGAGCGAGGAACTTCAATTGTATCTTTACCTCTGTAATGATATATTCGTCCAACTTCATCTTAAATGAGTGCCATATCGAAAAAACATATGGGTTACTACTGGCCCATATCATCTGTTTAATGTTTAATGATCTAATATTTTTATATTTAGGATGAATGTAAGATTCATTTGTCAGTTAAAATTATCCATCCATAATGAAGACCAAAAAGCGCAGAAAAATACGTTAAGTACCATTTGTAGAACAAATGCATATTATCATTGATGTTTGCAGTTATCTAATAATGAAATTAAAATTTGCGGAAGAAAATTAAATGTCTTTCGGCATAATTTTTTTTAATGATATATTTTCGTTACAAGTACACGTCTACATAGAACTATTTTTTATTACAATAATAGTTGTAACGATCAGAAATAAATATTAAACAGAGAGATGAAAGCGATATGGTAAACAGCGAAATAAAAAGCACAGAATGGTTCTTTCTGGAACATCTGGTACTAGCCTGAAATACAACATTGCGAAAATCCATAGTTAGTTAAAGAGGAACTTCAATAAAGATTAGCAATTCAATCAGACTATACAGATAATGAACAATCTTTTTCTTTAAATTAAATGCTTAATTGAGATTGCACAACGAATTGATTACCGTGAACGATTGGAAAAAACTATTGAAAGTACTAGAAATATTGATCTCCGAATTCCCTTAAATCCTTGTCGCCTAAGGGATATCGCAAAAAGTACCGTAATTAAAATTAAATCAAACGGCTCAGCAAAATAATCCATAGCAGATCGGTATGTTAATTACAAACTATCAAAAGGGCTTTCAATAAGGATTGAGAGGATGGATTTTGGTTAAAAATATGGTATCCGAAAAAGAACAATTAACATATGATATAAATCTACGATAAAACAATGAAAACACGAAATGTGTTTCACTTCCTTAAACAAGAAAAAAACAAATCATTGGGTGTAACGAAATCGCACCTATCAATTAAGTGCTAATAGCTTGGGACAAATTAAACACTATCAGATGTTCCAAAACATCCAATTTCGGTCCAATCCTTTCCACTGCATTATTAAAATTGAATAAAGAAGTTAAATTATATAGCAAAATATTTTTCATCAATTATCTTCAAAACTTAGCATATAATTCTGAAAGTAGATCTGGAAAAAATGAAAATCTGTTCTTTCTTTCGAAAAATTGCTGAATGTACATCGCTTTCACTAACACATATATTTTTTCCTCATTAGCAAAAAAAAGATTTGCCCTATGAATATGCAAAGATTCAAGAAAAGGAAACAATCTGCAGTTTTACCCAATTTCCGGATTGTTTGAAGGATAATCTCGAAAACTGCTGAAGATGCGAATTATAACTTCATTTCTTTATGATTTGCAGAAATTACAAGAATTCCCGTAACAATTGATACACAGAGAAAACTTTATCTTACAAAAGGTCAAGAATAACTGACACTAAAAATACAAAAATTTTAAGAAAATTCCGCACATAAATTCTGGGTTGCCTCAATTCAAATACTCTAATTTCAAAGTTGACATTAATGAAGCAAAATTTTTAATCACAATTTTAACTGCACTCATACATGTTTAATAACAAATTTCAGCAAAGAAAAACAAAAATGAGGAAGTTACAAAAAAAAAAACAAATTCTCATGACTAAATGAATCGATCGTACAGTTTCCGACTGAGCGCTCAATAATGAGGTCGGAATAAAACAGTCACTATAAAATATTGATACTTTACTAGTTTCTCTGTTAGTTTTTGAAATTTTAACAAAAAAGAAAATCTATTCATTTTGTACTAATTTGTCTTATTTTCAGCATCGAAACTGCTAAAATAAAACAATCGAAAATATCATCTTGATAACATTAAATTCATTTAAATTAAATGTTACTTCAAAAAGAAGATTCTACGGTACGACCTCAATCGGCAAGTTGAAGAAAATTATTCATAAAATTCATCAAACGAAACAGTTCTATTGAAAAAACAAAAGCAAGATAAAAAAATTCAACGTTTTATTAAATAAAAACTGCACGTATAACTTGTCAGGACAGTAAGACGAAAATGCTTGCTATCAAAATATTGTTTGCAGGAAAAAGTACAAGCGGAAAGAAATGTAAAGGATGTGGAATATACAACAAATGATTCTCTCTTACTTCTTCGCCTTTTTCCCAACTGTTTTCCATTCATATTTTGCTTTTTCCTCCAACAATGTATGCATTTGTGACTCGATACGTCTTAATTCTTCTTCAAAATTATCGCTAATCTCTTTGGTTCGTAAATTTAGCTGCAGCAAAAGGAAAATGGCCATTATAAAAAGGAAATTTTTTTTCTCAAGTTGCAAAACTTCCAAAAGAAAAGCAACAATGAATATTGTTTAATGTGAAAGAAAATTCTCCATAGTGGTATTTCCGGAAACAAATTTTTAGAGATAATTTTAAAGAAAAAGAAATAGGAACCAACCAATTCTTCTCTCCTTTTCATTTCTTCTTCTTTCTTATTAACTCGTGCAACAAATTCTTCACGTAAAACCTTGTCTCTATTTGCCATTTCATCAATGAATTCACGTTGTTTCTGTAAAGAGTTATATTGTCATCGATTAAAAAGATGCTAGCAGCGGGATATTCGAGCTAAATATTTAGAAAGTCCCCTTATGCAAGTTCTATATTTCCAACCTACACCGATTCTTCTAGATCATTACTTCACCAATAAATGCTTAATCCGTTTCTGTGGGTTGCAAAGAAATGTAAAGTGATACGTTGTACTCTAAATTGTTTCCTTTATAAAACAACTAGTGCCATGTACATGACTCCATTATTATTTATTTAGTTAAAGAGGAAAACGAAACCTGTGCGAAAGCTTCCATCATTTTTGGTCCCGTATCACCATCACCAACTTTCATTGCACGTAAACGTTCACGACGATATGCTTCATACAGTACTCTGTGCGTCCGTTCACGTAATGCATCCACATTTGTGCGCAATACTGCCTCACGCAATTTGACGAAATCGCAGTGTTCCTCGTTTTCGACTGCACTTTGAAATCATTTTTTTTTTCTTCGAAAAGTATTTACGCCAGTCAATTAAGAGCAAATTTGTTTTAGAACTACAATGATCCAAAAATTTCTGTTTAGTTGACATGGGGAAAAAAGGAAAATCACCACATTAATATTTCAAATGTTTTAATCATCTCATTGGTCAGGATATTAGTTATCCTTTAATTTCAATAGTTGCACTAAAGATTCTCGTTTCGTATTTCGTGAAAATTAACGGATATTTAAAAAACGAAAAATATATACCTTCAACTATTCCCCAAGGATATCGACGTGCTCGAACCATTTTACCGTTTTCTTTTTTCACAAAATCAGTGCTGCCCACGACAGCATATGGCACAAGCTGATTTAATTCCGTATTTATTGCTCGTACCGTCTCGTCGTCAGTCGGAAACTGATAGATAGGAATATTGTGGCTTCTCAATTCGCTTAAAATCTAGAAAAAAATTATTGAACCATGGAAATTTCAACAAATAATCAAAGATAAATAAATTACAGACTATTAGAAGAATAAGAAGAAAAACGAATGATAAAGTATGAAGAAGTTTACGCTGTGCCTCTCTTCTACTGGTGGTAGCTAAATATCAAATTCTTCGTTCAATTTTATCGTCGACGATTAAAAAAATTGCGAAAGATTAAAAATAGTGTTTAAATTTTTAGAGAAAGGGAAAGTGTAACTTCACGGATAATGTTCCCGGTGCAATACGTAATTGCACCACACTCAGATATATCATCCGGTAAAGTATGGAATTAAAGGCAATCAGACTGGAACATTTTCAAATAATCCTAGCGCGTAAGGATTTTTTACACATCTTACTTCAAATATATTCATAATGATGATTTCAAAAACTATCGTAATGATGATGGTTTATCATGAAGTTGAAGCTTTTGATGGTTGCTGAACGGTAATATATTTGAAATAAGATATACAAAAACAGAGTAATGTACCTTGCTTTTGAATCTTATAAGCTCATCTTTGCAGGTGGTGTCAGCTTTTGCAATCACGGGTATGACGTTTACCCGTTCTGCAAGCCGTTGCAGTGTTACAACATCGAGTGCCTTAAGCCTGAAAAAAAGGAAGTGGTAATTTTAATCAAATAAAAGAAAAGAACAAATGTAAATTTACATGTCAAAGAGGAATCCAACTAAAATGTATTAATTAAGCAAAACTCAAAACCTAGACTTGTGACATCTTATAAAATCTCCCCGAAATTCAGTTATATTTGCTGAAAGAAATTGACAAAATAGGATCTGATTTCAATCATATAAAAATAAATTGCAGAGGGGTGTATACATGAAATTCTAATGTATAATGACAAGATCAATAAACATCTGGCAAAAAAGATCATTGCAGAAAATTTTGTCAGAATTCAATCATTAGAGAACGGAAAGAGGAAAGAAAAAAGTGCAATCAATTTTAACAGATAAAATTCAAGTGAAAATAAAGGCAATACAATTTTGTTCATCATTTATTTGATAATTTTTGCAAATAATTTGAATAATCACTTTTTGGTCATTTCGGGAAAAAAACATCATCCTATGATGGCGTAGGACATTCCGATTTATGATCAAAATATTTATTCAAATTGCATTTCTTGAGGTAAAGTTTTCCGCATCATACTGAACAATAGTCAGAAAACACTTCAAGAACTCAACACATTTGTTAGCTTCCAGACAATATTTCCTTCATATCATCTCATTTAATAAGGATTGCCTTCAGGAAAGAATGCGAAAATTACGATGTCATAAATGATCAGAGTCAAGAATTAGTCAGCCGTAATAATACTCCATCTCATTTTTTTCTTATGACAATATGGAAACACAAACCGAACATTACTGAGAATGAACTGGATAGTGTGAAATGTCATATCATGACATGATCGGATGGACCAAAAAAACTTTGACACAAATACATTATCCAAGGATTTCAATTATTATACCAAAAGATGATTAGATTATTGATTAGAAAAGAATTAAACATCGAAATTCTGCTCTTTTATTTTAAAGAAGAAAAAAGAAATAATCACTCAGCGAAATTAGGTTTTTCTAATCTTACATAAAAAAAGACAAGTAAAGAGAGGAAGAAAAGGAAATGTTAATCCTAAAATCGCTTTATATATTGTTCAAAATCATGACCACTGCAGTGAAGAAACACGTTAGTATGAGCACTGCTATTTTAATGTAATACAATTCATCAAAAAATCGGTTATTTCAAAGAGTCATATGAAGAGAATAAATTGAAGTATATGATGGAAGAGATTACTTCATTCTACTTTTCTTTTGGAGACGATGGTTCAGTTAAACATTCAAAATACGAAGTCAAGGAAGGGGAGGAGGTAAAGGAAAAGGGAGAAGGTAAAGGAAAAGGAAAATTATAAGTTATAAGAAAGCAATAAAATACGGCAGGCGGAGGAAGACAATCATCTGGATCTTAAGGACCAGATAGCAGCGAATGACACAAATCACTGGAAAGGAATAAAAAAACCTTGCAAAAAAAAGAGAATGCTTTAATATTGGTGATTCAGTTTTTCTTGCAAAGCCCTCCTCATCATCCTAATAAATAAGCGTACTCAAAAGAAAGTTCATCCATGTATCGCAACAAGTCTCTCGGTAGAAACGTGTAATACATTGGAGAGTTCCGAAATGCATAATTTCGATCCGCTTTATTTGATAGCAATTGCTAATTTAGAATGTCAATGATCAAAACATAGCTATATTTACAATAGACATGTCGAGATTATTATCGAGATTATTACCTACCCTAATAGCATATCGTCCAACAGTACAAACATCGAATGAATGGAATGTTAATCGAACTTGGAAAAGATTTTGAAAGGAAATACATCTTTGGACGATGTTAAGCTGTTTAACAAACCTAGTTTAATTTCCTTGCGCAGTTCAATGATATAGAGGAGATGGGGTGGATACCACTTCACTTTTATAGTAGATTATAGGTTTTTTTTTTTCAGAGAAAATTCCAATGTACACTTAATAAGATCACTTAATGACTAATAATAAAATTTCAATTACTGGCATGTCGTGAAGAGTGATTGTGTCAGTCTTTAGAACAGATGAACATTGAATTTAGTCTGTTTTTTGATATGATTACCAATGGGATCATCAACTAAACTAAGGAAATATTTTTAAGAGGTTCGCATATTCTCTCTAATAATAATTTTGATTAGTAGCATATTTTAATAGTAGTAGCAACAGACAACGTAACAGAAAAAGACCTTTCAACCTTGAAATAAGAGGAATAAAAAGTTCAACGACTATAAATGGGTGAGAAACTTTGACAACAAAAAATCGAAAATTAGATAAAAAAGAAAGAAGGAAAAACCCATTATATTTAAGATTTAATTTGTTCGACTACTATACGACTTAAAAAAACAAAAAAGGTCCAGTTAAGTAAAACAAACCGACATAAGGATCATCTTTCTTGGGAAATGAAAAACAAAAATATAATTCATACAATCCTTCGCAGAGGCAAACCATCACACATGACCACAAAAAGTGAATGATTTCAACCATCTCGCACATGCTCGGAAAAGCAAAAAAACAAAGCTGGGAAAAGCAATGTTTTGTCCCACAAAGCCAATACATTATGTCTTCGAAAATGTCTTTCTCCATACAAAAAAATTTGGCAAAACTCCTCAGCTCTTTAACCAGAAAAGCGGGTCATTAGTCTATACAAATTAGTTTCTATCTTCTGATAAAGAAAAATGATTGTACAGACCCATGTCCTGTAGGCGATATGAAGTAAAGACAAGCATGGATACGTGTATCATCGTAGTAATCCAAACAACGTTTGATTTTTAACTCTTCTTTCAAATACTTTTCGAATTGTTCATTGATGAAATCAACGATTACCTGAGCGCTGAAATAAAGCAACAATTATTTACACATATATTTTTAAATCATACATTGATATGGGATAAGCAATCTGATATGATTATTAGATATCGATGAAGAAATTAAACTATTTTTAATAGGTAAACCAAGTTGAGCTTATCCCATATTAATCATATATGATTGATATGGGATAAGCTCAACTCGGTTTACCTATTAAAAAAAAGTTTCTATATGTGCTGTGTGCTTTAAAGCCTCTCGAATTATTGCGATGATTGAACTGTTGGTACTTTATTGCCAGAAAAGAAAGTATAACTCTTGCTTATAAAGCTTAGTAAGCAGTACAGTAAAAGGCATATCTATCTTAATCCTTAAGATTTTTGTTCCAAGTATATCTGCAATATTTGCTCTTCTCTGAGACAGGGAATTGAGTAACTAGAATTATATCTTAGAAAAGATTAGGTACTGTAGGTAAATACTATTAACCTTCTGTCTTTATCAAGCTGGTCACCAAACCCAGCTGTTTCAACAATGGTCAACTTCAGTCGAATTCCACCTTCTACAACATCTGAATACAAGTACCATTAGAAAGGGAAAAGTTTATGAATAGGACAATGTTATAAAACAGCAATTACAACCATTCACCATATGTTCTTGAAAGTAGTTCCACAGTTTTAAGCTCGTTATTACAGGGACGAAATTCAAGTTTCATATTAAACAGAGATTCGATCAGTGTTGTTTTACCCATGCCTGTTTCACCAACACACATCAAATTGAACTGAAATCTAAAAATCTTCTATATAAGTTGATCAAGAAAAGAAAAAGTGAGCCAATCATTGAATGGCTGCAATGAACTGTACGTAGCTTTCTGCACCAATCAAGCAATGTGTGAAAATTTTAAAAGTCCGTTCGGCTGTAATGCTTTGACTAAGGATGAGAACTTTACTGAGTACAGGCATTGAATCTGCTTATACAATTACCCTCGTTCAGTGCATTTCCGAACCAACTGATGTGGAAGTGAATCAAATCCAACATGCCCGTTCAACTTCAACGTTCGAAATTCTTCTGTGGTATTTCCACGTATGTTTTCTGTAAAAAACACAAATTGCCAGTAAAATAGCAGAGTTATAAAAGCCTTCGTAATTTTTGAAATAATTTCATCGTTCTAATACAGCTTCACCAAAACTGGTATTCTATTTTTAAGGTTCTGCGATTTCTCACTAAAACATCGTTTCTCTTTCGATCAACAACGAAATCAGTTGATAAGAATGAACCTCCCTTTATATAGTAGCAAGTCTAAATCTTAATTTTTTTTCAGTGGATGGAACGCACGCTCCATTTCTTTGTATGTAATAGTTTGATATAACAGACCGTAATGCTCACGGATCTTAGCAGTGAATGACGTATCCTCTACGATTATACTCTTCTTATGGTTAGGAGAGATACAGCAAAGATGTTGCGGGAAGCAATCAGATAGGAAACGAGAAACCGTGCCTGTTGGGATAAACTTTGCATCTGCTGTCTCGTGCTTGCTAGAATCCTGAGCTAAACCTGAAGCTGAAGTTACGGTTGTTGGTGTCCTCTTATGGACACCATTGGAAAAATTTGTTGACATCGATGAGGGTCCATTATTACCACTTAGCAATTTAAGCTGGGAAGTTTTCAGATGCGTTGGAATTGGCGGTAGCGGTGGTGCCGGTGGAGCCTGAAATCATTTCATATGTTGTCAACATAGAATATCAAATGTTCCAGCAATCAAGAGCAAAAACATTGTTGAAATGAATGTAATCTTTCAGTCACCAACAAAGAATGTAAATTATTTATCTAACTCATTTTCCATTTTATGGAAAGAATCATCGAGAAAAATTTTTCCATCTCTAAATTACTTTTAAGTAACTAACTGCTACTGGCTTTCTGGATTCCATCATATCATTCGCTCTTCGTGAAGCTTTTTTAAATTCTTTCGATGCAACAGGCAAAACGTCAGTGTGCACTTCACCCTCAGTAGCTTCTGATTCAAGCGATACTTCACTGCTAATATCTTCCTTTGCTTGTAATATTGAATTTCCGGGAGATAATCCTGCACAATAAAAAAAACAAATAAATTCAGATTGAAAAATCAGAGAAGTATGAGGAAAAAAGAAAAACACATGGCAAGAAATCCTCAGTGATGTAATACTTCAATAATAATACTAATTAACACGAATATTTGAACAAAATCAAATCAAATAGTTGGCGGCGTAATTGTGGTCTTACAGCGAAAAATGTCAAACTGAAGAAGAAAATCAATGTCATCAATGATGCACGCTAATTGATGAGTCAGAGATGCGAGAGACGACGTTTCGTCTCTGTGTGAGTAAGTTGGTATTGTTTGAATCAATTATAATTCAGTTCCTTAATTGATTATTTGATCAAATTGATTAAGAAAAATCGGAGAATTTTGGAGTGCTATTCTGAAATTCTTGAGCTTACAACGATTCCTTTCTCGAAAAAATATCAATTAATTCTTTTTTCACAGAACTGTATCAATGAAGTAAAAAAGTTTTAGATTTGGATTAATTTGAAACGTAGTCAATACTACACTACATCCCTCATATAGCGAAAGAAAAATTGGAAGAGACGATCTGGATAACTTTATAATTCCTTACTGCGATTTTATTTTGTAATGATTATGAAGAAAAACTCAATCCTACACTGCAAACAGTTTTTGGATGTTTTGGGGAGCAACGAAATATAAATCGAATCCATAAACTTTATCTGATGGAAACAATAAAGTTTGGAGGATATTATAAGTTGAATTTATAGATTTTATCGCTTTAGTTAAAAAAAATCATGACTTAAACCTAATCTACGAATGTTAAATCATGGCAAGCAAATCCCATATTAACTAGAACAAGTTTGCTAGCAAGAATTAGCGAAGCTGTTCAGAAGTAGCCAAATAACAATCAAAAAAAAAAGAAATTTTTGCAACTGACAAATAAATATCCATGGAAAACTGATGTAGAAATCTTTTTTATCATTCTGATCAATAAGACTTAAATCTAAAAGCAAATAACTTGAATCTGACCTTGTGCAATATGTGATCTTGATAAAAGATGCCTCTGCTGATATCCAGCAATGATACTACGAACCGATGTCCGCTCCAGATTGTCGCTACAACCAGTTTCACCGTCAGATCGGTTATTCTGAACATATACAAGATAATTAACGACAACTTCTATAAAATCACAACTTGCAACGTTGCTTGACATATTCCAAATTCCATTTTACAATTATTCATTTCACACTGAGAAATTACCATCGAACTTCGTGATTTTCATTATTGAGTAATTTGAAATGAAGTTAGCTGAAATCTTTCCAACCAGCGTCATTTTTTATGATTTCAGAAAGTGTTGAATAAATCCTAAAGTTCAGTGTTTTGAACAACTCAAAAATCATCCAGTATTGAAATCAAAAAGAAAAATGATGTTCAGGAAGGATTTAATGTCTATATCAATAATTTAATAAAATCACCGAACACAACTGAATATTTAAGGAAAAAATGAAAAAAGTGGTCATCTTTCTTCATATACAGGTTAAAATTGCAGTTCAGATTTTATGGTTGATCGTATAATTCTTCACATTTTCACGATTGTTATGGAGAAAAAAATGATTGCTTTTTGGAAAGATGACAGATATCTCGATGGAGGTTAGTAAGTTTCAACTTATTGACCTGGACGTCCCTTATCTTTCTAAAGAGTAATTGTTTTTTTCTTAGTGATAATACTTTCAAATGTGAGTAATAATATGTTTAACCTTAAGATTTTATGAGATTGGAAGCCACAGTTATTTTATTCATATTTCAGTCCACCTCCGATTTCAGAATGAATTCTCAGGCTTTATCTAATGCTATCTTTTCGGTTTGATCTTTCTGGCGAAAAAAGCTTCACAATACTCGAAACATCGAACACGATGTGGCTATTCATTTATCATTAATAAAAGCAATCAACTCTTTTTTTTCTCATCTCGAAACTTTGATGAACCGCCGATGAATACAAAATAAAGCTGTGGTGGTCTTTTATTTCTCAACAACTTGTCGATTATAAAGTACCTTTTTTAGAATTCTTCTATCGCGATCAATTATTTCTGGTTCTCTCGTAGCAGCAATCCAATTTGTTGTTTTTGATTTCTTATTGAGGATTAACTGAAAATAAAATGAAAGATGATTTCGATGATTTGAAATTTAATGCAAAAGGTCAAAATCTTAAAAGTATATGTTATTGTGGATGCTATAAATAACGCCGATTAAATATGAACTAAATAATGTTCGGAACCGACTGATAGTAATAGAAATAAACTTTGAAAAATATATTCTCTGCTTTAACTGAATAAAGTAGGATCACAGTGAAGTTCAAAAAGATAACAAAAATGTGGATTTTCTTTGTGAGATATTTCTTTAGGAGTCATTGAAGACATCTTACAGTGCTTTCATTTCTTTACTTTCTTTAAATAACATCACAAGAAATTAAAATAATACTACTGATGGTTTTTCCTTAGTGAAACTATTGTGAATGCTTCCGATTCTTAATCATAAAATTTTGCCTCCCTCTCAGTTTTTCTTTTTTTGCATTTGTCGAAGTAGAATATAAATTATCAAACTTGAAGTAAAGTTAAAAATACTATATACATTATTAAGATAATGTTGAAATTATCTATAACTGAAGTAAAGGTGAAAATATCATAGTCATAGTTGAAGTGAAGTAATCAATTTGAAAACAAATTTGTTTCGTAATAACATTACAATTATCCTTTATTTATATAATTGATTTGAAATGATATTAAATAATTTTAATAATAGTGGCCATAAGTTAGCGTTAATTTTTGAAATTTTTTGATCAAAAAAAAAAGAAAATATTGATATGGCATAAATAAAAAAGATATATATTATTTATGCTTATAATATATGTATTATAAGAATATCTCAACAAATCTCAAAAAAGATTACTAATAAAATATTAACAATTTGTTACGATAATGACAGAATAAAAAGCGAATCATTTGAAAAAAAAGAATGAAATTCTTGACGCCACCAATCCACCATATTCAATAAAATATAATGTACCCGCCCGCAAAACATTTTTCACTAGATATATCATGTATCATGTATCATAGATGTATCATTAGCTGGGTCCGAAATATAATCTGAATCTTAAAATAGCCGATGATTGGATGATCTGAGAAAAGAGTAAAATTTTGATCTATATATTCCAGATAAAACAGATTTCTAGAAAAAAGTGCGTATTTCTTCGTTTGTAACAAACGATTAATGTCGTTTATGTCACAACATTTGTAATTTCACGAAGTTATATTGCATGTACGAAATGAGAAACTTAGGGAATTTCAAGAAAGGTTTTCTATAAGCAATTCCTTCATGAATTGTAGCAAAGTCAGAGATGATTACAAATGTTAGGAATCATAAATCTAACCAGCATTCAATGATGATTTAGTTTTTCAGCTATGAATTATGTTAGCCCTTATATGTTAAAAATACTGAAATAATATCCAGGTGATATTCAACATATACCTAACATATTAAAATGTTTAGAAGCAAAGAAAATGTTATACCAAAAATGAAATCTCTCAAAGATACGCAAAAATAATAGAAACTTCTAACCTTACGTTTCGATAGTTTTGAGTAGAACAAATTCATACAATTGCATTCCATAACGATCAATAAAAAGAAAAAAAACGTTTTGATTTAAAAAGAATCCCACTTCCGTCACTTGCGTGAATGAGAAAATTGAAGTGTGAAACAACAGATACTAAATGACCCATATGAAATACGTGTGAAATGAAGGTAACTACGTGAGATATTTGAAGCGTGCGTGTATGTGTGTGTGTCTGTGTGTATGTGTATGTGTAAGAGAAAGCTTTATTACAAATACCTCTATCAAAGAATACATGCAAAGAAGACTTATTGATTGATATGTATATTATAACATAGTCTTTTGTGTCGCATTTTTTTGAATGGAAAAAAGGGCCCTATCCCTCGGATTTGCCTAAAATTTTGACTAGAATTTGCTCAAATTTTAGGAATTTGGCCTAAAATTTTGCTACCAAATTTTTTAGGTTTACCCAAATTTTAAAATTTGCATAAAATTTTGTTAGAACTTTCCATATAATTCGAGCGAATGTGCAATTCTTCGATGCAAACAATTTTAGCTCACTAATATGCAAATATGTATTAACATTTATTTGCGAGTGAATTATCACTAATCTATTCTCATGGATAATTCGTAGTGTTCCTTTAATACAAAACACATTGTGTGGTAGAATTAATTGATAAATTTTTTACTTTTAATATTTCTAATTATTATTAAAATAAAAATTATTTCAGGATAGTATTAATTTGAGTAAATATTATTTAACTGAATTTAATTTATTTTGAATTAATTATACATTCATAACAGTGAAATTTCAGTGAATCAGACATATCTGAGTATTAAATTGAATTAAATTATTGAATAATATATATCAGATTTAAAAATTATCAAATATCGAAATAAAAAGAAAATTTCAAACCGAATTAAAATAAATGAAATTACATACATATATAAAATCAAATTTGACGTATTCTACATATGGATATATATATACCAAATAAGATTAACTGAAATTATTAACTATCAAAATGATGAAAATGGCTCGTTGCTACATTTAGTATTAAATAATTAACTTCAAACTTAAAACATATATTTGAAAAAGTTGGCCATTTTTTAAAAATCACTATCTTAAAATTCGAATTGTATCAATAAATAAAAGAAGAAAATACTGAGCATATTCGACTTATGTTGAAAAGTTTACGAAAATTCGGATTTTATATCCAGAAAATATTGAAGAAAACTGTTTCAGCAATTCAATTTCTTTTCTAGCTAAATTTTTTGTTACTAAAAGATTCTTTTCATGATTTCATGTTTGGAACCGGATCCGGTTTAGAGCACAAGTCTACTGACATTAATATATGTCGAATATATGATCTTTTATTTTCATTTCTCACTAATTCTTCCATCAAATCTAATTAACAAGCAAAAAAGAAAATTAGTTTTAAGTTTAAGAATAAAAGAATAACTTATGACAGACAACCTTTGCAAATATTTTTTATTCAATGTGAATTTGTTGAGTAATTTTAAAGTGAAATGAAAAAATAGCAATTAATATATGAAAAATCAAGCGCATTCCATCAATCGAATAAATTAGTAGACAGCCAATCCAAATAATTAACATTTAGCTTCGTGCTAACGCAATCTTAAACTTAGCTCAACAGTTTGCATCAGTATCGGATGTTTTTGATCGCATATGTGAATACTAAATAATGTCCCTTTCTACTCCGTTCATCATTTCATATTCTCATTCAATAAAATTAAAGGTGTTTCCTTTGATGGATGAATGGATGAGATTTTTTTGAGAGTGACCTATTGTTATATGCAAACAATCAAAATTCCGTATTACCTTGAGAAGGTAAGAAAGAAAAGAGACATACAGTCAGTCGGCCCTCTTAGCTATTTTGCTTCTTCTTAGTATCAAAGAGAGAATAAGCAAAATTATCATTTTGATGCAAAATTGAATTACCTTTTATAATTTTGAAAAGATACTAGCTGTAAGCGCTTTAGTTGTAAAAAGTCATAAGCTCAGGAAGATCTAAAATCTGTCTATAAATATCACACTAAAATAAATTACACAGTGCCCTATTCTTTCTATTTGGAATATTTGAACTTTCGATATATCAAATATAATGTATTATCTGATCGTAAGATAGTAATCCGAATAGAACGAGATGTCAATCTACCAAAGGAATGAAGTATGATCAATTATGATCAATTACCAGCTGCTTAAGCTAACTGTAGCCCATTTCGAAACTTTTCTGCATCATTTTTGAGATCTTGAATCAATCAAGTATGATCAATTACCTATTTGCTTATTGTTTTAATCTACCATAAGCTAGAAAATTTTTCGAGTTGTTCAAACTTAACTTTCAATAAGACTTACTTAATTTTATAGTATGCTTAAAGCTATTGAATAATTATGCCTCTCATAATTAATGCAACGTAATTGCAAAATGTTTGGGATGAAACTTTTAAAAGGTTATGCGAAATCTACGAGAATGAAAAAGTTAACAAACCTCACGGATTAAATTTCCGGTAGTTTGATCATTAAACTGTTGTTTTTGAGTAGTAAGAGAGAAAATTTTATATGGTTCACAATTTGGCAAAAATTTATTCCTTTCTTGACTATTTTCTCCACCGCAAAAATATGCAAGCATCTTTTTCGGATTGATTATTGGTAAACCACCCATCCATTGTATAATCTCTTCTCCAGTTAAATCAATTTTTGCTATTTTTAGAGATTCTGATTGTGGCAAAGATTTCTCAATCGAATCATTACAATTATCAACTTTCTTATCATTCTTCTGTATTATACAATTTTGATTATTATCAGTAAGATTAGCAGAAAAAAACTTATGATGTTGCTCAAGATTTCTTAAATTTGAATTGTCAGCAGAAGTAGTAGCAATTAAATCAGAAAGAAGAACAAAAGAATCATCAATCGATGCAAGAATCATTTCAAATCCTCCCGGTCGTCGGTCGGTATCTTTAAGTGCTCGAACACTGTTTCGTTTGAAACTTTCCTTGTGCTTTGAAGATTGAAAACTGATGCTACGTGATTCGAAATTTAATCTCTTTCTATGCATATCTCAAAATTACGGTTTTAAAGTGCCCTTTTTTTTCATAAGCCTTTGTCGTTGAACTGACACAGAGCACTTTGATGAAATTTAAGCGATTATATTTGTAGAATTGGCTGACCGATTAATAATATTGCAGTGATACAGAAATCAGTAGATTTAAGAATTCTAAATTTCGAAAAATCAATATTTGGATATTCGAAAGAAATAGAATTGAAGAAATCCGCAAAAAAATTAGAATCCAGAAAAGAACTTTTCAATAATAATAATAACAGGAATAGTAATACATTTTGAATGTGAAATTTTGTTTTAAAAAACCGGAAGATATTTTTTAAATTCTGATCAACATTTAACAATGATTCAATAAATGTTTCCATTGCAAAGTTCCATGAACCAAATAAATTTTTACAATGAAAGAAGCATTTGAGATGTAAGAAAAAGCTGGAAGGAATGCTGAGAGATAATGGAGAAATAAATAAATAATATACTTTCATTGGATGATGAAATTTTAAAAAGTTAAAATTTGAAATATTTGTCAGCAATTGTTGAATCATTCCTTTAAATATTAAAAGCAACAATTCAACGAATGTTTTCATTGCAAAATCTTATAACTAATGGATTTTTGCTATGAAAATAAAAGTATATAACAACATAATGTAACATAATATAACTTAGATCTGTTCCGCATTTATTTGAATCATTTATCTGTAAAATTCCCACAAAGTCGTATACATGAATTTAGTTGATAATAGTTTAATTGATTGATAAGGAAGTCATGAAGTATGAAAACAGTTATATCAATTTGAATTTTGCTATAATTCATTCTTTTCATCATTTTGTCATAAAATTGTTCCGGGAGGTCATTGAACCAATAACTATTTATCAGTAAACATAAACATATTGTCAAAAACCAAAAAACCATTTCTTATAACCTTTCCTTTTTCATTATCGACGACAATTTCCTCTTAACCTTTTTACGATGACTGATTGTATTGCATTGAATGAGCAAATTTTTAAAGTAATAAAATATTGCATGAATTTTTTGAAAAAAATACTTCTAATAAAATATTTTCAATCGTAACGACAAATTCATTCAAAAGTATTAAAAATTATAATCTTATTGAAATTAGCCGATATTTATTGATTTTTATTAATTTAATTAATTATGTTTTTCCTTTTTAAAGTAATAATTAGTAAATTGACAATTAACTACAAATTTCTTCAAAATTTAAATATAATTGATTGCAATTGAAATAAGATATAAGATTGGAAAATATATTATAAATCATAGGGTGGAAGTTCAATAAAAATTTTTAGAGGAATAATGAGTTATGAGAGATGTGAGATGAAGAAGAGACTCAATTGCTTCTACTCAACAAATGCTCTACAAGATAGAAATGGACATATGGCCAATTTGATGGACAAGCAACTGACCAAAGAATAAGCTAAGCTATTGCTAATAGAAAATTAGCAGAGAGATCGCGGCTGGTCTTTGATTGATGATTTCCTGTGACTCTGATATGGGAATGAATAGTGCATACAACGATTCACAGATGATTTATATGGATGAGCAGATACAGTATCAAAGGTTGGACAAACATGAAAACAAATGTGGGATGATGCCGGAAATTTAATTTCATATGATATTCAATTCCGTTTAACAACCCTCCCGTCAAATTATTATCAATTTTTCTCTCTGATACGTTATCAATATCAAATTTACAAAAGGAATAAATTGATCATATTTTGATGGAATGGAAAAATTAATAACTCATTGATATCAATAAAATAAATGAAATACTCTTCACATAAATAACTATAGAAAATTAAAAATCGTTACATTATTGTTCAATTGAAATATACTAGAAAATGAATATTTGCAAAAGTTGAAATCATTAAGTTTCAAGTAATTAACACAAATGATAGCATGCACGTTAATTACACGTTAATTACTTCTTACGTTAATTACATGCGTGAAATTGCTATCTTCCTGATGTATACAATATATTATGTCTTTGATGATATTCCTTTCCTATCAAAAAAGGGGTGAAAAGAGAATTAAAAAATGTTCTTCGAATGAGTGCATTTTCTTTATTCTCTAATTTTCTTTGTTTTATTTGTGTTATTCAAATTCCATTCACATTCATTTTCATTTCTAATTTCATTTATTTCTTCACTATTGTCAATATTATTGTTGTACTACTATTCCTATTATTATTATTATCATTGATTGTTATTACTACTATTTATTATTATTGTTATTATTAATTATTATTATAATTGATATTATTATTATTATTAGAAAAGCAAAAAAATTAAGAATGTTGATATTAGTTATGAATATGAGAATTCTCACACCATAAAAATCTCAAATAACAGGATATTGACTTTTTGATAGGTGCAAAAAATGGATACTTTGTTTTTTGTTTATTAAATTCCAATATGAGTAATCAATGAGCGATGAGAAAGTAATAAATAATTCCGAAAAAGAATACATATTTATAAGAGAAAAGATATTTTGAGAAATAAATAAAATTTGATATGAAAAAAGAAAAATGATTTTATTTATTTCTTTCACATTTTGTTGTTTATAATTTCATCACTTTGAAGTATTATAAATTAATTCAATTTTCATCTAATTTAATTTCTAATAATTTTAAATTGGTCTGAAAATTGACCTGATAAGAATAATATTTCGTTTTTGCTTTTTGGCATTTCGTTTTGTAAAATATATAAAAGTATTAATTGATTTCTTTCATTACCTAACTTTTCCTTTACCTGTTAAACACCTCAATTGAATTTTATTTTTAGATTGAGCCAATTTTAAATTTTATGTTATTGATGCTTTCCACGAAAGATTAATTAATGTAACATACGACGCGTGACCTCAATAACTTCACCGTAACTCTGTCAGAGTCTACAGATAACATTAATTCGTAACATTTATCTAATTTAGGTGAAATATTTAAGTATATTGAATGCATTCGGAAAAAACGGTTTCCTTTCATTTCTTTTCGTTATTTCCAGCCATTGATAAAATGGAAGCTGCCATAAAAGGTTTCTAATTAAGCTTTTAATTAACAAAAATTGACAATTTACTGCAACTCAAATAGTAATAGTGTTGAAGCTAAATTTCATTTATAAAGTTAGACAAAAAAGGTAATGACTCATCAATAATCATTCTCAAATATAAAAGAGACTGAGACATTAAAAAAAAATGACCAATGTGAGTTTATGGCCTAGCACTGCAAAGCACCAATGGATTTAACAGTGCATGGACACATACATACACACACACACACACACACACACACACACACATACAAACGTACACGCACAGACACACACATGCATAGATTTAAATTAGCTACTAAAGCTAGTTTCAATGATTGGGATGTATGTATATAGTGGTGAGGTTTAAATTTCCTTTTTCTTTCGTTGCTTCATTTGGATATTTAGAAGTAACGTTGATATGAGCCAAAGAAATATAATGGAAAAGGGCAAAATATAAGGAGATAGGCCAATAAGTGGTCTAAGAATTACATTTGTTAAATTTCTGTTTGAAATTCCAATCAGTCACAATATCTAATTAACATTTATTAATTAAACAATTGAAATAATTCGAAATTTATATCACCATTAAGATAAAAAGAAAAAAAAAGAAGAAAATTGGATAAGCTTGCCATATCTTTTCTACATATCAAATGGATTTTTGCTTGTTAGAGTAACATAACGGCTGGTAACAAATAATAAATTATTGTTGAAAAAATGAAGGAAAAAAGTTCAGTAAATGAGAAATTCATTCAATAAGTCTTAAATGATTATTTATTCCTAAAAGTTTGAATTCAAAGAAAGAAAACATAAAAATTTCCTTTTGACATTATATATATATATAATTATTCATTACTGCTCCTAAGTTTTTCAACAATGTTGAAAAGAAATAGAAAATTGAGAGGACGAAGAAAAAGAAGGACAAATTCGTTGTTTGAAGATAAAAGTATTATTTATGGTAGGAAAGTTATGATGATTAATGATTAAATAATGGATAAAATTGCTTGACCAACGGTCAAATAAGGTTTATTTTGCTATAATAAGCATCGAAGAAGTAAGTGGACATTTAGGAGTGAATCATCTAACAGATGGTATGATTCATTCATTTAAACACTTTCAACTAACCGATTAGAAGGAAAAGGAAAGAAAGTAAGCTTCAGAAATAAAACATCTGTTTATGCTCATCTGCTCATTTAACCCTTATTCTCATCTTGATCCATTAATTTCAACAATTTATTATAAACCAATTTGCTTCTCAACAATTTAATTAAAATCAAAAATGACTTGGATGGAGTAAAAGAAGGATCGAAATGACCAGACCAACTGGACAGCTTCACTCTAATCGATTTTATCATGGTTTTTATATATAGATTTCAGAACTAGAAATATGGATAGAGGATGAATATAGAATGCAGTTTCGACCTAATTTTTTTTAATTTTTGAGTTTTAATTTGTCACAGAATTAATTATCACTAATTGGATACGTTATTTAATGGAAGAGAAAAGGACCCAATAAAGATTTTGTGAAATCGAAAATAGAGTAATTAATAAATGAATAATTTGAATTAAAAATTTCAATGATCGGAATGAAATTGCAATAATTGGAATGATATTATTGATTAAAAAATTAAATTATTCATTTGATAGGTTAATGAATGCTATAAACAGCGCATTTGTGCCAGTTTAAATTGTATCATATACATTGCATCATATGCTCTTATTATCATATTGAATTTAGGAATATAAATGGAAACGGAAAATCGAAGATTTATTCAATTCATATTATTAAGGACATATAGTAAGTTGAACTATAATCTTTTACTTATTAATAAAGAAAGATAATACTGTAATTGAAATCACTTTGGTGCCGTCGTATTTGTGACAGACTTTGATCATATGATTGATTTTCGATTATTCATTAATAATGTACCTTTAAAAAATTACAGCGATAATGATATAATTCAAAAAATTATTTATTCTATTAGAAATTATTTATTCTATAACATTTCGCAGTAAAATTTGAAATGTAGTTGACAGCGAAGAAAAAAAATTTTTTGTACTTCATTCCAACTTCTTTGTTGCCGATAACATATATCGATGGAATGTGAAGCTTTGATAGAGTTTGAAATATCAATTTTTATTATTTATAATAGGATAAGAAAATGGGATGAATACAGGATGAATTATGATATAATTAAATAAACAAAAATTGATCACACTTTCTAAAATAACGAAATTTTATAAAAATATGGAAACATAGGAAGCGAACAAACAAAATATTATCGTTGGATTATTATTGAAAGAATAAATTTCGTATTAAATATTTAGACATATACTGAAAGTCATTAATGAATCATTTTAGATATAATAAAGAGAAATATAATTCTTATTCTGAAATCACTACACAAATTCGATAGGAATATTTTGACGTTGTTGTATTTGTGACAGGCTTTGATCATTTTAATATATTTATGCATATATTTTCTTTAATATGACCGATTTCATGCCTTTCGATTACTCATTAAAAATTTGCTTTTAAAAAATGCATCGATGAAAAAATAATTCAAAATTATTTGTTCATCAATTTTGATTAAATTTAACAGAAACAATTAGATTTCATCGGTTTCCGCTGAAAACAAATTTAATAGGTATAATTTTCAAATTAAATTATCGGTGCGAAATTAATATTATAATCACGTGGTTTCAACGTAACGCAATATTGATGGAAGAATGGTATTCCAAGCACAACTATGTTTGGATCATCATCTTTAAATAGTTCGGTTAGTATTTCGGACACATATAAAGAATAAATAGCTCTTTTACTCTTTCTGAACGCAAGCTCGCATAGCGTATCGTTGGGCTGGAATATTAATTTTACAATATTCTTTCCGGATAACATTGATGAGAGAGAAGTTTTATGACCATTTAGAGATACTAAATTAAAGAATACATAGCAACAACTGATGGTACTATAATAAAATTTGATTATCATATGGCTACGAAATAGAATAGAATATTTTTGAGGATAATGCAAATATGAAATGGAGCCTACTGCTTTTGTCTTTCCCATTTCCTATTGGGATATTTCATTAAATTAGAGAAGAATAGGAACATACATTATGTTTGATTATGAAATGTTGTGGCGGAATGACGTATGTGTTACTATCGGTGAATATCTCGAATGGTTGATATGTGTTATAAGGGACGGATCTCTTACACTCTACCTTATATTTGTCCTCTGATGAAGCAAACTGAAATATTTTGATTTTAAAGAAACAACAAAATATATCATTTCGCGAAAAAATTAAAACCGGAATCAGTAAAATTATGCATAAATACAACTGACCGTTGCATTGAGATTCTCAACGATTTCACGAAGGAATTCATTTGGAACATAGATATATGGCTCAATAGTGCTCGGATAGGCAAATGATACGATAGAAGACTTCACATCGCCCATTTTGACGAAGTTGTATATGAATTCATAACGATTTTCGAATTGATTAGACGCTATGCGATGTGAAGGAAGAAAAGGCACATGAAGTTGCCATCCAATGTTTTCATTAATCAAACGAAGCAATTCAGTGGCTTCATACTTCAAACGAAGCGGTTCAGTGGTTTCATAATTCAAATCGCATGATTGGTTATTATGTCCACCAAACGTTAACATCGCTTTCTTCTTAGAATCCTATGATTTCACCCTTATTTATATTATTTGTTCTGTTCTATTATAATTTAAAGTGACATCAAGAAAAATTCTAAAAATATCATTCGATAACTGCAAATCGCTAATTATTATTATTATATCTTATCCTTATTAGAATCTTATATTCCTGAAAAATTTAGCCAATGGTAAGACGGAAAATAATGAAAATTAATGAAAATTCTAATCAGGTAAGCAGCTATCTTTTGGGTATAAATTAGTTGCTTTCCATTCAAATTGCATAAATATGATACAAAGAGTTTCTTTACCAGTGGTGGCAGTGCAATAGTAACAACCGGATTTAGTTGATTATTCCGGACAGCTCTCCTTATCGGACTATCCATAACGGATACACTAGAGAAGGACTGTCTGCAAATTGCAAGTGGAGAGCCAAAAACATGCAACATCGATAAACCGAGTACACCATCGATTTTCTTATAATCGTTAAATTTATGCCATCGCAAAATCTTTGCTACACAAAATGGAGAATTTGGGAAATCGACGTGTGTTCCATTGAATGAATTAAACTGAAAATTAAAGTTAATTTTCAGTTGATACTGCAGAAATGATATTTTTGAGTGGAATTATTGGAAATATCATTGTTATTAACAGGTGAATGTTATCCATAAGTTAATAAAAAACAGTCAGGAAAGAATACTGAAATATTATCCGTAAATTGGGTCATTGTGACTCCTCTGGAGCCATAAATTTGATATAGGTGAGTATAATTAGTTCTATTCAAGGTTTTCGATTGGCAATTTAAGTAACCCGACATTTTCGTCAGGAATTCCCATGTGCCATTTGAGAAAGATAAGCTGAAGAAATTTTAACAGATGAAATTATTAAAAATTTTCACATTCGAAATTTAAAGATTTCGCCGTATTCCATTTTTATAGTAAATTTTGGAATAGTTTCTGCAAATCATAATGTATTTCTAGACATATGGATGATGAGAAAAAGCAGAAAAGCTAAACATACGCAAACGTAGAAGGTAAAACCCAAAGAAAATTGGTGACAGTATCTAAAAGCAGAGAAAATTCTTTTTTCGGTTCACCGATCATCACGTTTGTAGAATATCCGGTATGTTGCTAAAAGGTATTATCAAACTTATGAGCAATGAAATTTATCTCAATTAATTTTAATCCTTCTGGACAGAAAATGATAGAACGCTTAAACTTCATGAAGTAATTAATTAACGTACGTTTGATCCGCTGTAAACGGGATGTAACTCAACTTGAAACTCAGCAAATATCAATGTTGCTTGATGACAATAGAGAATAACTGCCAAAATGATTAGCGTATCTCTCATCTTTCCTTCTAGAATTTTCAATGAAAAGGTCAAAGGACAAAAGTTTGTGAATATTTCATATTGAGCACTTATATGTGTAACATCTTTATGGACATATTATTTGATATGTAATGATCATTGTTGATTTTTATCAAACTGAGTGTCTTTTAAAGAATCTGAATTTCCAACTGAAATAAGGTTCCAGTAATTGAATGTTATTATCAGAATAATCGTAGATCCCACGGCTGATTTTTCGGAAGAACATTTAGAGAGAAGTACACCTCTGTGAACACATTTTGTTGTATATAAGATGGGAAACAAATTTTATTAGCTTATCTTTGTTAAAACCCCAAGTTGGAGAATCAAATTTCATTTAAAACTATTCTTTTTTAATTTCATTACTAATATTTTGCTTGACTTTTACGATATAATTATCACTGTATGATATAATTTAGTCAAATCCATTAACAGTTAAAAATTTTTCTCAATTTCTATTTTGTATATCACATAGCTTTAATCAATCAATTTCCAATGCTTCAAAATTTCTAGTTCTTCTTGATTATTGATTGATCACTTCCTCGAATTACTTCCAATGAACATATTAATAGTTACAGTATCAAGTATCATCAATTTCTTGCGTTGTTACTCCTGAAAGTTGAAAGAAACGGAACATATTTTACAACTCATTAAAGTAAGCCCAATATCTATGAAACCTTTTTAAAAAAGTCCGAAATCCGATAAGTTGACTTCAAATAAGCAATGAATTTTCTTCACAGAAGCAGCAGGTTGTGATTTTCGTTGATAAAAAATGAAGTAATAATACCTTTGTTGATTTGAGGACGATAACTCTCGGTTGAATTGCTTATGCTAAACCAATTCATTCGTCATATGTGCATTGTTGTCGGATTAGTATTCTTTGGACTGTTTGATTATCGAAATAAGTATATCAAGTGATTATTACAGGTATATTTTAATATGGCAATGATTCATATTGTAAATTCATTCGTTTAATATGCAAAAGCAATAAAAGCGTATTTATTGTATTAATTGAATTGATATTTGTCAGAGTATTCTTCAATAAAGAAAGGAAAATTCAATTTAAATAGCAGTCTTTGATCATTTGTTGATGAATGCATTCGTTAATTTATGATATAACATTGATTAATCAAATTTTCGAAATAATAAAAGCATAATCAATATTAATATTTCAAAAGAAAGCATTCTTGAATTGATGAATTAAATGAATGAAACATTTGAAGTTACGCTTATCGCTTACATCACGTTGAATTACTTCCAATGAATCTTATCAAATTACATCACGTTGAATTACTTCCAATGAATCTTATCAAATCACATCACGTTGAATTACTTCATAAAACAAACGAGACGGTGTAATCTATTTATATCTGAGGTTATCTGTGTTTCAGTAAGTTAAAACATACTCAATCTTTCACAGTTAATTTGCAAATTTTATATGTTTTAAAGTAAAAGCAAAAAGATCAGAGAAATTAAAAGATAAAATGAAAAATTTCTCTCTCTCTCTCTTTCTCTCTCTCTCCCTCTAATAGCTTGTGAAAATAACCAATGGTCAAGAATTACAATATTTACTTACATATATATTGCGAATGGAAATTTCGCTACAATATCACAACTTAAATAATTCGTAAAATTTTTGAAAAATTCCTCACTATACTTTTTAATCTCCAAAATAATTTGAAAACATCAATAAAATATTAAATCTTTTTCTTCTTATTAACCTGTAAAATTAAACATTTATTGTTTATCTTCGTAATATTCATATTGAAGTTTGGAGAAAAAGAAGATGAATGAATATTTCATATGAACTTTAATGAAGTTCAAATACAAATTTCCATTTGATAAAATAAAATAATTGAATAAATTGCAAGCAAGTTTGTGGGATGAATGTAAATTCTGTAACGCGAAAGTAATGAAAAGCCTTAAATGCTTTATAACTAATAACAAATTAATTGTTTAAATTTCTAGATCTGAAAATGTTTCACAAATGTCAGTACTTGAATTATTTATATAGAGCTAAAGTGATAAATTACTGAGGCCTCATCTGCTAAGTACTACCGAGTCAGAAATATATAAATAGCCAAGTTAACTTTTAACATTTAATGAGCTATTTATACGTTTCAATAACAAAAGTTAAATATTCAAAAGAATGGAAAAAAGTTATTTATGAAGTTTATGATTTCTATTTTGCTTATGCCTAATTCTAATTCGTTTAAAATGATGATACACTTTAGATTGATCATTTTAAAGTCATTCTTGAAAAATTGTTCAAGAAGAGATTTAAATTTGTTAATAGTTTGAAATAAGTTTTCAGCCTTTCATCTCACACTATTTATATCTTTTACATATTATATTTTATTTTAATTTGAGAATTTAAGTTTAGAAATAAAAAAGATTAAAAAATTTATGAAATAAAGAGTTCTTTTCTACCACGAATAACCAATTCTTGAAAAGTTTTTCGAATGATATTTGAAATTTCTTAAATTAAATATTAGAAACAAATAATTCTTAGATTAAATATTTGAAATATTACTGAAATTTTCAACAAGGTCAAAGGGGAAAAATTCATTCAACGTTGTATACAATTTGATATATTGTTGTCATCGTATTTGCAGGATGCATTTGATTATGCACAATTTTATAAATTGTAAATAGCAAGTAATATGTGAAAAAAATAACAAGGTCAAAGGGTGTAATATTATAAAAAACGAGGAGGGCTTTAATAGAAGACATAAGGGAGAAAAAACAAGATGAAAACTCAAAATAGCAGCAAATAGTGTGTGTCAGAGGTCGAGAGACGCGACCCCGCAGGGTTATATGTGATGATTGTACGGTCAACAAAAAGAGAATATCCTGCAGTATGTTGTTGATATACTGTTTGACGATGGCAGTTTCACATGTCATTTTGCATTACTTAGCAAATTAGCGAAATAACTTGGCGGTTTGCTAAAATTTGAACTGAAATATTGAATGAACTATAATATTTATTTACAGCTACTTGTTATTCTTAATTTGTTGTATCAAAAACAAATTTGGAAGAAGGAAAGCTGAATAATCATTACTGACTGTTTCTTAATTTCCAATTATCATTACGCAATCAATACAGCGATATTAATATTGAAGCTGACATTAATAAGGTATGCTAATTTATCTATTGTTTTAAATTATTTGTATGCATATATTTTCAGATATAACAAAAAAAAAAATATTCGAATAAATTTTTTGTAGTGACGAAATTTTGATGATTGATTGTCTTAAAATAAGGCTAAAATTATGAAATTTTATTGTTTCTTTACTGTAATTAAAATTCGATCGAAAATGAGTAATATTTCTTTTCCCAACTAATTTCTATCAAATAGTTTCTATCTCAAATTTTCATTGCTATATTATCTAATTAAAATATTTTTAATAAAAAATAATTAATTTTAGGATTAAAAAAATGAACGGAAAATATTTGACGAAAAATTCAATAGAATATGAATACTGTAATATAGCATATCAGCATGAAATTGCTGGACGAATTAATTTTCAAAAAGGACAATATAAGGAAGCAATTGAAAGTTATCAAAAATCATTGAAAATATTACAAATGTATTCTGATTATTTCGAAACAACTGATAAATTACCAAAAGTTATGAATATTTATTGGAAGATGAGTGATACATATGAAGCATTAGCAAAACAAACAAATTGTTTGGTAACAATTTTCATTCCTTTTCATTTAAAAATTATTATTATATTTAATTACCCTTTCTCTCTCCCTCTCTCTCTCTTTCTCTCTCCTTTTAAAGATACATTTTAAATTTTGAATTTTGTTTTTGTTTTAAGGAACCATTAGACTATGCAATAGCTGCTTTGACGAGTTTACTTAAATATCGGCCATATGATCGAAATATTCGATTAAAACGATGTGCCTTATGGAAAACTTTGCAGAGTCGTGAAAATGCAATTACTGGTAATGAATTTTTAATTGTTTTCTTTCATTCATCTAAATTAGATTATAATATCTTCGAATTATTAATTAAACGAGCAATTAAATAATAATTTTAATTAAAAGAAATTATTTTGAATTCTTATTTAAGTTTGATAAAATTCAACTAATCATAAAGCATATCTTAAGATAATTGCAAAAATTTGTTTGTCAGCCATTTCATAAAAAAGGAAATAATTTGAAATCAATGAAATAATTTTAAATAATAAAAATTTAATGTAATTATTAAAGTTTCTGTTATAATTACGTTAGAGTAAGAAAGAAAATATTATTTCCTTAGAGTAAAAGATAGTATTTTAAAATATTAAAATGTGAAATTATCCGATAAAGAGGTCATAATTATTTTTATAATTATATAATTGTTTTTTTTTTGAGAATTTAATTTCTGAAGTTATAATAAAACAATAATCATTTTAAATTTAAATTATTAATTATATTGAATTTATTAATTGGATCGAATGATATGTAAATGAACTTTTTCAGATGCATTAGTTTATTTCTGCACTGAATTAAGTAAGGATTGTCTTGATGTACCATTGGAAAATATCAATCGAGTATTAAGTAATGATTTGAAATATCTAATAAATGAAGAATGCAATCACATCGAAAGTTATGTAAGTAATTCGCAGTATATTTTTTTGAAAAGTAAAATGCTATAAATTTATGCAAAAAAAAAATTATCAAATTTTGCTTTTTATTTCACCGACTATTAATGTGATATTTGTATCGCATAGAATTATTTAATCAAATAAAGAAAATAATTTTCATTTCAGACATGTAACATATATAATATATGATTTCAGATATATATATTTTTTAAAGTCACAATAGATTAATCTGTAAATTTAGTATAAATTTGAATTTTGAATAAATTTTAATTTGCCTTTTTGAAATTGTATTTCAGGCACAATCATTGCAACCATTCTTAACGCAAGATTTTATCAACTTATGGTTATCATGTGATTGCGATGATCCATTGGTTAAGGATATTTGGAATGTGCGAGATGAACTACTTGGTACACTTCCAAATGATATTGAACCAATAAAGGAAGGGTATTAATTTTATTTTTTATTTTTAAAAAGTTATAAAGTTTGATTTATCTTCAAATATCAATAATTTAAATTACCTTACATTAACATATTATTAATTGTTAATAGTTTTTCGTAAATTATTCACAGCTTACAATTTCTATTTTTTTTTTAAATAATTAGTCAGTAATTAATGCGACTTAAAAATCATGTTTAAATAATAAATTATATAAGTTTTAATTTATTTGAAGTTGCTTTAAAAAGAAATTTGCTTAATTAATTTATAATTTTTTTTTGTTTTCTAACAGTCGATATAAGGAAGCTTTGAAAGCTTTATCAAATGGCGAATTTTCATCAGTGATGAAAAATTTGGAAGAAGCATCGATAAATGGAAGATATCGTTTGGAAGCGACGTTACTGTTAGCATTGGCGCATACACGCGACGACGGAGCAACTGTAAATAATTTATTAATTTAACTTATTTTTTGTTCTTTTGTCATAAATAATTCGATAAGAGAATAAGTAATTAGTTGGACATATTATGAATAGGTGGATGAGAATTTTCGGTAAATAGGATGAAAATTTGGTAGGTAAAGTTTGTAAAAGAGAGAATCATTGGAATGAGTGATGAATCGAATTAGCCCGATTCTTAATATTAGTGAAATAGATTGGATAATTAATTGGATTGTTAGTTTTTTTAATTATCAGTTCTTTAAAATGATAAGCTTACCCTATCGCATTTTAATAAATTTGTTTGAAGTTATTATAAGATTATCTTCACTTTTAATTATCAAAAGTTTCAAATTTTCAATAATTAATGTTTTATGAAAATTTCTGAAACAAGAAATGAGTATTGCTGAATAATTGCAAGAATTGAACAACATTTCAAAATTTAATCCAATTTCTTTGTTGAGTATAAAATTTCATTTTGCGTAGGTTGACAAGTTTTTGGATCGATTCGAACGAATATGGAATCAAAAACCCATAGGATACAGTTTGCGACGTTGTGCGCAATTGGTTGTGCGTTATATAAGCATATCGCGTGCGATAAGATTCAATCCTTTCAGGTTTTATATTCTAAAATTAAGTGCAAAAATATAATTTGTATTTAAATTAAAAAATACTAGAAAATGAAGGAAGTGAAGTTAAACCTACAATTAAAGATTTTACTTTCAGCGGCAAAAAAATGGAAAATAAGACAAAAGAGATGGAAGCTAATTTGTATTTACAAGAAGCATTAATAATCTTTTGGAAGAGACAGAATTCGGATATTGGTGAAGTTTTCTGGAAAAAAGAATTAAAAAATGATAATAGACGGAAATTACAGCATATCCAGAAATTATGTGATTTAGCGTTGAAAGAGAAACCGGATTTTCATCATGCCAAGTACTGTTCGGCTTTTTGTTTGGATAAAGATAATATTAGCCAAGCAAAATTTGAATTTAAAAAATTAATTCAAAATTTAAATTTCACATTAAAGCGTAATTACAAATAACATTCAAAGTTTAATTACAATTTAAATGTGTTCATATTTGCTATGTAATTAAAAAAAATTCTTCCAATTTCTTCTTAGAATTCTAAAGTTGCGATCAATTTTGGAATTAAAAATGGCAGTTAGCATTTCGGTACTGAATGACGACGATTTAAAGCCATTGGAAAATATCGTCAACAAAACGAACGAAATATTTCCAGCATATAATGCATTCGGAGATTTGTGTTTATATTCGGTATAATTAATTCTTCTTATAATTTTTGACAGATTTAATTTTAAAGAAGTAAAATTTACTAAGATAGCAAATGTGACGTCGAATAAGTCAAAATATGTTCAATTAAGATTATTGAGAATTGTTAGATTTGATTAAGTTCAAAATTCGATGTTATGGTTTAAATTTGACTGATTGCTTCTTGACAGATTTTGTATTCCAATACTTTAGTATATTTAAAATTAATAGTATAATATATGAGAATTATAATAACTAAAGTGGAAAACTTTTCAGGTTTATCTTGCTAACTCAAAAATTGACAAAGCTAAATTATGTTGTGAGAGAATGCTCAATGCGTTATTCTTACGTGGACAACCTCTAACTTTCTTAATGTAAGTCTGGATTAGCTTATAAAATATAATTATTTTTTGTTTTTTGCTTTTAATTATTAATTTTTAGAAGATGTGATTGGGATGTTGATAAAGCGCAAACTTTAAAACGATTAGAAATGTTATTAGCAAAAGAGCCTGAAAATTATGTGGCACATATTCTTATGTATTATTATCATTTTAGACAGTAAGTTATTGCTTCTTCTTTTTCTCTCTTTCTTTTCTTCATCATTCTTCTATTTAAATTTTAAATTCAAAAGAAAAATTTTCGTATTATTTTTGTTAAAATTAATGAATAACATTCTTCCATTCTTTTCTCAAAATAATTTTCTCACTTCTCAAAATTTGCTACGATTTGAAGTTATACAATTTCAATACTTTCCATTCTTAGATTAGCATTTTAGATTTTTTAATAACTTCCATTTAAATTTAATTACATTTTTATTTAGTGGTGAACTGGATTGTGCCCTTGAACATGCCGATTACGTCCTTAAATATTGGCCTTTTCATATGAATACTGATAATTTATCAGCACATATTCGTGAATATGTACATTGCCATCTTTTGCAAACAGTACAAAAAGAGATGGATATGGTTGTTGAAGGTGAAAAATGCAGAAATTTTCCATCTTCATTAAATTTATTTTGAAATTTATGATTCAATTATGTTTTCGAAATAATAGAAAAATTACGAATTCTAAAGGGAACTTTAAAGTAGAAAAATGTTATTAACGAAGTATTGCAAATGTTCTTTTGACATTACGAATCAGTACTGTTATAAATAATAAAATTTTGAATTTCTATTAGTAGAAAAAAGTAGAATTGAGTAGAAGTAGAAAATTTTAGATTTAATTAATTTGAGATGTAAGTTTAAATCATATTTAAAATTAATGCTGTGATGTTTTAAGGCATACTTTTTAAAATTGACAATTGTCCTTCATTCTTCAAACGGTTAAATTATTTCATATATAATTCTATATGAAAGATGTGGAAAATTCAACATTTTTAAATTTTTTTAAGGGCGCAATTTCGAAATACTTCTCAATTTTATTGAAGTGTATCAAAATTTCAGCATCACTTCGCATGATATCGTCTTCGTTACCACTTCTTGGCAATTTACGGAAAGATCAAGTGATATCGGGAAAAATTCGACGAATATTTTCCACCGAAGTGAATACAAGCGAATCCAAACAAGACATTAGAATTCTAGAAAAACCTGATCATGACTTTTTTGAGATGGAACAATTTTATCTCAAATTAGATGCAATAGCACAACAGGAATCTGGAATATCGGAAATTTCAGTAGAAAAAGACCAAAAGCAGAAAATATGTGGAGAAGAAACGGCTTCTACTAGCAATTGCCAATTTTTTAGTGATTCAGAAAAACCTGACGATCATTTTCTATCATCCGAAGAAAAAGCTGAAAATGCTGGGAAAATGATTAGCGCAGCGTTTTATTACGCGGAACAATTGCGACGTGAAATCGAACATGGATCACGAGTGGATAAAGATAAATGTCGTAGTGAGGATATTAAAGATGCTAAAAGTTCATCCTTGAAGCAAACATTGAAATCTGAAAAATTAGTAGTATCCGACGAGAAGAAAGTAGGAAATGACAAAGATTTTGATACAATCAATTGATTGATAATGAATATAAAACAATGTGTCAAAAAAGAGTTGGATGAATAAAATTTTGCCCCATTTGTTATTTTATTGTATATTTAATTCTTTCTCAATCCAAAATTTTAAATGGAAAAGTCAATGTGAAATTTTTACTGAGTTAGTAGAATGAAAAAATATAACTTAAAGGTTATTGAATAATAAATTTCAGAAAAAACTGAATTTTTTTTGATTCAACAATTACTTATTATTAGTTATCTACACTTAAAAAATTTTCGCTTGCATTCATCCAAATTTCATTAAAATAATTTAAATTATAGGAGTCAAACTCATTCGTGTAGTGAAGCAATGAATATAATATGCGAAAAAAATTCTAATATGTTTATTTACTAACAAAAAACGCTATGTATGCATAGCGCATGCACATATGTTACTGCAAAATTTCTTGCGTAGAAATATGTATTCACCGTACTGGCGAAATAATAGTTTCGAATTAATACTAATTAAAAAATGGAAATTTTTATAGATCACCCGGAAATACTTTCAAAATTTAAATAAATAAACTTGTTCAATTTTAGAGTTCAATCGATAGATTTTGGATGGGTTTTAGCAGATTTTCATATTAAATAGGAAGACTTCCTGGTCTAAACTTAAACGAATTCTGAATTACAAGCGAACTTTCAACCAAAACTTGTCGGAAAAAAAATGTTTAGTTTTGTAAAACAGACTTTAACACTTACTGAGTGACAAATTCTCTGTTCGTGCAAATAATGAAAGTAACGGAAATTTCAAAATACATATTTAATACAAGCAAAAATATGATCCTCCAGAAACTCGATAGCTTTATCTACAAATCTTGTATTAGTATTTCTGAAGAAATAATAGCCGCTGAAAAAAATATATAAACCTAAAGTTAATGCATCATAACAACGTTCCTCGCTTATTCTCCTCCCGTTTTTTCTTCGCTTCAATTAACTCATCCGAAACTTGATTTTTCAACATTCCTTTCCTTTTCATCTGATATTCAATCATGCGAGCATTCAGCGTATATGATTCAGCTATTTCACGCTAGAATAAATTGAGAATTAACTAAAGCAAGAACTAGTCATTATGTTAATTCACGGAATCTGTTAATTATTGTTATCAAATCGTGAAATTTGAAAAAGAATCATATGCAAAAAGGAGAGGACCATAAAATGACACACATAATACCCTGTATGAGTGTAAGTCCATAAGAAATATCTATGTCATTACATAGACTGTCTCTATTACTTTTGGAAATATGAAAAATTTAGTCCAATACTCTTCCAGAACATCAATTCATTTAAAGGTAGTATTTGCTTACCGCCTCCAGTTCATCCTCCGCTTCTTCAACCGTAGAAACAGTGACTGAGCCAACTTTCCCTTGATTTTTTACATGTTTCGTCATGATTACCTGAAACCAAACCATATGGACATCTATTAAAATAAAAATTATAGTAAAATGAAATATTCACATAAAAATTATAGTAAAATGAAAAAAAGAAATATTCACAGTAGGAAAGAAATATATGGTTAAACCGAAAATTTCGGCTGACCTTTTTGACGGGTTGCTCCTCGTTTGCAAGCTTAAGGCCACCAATCTGTTGCGCAGAGCGTACAGCATTATCAAAAATAAAAAGATAATTCCTAAAGTTGAATGGATGATAGTAGAAAATTGGAATTCCACATTTATGGCAGTTTTTTCTATACTGCTGCTCCAATCCTTCTCTTCTGAAAAAACGGATCGAAATTCATATATCAAAATAACGCGAAAGAGATTTTTCTCTATTGCTTACTCTAGAGTTGTAGAAAAACTACATCTTTAGAATAAGACTTTAATTTTACTTACCTTAAAATTCTAATGTTACTCTAGAGTTATCATATCATATCTGAATTCAAGTTACACTTATATTTTGATAATTGTACAACAAGCAAAGTCGAATTAAAAAAGTTGTTTGCATAACTCTAGAGTAAGAAGCAGACAAGACAAAACCTCTAAGGAAGTATACTAATTTCGGCTGAAACAGGTAATTCTCAACAGATCAGAATTGGAGGAGATAGTAAAATAAGTTCACCTTCGTACATATACAGTATCTCCATTAACACCGAATGTTTTAGCTTCCGTACGTGCAGGATCAATGACGCGCGATCGATCACGTCGGCGTAAGGGCATCCTTGTTATCAATGTATCTGTTATCATTGCTATCTATAACATCACTGTTAAGTGATCTACATGACCTGTTAAGAATCTAATTGACAGTAATCTACCAAGTAATTTACCAAACTAACAACCATCAATATTTTATCTAAATATCATTAGATAAAAAGTAATGGCGTTTGCTAATTAAATCATAAACGCTCGCTAATTAAATAGTCTCCTCTCATCTGACACCTGAATGAAATCTTTCAAGGCTTAAATATCTGTCTGTGACAGCCTGAATACATCTCTTATACACTTCGATTGTCAGAACTTACTCTCCTAATGAAAGAAAATATGAAATACACACCTGTCCACAGTGGCAATAGTACGTATGTAATGGTTTGACAAAATGTTCTTCTCGATCTTGCTCATCGATAATTTTACCTTCTCCTCGAAAACGATCATCCTCTACATGTTCCACTTCATGCGGATCGCCTTCTATCATTGATGTCATCCTCCTTGCAAAACGTAGACACGTTCCTAAGATAAGTCAACAAGCATAAAGTAAAACAGAAGCAACCAGGAACGAACAATGCATAATTTAAGCGCAGATTTCAACACAGCCAGTTTCGAAATTGACCAGTGCTCATTCACGTCACCTTCAGTCAGTATCATGCAAACCTTTACAGATTTTCTCAATCTATGCACCACATGCTTCGCCATTTCTATCCATCTCTATCGTCTCTCGAATTAATCTTTCCGTCAGTTTCAATCGCCCACTCTGTTATAATATATGTGTTATCTTTAAACAGTTCCCAGTCATCTCTGCTCTCTCTCAATCAACCAATTCTCACACTACTGCATATTTTAAGATGCGTATACTTGACGTGATTCCCGAGAGTGTGGCGTGACCACGCTTAAAAGTGTGTGATTTATTATTCGTTTCAATACAAGCATTTTATAGATATTATGATGGTGTTATCTTCGTCATTCGGTTTTAAAGATTTGAAGGATTAAAGAACAGCATTAATTTAAACTTGTTAACTAAATTATATAATTATTAACTAATTGTAAAATGCTTTGGACTTTGTTTACATTTTTATGATTATGCGACTTTATGATTATCTCTTTAAAAATAACAAAATATCAGTTATTAGTATAGTGTATTTTCGCATACTGTCCCACAAAGTTGTGATGCTTCTATGTAAAATTTGTCCTTTTATATATTCGAATATATATTCGAATATAATTTGGCATGAAACATAGCTAACTGTAACAATCAGCTAGGAACTGGAAAGGGAGTGAAATGATATGTTGTTGTTATAGTTTTCCAATTTTTTAATATTGTTTTGGAACGACATATGAAAAGATAAGTTAAATAATTATAGTTTTTTTGACTGATCTGTAAAGTTAGCTTCAGAATAACTCAATTTTCCACATCACTTTGTAGTCCTTGTTTGCAAGCAAAGTGACGTGTAGATGGTGCCCGCCTGGAGGAGGTACATTATACGGCTTGGGACTTGGAGTTTTAACTTTTTCATTCATAAAGTTCTTTGTTTTAGCCGTTATTTCTTTTGAGCTTTTTTTTTATTAAAATTCTTTTTGGGTCGAATATCTGCTGGTTGAATGTTAGCATTTCAGGGTAAGAATGTATGGTGTCGTTGTTACTCCACCACTCTTTGAAACAGAAATAATGCATGTCGTTTATGTGGAGGAAAAGATTGGTCTTCTATTTATTAAACGAGCTCCAGTAACAAATAGAGCAAAATTGACCAAACAAGAACGTAAAGATCTCGACAAAGTGATTAATTTGAATTTTACTCATTCATTTTGCATACTTTTGGAATTTGTAGCTTGTAAGCTTTATTTTCTTCTCTACTAGATACAGTTTTCTAATTATGAATATCTTGGCAGTAGAAAAACCAAATGACAACTCATATTTTCGAACTCACTACTTATTGCGAACGGGTGGCCGAAAACATGGAAGCTGATTCGTAACAAATTTATTACCTCATATCGATGAGTAAAACTGGAATCAGTAGAACTTGTGCAAAGTTTATGCGAATGAACTAGGTATTACTGTAAATAGGCAACACTTTGAAAGATACTTCAGGCTGAAAGAAGAAGATCTCTTGTATTCGGTGATTGGATTGAATTTGAAGAAAGCGACATTATAGAACGTTGTATTGAGAATTATGTAAAGATTTATCCATTGCATCCTTGCCGCAGCTTTGGCGATTGTCTGCAGGTAAGAACTACTTAATAAGCTAAATTCAATGCTTGTAAACTCAGTCCAGAAATAATTTTGTGCTTTATTATTCTGGAATAGATTTACAGCTTTTTTAATATTGTTCCAAGGATATTGTTCCAATGGTTTTGCATGGAATTTTGTTCCAATGATTTGCATGAAATTTTCCTTTAATAGGGGCAGAGGAAAGAGGAAAGTGCTTTTGACATATACCCGGTCCTCCGGGATCTTTGTAGTCGGAAATTTATTGGAAGTCAAATCGAAGATATGATATTACCAATTCATAGACGAGGTTAAGGGTATCACTAAATGGTTCTTGTTTGCACTTATCATATGGAAGGAATTTAGTTGATTTTGTTTTTGATAACTTAATCACTGCAGATTGCATCAACTTGTGTCTTTTCACCATTAGCTGATGGATGGGTGAATGAATGTTACTGTGAATTGTTCGGTAAAGTTCGGGTTGATCCGGAATTAAGGAACTGTTTTCTTGCTGATGTTGCATACCGGTAACCTGTAAAAATAAATTCATTTAAAAGCTCATTTTATGGAGTTAGTATTTGACCACATAAGTGTATACCTACTGTGCTTTATGGAACTGAAGCTCGTAATATCAAGGCAGTCCTAAATTTAGAGAACTGTCTTTATATTGCTTTACTAATAATCAATATTCTTGTTTTTTACATTCAAGCAGTATTCCTGTTTTTCCTAACTTCAGTTTTTTCAGTTGCTGGATTTCTGTGGAAGTAACGAGAATATCGTCTTTGAATGTGGAGGTTGGTGAGTATATAGATGTATCAGAGGAACAGAATCTGGTAAATGAAGCGGTTAGTTCTGCTTCTTATTTATAAATCAATAGTACATCTCTATCTTTAGTAATCCGAGGTCCTGCTTTCGAAATGGTGGCAGAAATAATCATTATTTTCTAAATTTTAAAATCAGCCACTCATAAGGACTTGGAATTGTTAGTTCCGAAATCATGAATACTTTAGGTTTAATCGGAACAAATTTTTAAGTTTAAAGTAACAATAATTGCTTTCACTACAATTCCATACTGTAATGATTAATAAGAAAATAAAAGAAAAGAAATTCTTAATTTATTGCTATTGGCTTTTGTTTGCGATGTGTTACCGTAAAATGGAGTCAGATTGGAAAATGTTTCAATTATCAAACAGTTATAAAGGAAAGTACGAAAATTATTGAGGGATTGCCCAAGAATATAATTTTTAGCCTTGGAATCAACAGGATCCCAGATTTATTACCATCATCAGTAGCGATACCGATGAGAGCGATTCGGATCTAAGGGAAGATTTTTCTCGAGTATCGTGTCCGTATGAGGTATCATCTGTTCTCACATCCATTACTTTTATGATGAGACAAAACTATGCGTTAGGAGTTCCCTCACATCATCATTGTTATGTCGTTGACGAATCAGTTATGTTGTTTTGGTCTCCATAGGACCGAAACCTGTATTATTTAATTGTTGAGAAATCTCAATATTTTATTCTTTGTCATATGGATCATAAAGTATTAATAGGAGGAGGCGGATATGAAGGAAATGAAGATCAAAGTCAAGAAAAGAGATAGGGGAAAATTCTAGAAGGAGAAGTGGCGGAGTTACGTATTGAACTTTATATTCATGTAAGATACGAAATTGAATTCGATTTGAATACTCCTGCTTAAAATACATATAATTCTAACAATTAGTTTAACTTTCAAAGGCGGTTTGTAAAGATCGCTTAATCTGAATTCCCAAGTGATGGATACAATATTGTTTATGAAAATCAAATAATTCTTGAAACTGTTTGCAACTATGGCTCCCATAGAGCCGTAAGGGGCTGGAATTATTTCTTTTCAACTTATTCGTTTCATCTTATGAAATATGATGAAAATTGAACACCATGACTATGAAAAATTGAATATTAACGCCATTTGTCTGCTAAACCAATTCTGAACTTTGGAAGAGAATTAGTTATCTCTTTTGTTTTTCAGGAAATTTAATTTTAGATTCAAAATTTCGAATCGTTTTGCAGTTGAGATTGCTAGAAATAAAGGCATGAAACCTGCGCTGGATTAATTCAAAAAATATGAAATTGCTTGGTGTCGTTTCAAGTTGGAAAATGTGCTATTCTTTTTGATTGTCTTCAACGTTTTTTAATCCAAAAGTTGGGAAAACATTAAGGCAACTCAATATATAAATATTAAAAGTGCAATAGAAAATGTGATTCAGATCACTATAGTAATGGTGTAGAGTTTTTGGAGTGCGTCACCGTAGCACTTTTCACGATCGCTTTGGCGGTAGGACGCGTATTGGAGAAATGTATAATTATGATAAGAAAAGATTATGTGTTATAACATTTCACCTTCATGTATTTTCATCACGTTACAGATCTGCAATGTGGAGGGTGTACTAGTTAGTGAACGAAATGTGTACAGTAGCCAGTATCGATACGCTAAAATCACATTGGCCTATGTTAAACGTGTTCGGCGTACTCCCGTCGGCTGCCGCATACATTTTAACGCATACTACAGTATTCCTTTACAATCATATATAGTTCGGTCATATCGTCCTTTGGAGAAAAAATCGTTTACAGTGAAGCCCTTTGCATTTGGATCACTATTTTTGGTATTTTTTCTGGTATTTCTCACAATATAGAAAAACTCAATTGAATACTGAAAAAAGATTTTAAAGTTACTTTACAACTGGTAATAGGATTCCTTTAGTTTAGTTAACTCTGAATTTTATTCTTGATGAGTGGCTTGAAATCACAGCAGACCCAACAATCGAAAGAAAATATGCTTTCTGAAATCGCAATAGTTCTGTAAATCCCAACTTCATCGCAAATTTCGCTCTATAATGTAGAGTGAAACGAGTTTAAATCATATACCATTCCATAAATCATATCACTTAGTTGGAAGTTTACGCCAAATGGGGACCGAGTTTGCCGATGGGATATTTGTGGAGCGAAGATGAGGATCTAGGATTGATCCACGATGCTGAAGGGCTGCTGCTACCTATACTGTTAGGTAAAAATCCTTATGCATCGGTATGCGTATATGTGGCAGATGTAGGTCCTAATCGTTTAAGTCGTTTTGCCGTAAAAGATCTTTCCGACATGACAACAAAGAAGGCGAGTGCTATTATGAATAGCGGCTATGTAAGAGTTTATTTTATTTTTAACTTTATTTGTGAAATAACTTAGAAAAAGAAGTTGTTTCGTTAGGCCTTGCTTTCAAGCTCCCTTATTTTTTTGAATGCGTCGATATTATTGAATGAATTAAATAAGCCGCAATATTGTATCCCTATTACATTTTAATATATTTCTGAACAACGATCACTTATATTGACACTAATAAAATAATTACTTGTAACATTACCTACATTAATAAATTAGAATATATTAGAACTTTGCCGTGCATGATTCTAGACAGAGCTGTCGGATGATGGCTTGGTTTTGGGTGACGGTTCTCTTCTAGCATCCCGTTATCTTTGTTTGGAAATCCGCTTCGACAGCAGTTCGCCAGAAGGATGGGACAAACTTGTTCCTGGGACATGGATCAACTTCACAGCTTGGAGTTCTCCTGGCATTCCAGAATTCAGAATCAAAACCTGGAACTCAATATTCAATCCAGTTTTAATGCAGATTCATGCAGTTCCAACTTGCCGTGGTTATGCGGTGAGCGTTCACGATTTTTCAATCTGTTTCCGATGGCCTGAGAAGCGACTAAATTTCAGTGAAGTCCTTAATATGTGATATTTCATTTAGTCAACATTTAATATATCATCCACCGTTATATCATATTTGTTCTTTAGTAATTCAGACTGGGATAGATTTTTAAAGATTTATTTAATAATTTTTGTTTTTTTCTGTTTGATGGATTTTTAAATATATGAAAGTATTTCAATTTCAGTTTGAGACATTTGGCTATTTCAAACAAGAGCTAGGTGCTATAAAATCATCCGTATTTGGTTTTATTGAAATACCACGTGAAAAGTGGTCATTGATGAATGCGGAAGATAAAGGTGTGACGACTCTTTGGGTGCGAGAAGATAAAAGAAATAAAAAAACACGATTTGTACTTCATTCGATTGAAGCCCCACAGGTATCGTAATTTCAGTTACAAAGTTGGATTTGAAAAACAAGCTTGTTTTCTTCCTTTTAAACAACTTTAAGTGATTTTGTTTATTCGTTTTTAACAAGTATTGTTTCCTATCTGAATGTCTTGTCGATGGGCGCAAAAGTTCTGCAATGATACTGTATTGCGAAGTTTCATTTACTAAGTCTTATTACATAACAGAGACATAAAATGATTTTTACCGAAGTTAAAAACAAAACTGAACTGTGATTAATGATATTATTAATTAAAAAATAATAATTAAAAAATATTATTAAAATAATATTCTTTTCCTGTGAAATTTAATGTTTCGTTGATAAATATACTTTCAAGGATGTTGTAAAAGATACGGATGAAGAGTCATTGCAGCCTTTGATGAATGATGTTCAGCAATGTTATGTAACAGAAAAGGTGAGTGCAAGTATTGTTAACAAAAAAAACAAATGTGATTATAAAAGCATTTGTTTTCATGAGGTAGTTTTTGGTTCTCTTTTCTCTATGCTTTTATATGATATACTGAATGGATGCAAGAGAAAAAGAAAGAGATTGCATATCATCTCCGTTAGATTTGTGTTAATAAACTCAGTGGAGATCCAATAAACAGCAGAAGCAGTTCTTTGGAATTAAGTTTATTTTTCATACCGTTAACATCTTATCGTAATGAGCAGTAAAAGTATTAAATTTCAGTTCATTGTGCCTTGTAAAGGAATTGACTGTGAAGGCAAACAGTTACTGCTGCGCTGCTTTAACAATCGTGCCATCGTAAACAATCTGATTAAAGTATCAGCCGATGAACTTTTGACTAGTATTGTGAAGCTTCTGACAACGGAAAAGCCGGAAGATTGAAAAATTAATTGTGATTCTAGTGTTGTTTAAAAATACTGCAGTTTAATGTTATCATACATTTTTACGCTATCTGATCACTTTATAAATATTTTTTCTGGCATTTGCTAATATCTGATGTTTTTTAATTAATGTTGTGGAGCTAAAAATTATGTTTGTTGTATGCACCATAATAGAATTTTTTATGTATTATGCCAAAATCATTGAGGTTCTTAAGTATATCATTGTTACCGATTCTTTACTTTTCACTTCTTATGGTCATTTTGTGCGCTTTACGCATAATATTGTTTTTAAACTTGCTGGGGATTTCATGTTTTTCTTTCTTTGTTTTTGTGCGTGCTCTATGTCTAAAAGCGGTTTACTTTTTCTTTTTTCATAAACAGTAAGACGTTGCTGTCGAAAAATAACTTTAGGGGAAAAGAACTGGTTCAAAAGAGATGTAAACATTTATTGCTTCCCATTTATCTGTCTCACGATAAATAGAAAGTTCCATTCAACTGTTTCAGATATTGCAAAAGTTCGGATGACAGCACGTTAAAAAACAAGAACTGCGATGGTCAAAAATGATGAACAGAAGTGAGATCATTAACAGAAAAGGGTATCACTGAATATCCACACCAAGTGACGGATGTTCTATGCATTTGTTAATGACTCCAGTCAAAGATAAATGAGTCTCTGAGACGGGCATTAAAACAGAAGTTAATTTATCCCATCGGTCATTCTCATCATCCCTCACTGGAAACTATCAGGAGCATCGAATTTCAGTATTATTTCAGTGACTGAATTTAGTGTCCATCCTCATCTCGAAAACTTCCACTTTTGGCACCATAATTTCTGAAATCTAATTTTAATGCTAATACATTTCCAACCATCTCCATCTCTGTCAACATTATAACACTTCTTTTGCAGTTACTTTACTGTGTTACGGTCTGGAATGAATTGTCCAATTCTCACTCCCGCTACCTTCCACCAAAATGAAATACATCAGTACAGTTTTCCAAATAGGGAAAAAAATTGCATATCGTTACAGAAGGCTGAAATTTGAACTGCCTCCTACAGGGTCTGAATTTTATCTACATATGTTTTCGGCTAACTACGGCTAACAGGCGCGAAATTCTGCAGGTATTTGAACTGGAAATGTGAGTGAAGGTGGTGAATGTGTACGAGTATGTGATGTGCATTTCTGGAAGGTGTTGTGCATTGGGCAATCCTAAATTGCATGCGCATTTGGTTCTTTTTATTTTTTATTGGGAGTAAGTCTAGAAGTAGTCAGAAGGTAACATCAATTAGGACATTTCCTCTTCTAAATTTTTCTACATAATTTTTCTAAATCTCAATCTGTCTTTTCATGTGTCAATTAATCTCATAAAAATTTATCCAAATCGCTTTTTTAAGGCTCCGTAAAAGAGAATGCGTAAAAGAGAAGTGCTGTTTACTGCTTCAGAAATTATTAACTTAGTTCTTTAATTAACATCAAAAAAATTAAAATGATAGACGATGAATGGAATTAACAAGTCAAGCAAGCAAAGTGATGTCTTTGGAGTTATCAAGTTGTGGATAAATATTTAACGAGTAATTATTTTTTGACTGCTGATTTGTTTGAAAATGCTTTTTTGGTACTATTTTCTTGTATCAAAAGCTTACTTCTATATCGGGAATTTTTCAAACATTTTTTTTCAGAATTTCAGCTCTGTACAAAACAGCTGTCACTACTAACAATGCCACTTGAGGAAGTTAATGTTAACTCTAATGATTTGCTAAGCTTGAAGGAGAATTTAACGAATCGAAAGGTCTGAATTCTATAATAGTAATCATGATATTAAGTTTTGAAGTTTTATGTGCTCTTCTATTGTAATTTTAGACGGAACCATCAAGTGGTATTCGCGAAACAGCTGCCACTACTCTAAGATGCGAATCAAATGGAGAGATTTTGTTGGTCGAAAATCCAAATCGTTTTGTTATATTTCCTATCAAATTTTATGACATTTGGGATTATTACAAGAAGGCATTGGCATCATTTTGGACTGTTGATGAGGTCAGTTGTTAGCATAATTACGTTGGTGTAAGTTCTTTTATAAAATTCCTTTGAAAATGAAACTAAGGTACAAATCTTATCCATATTATAACATATTCTTTCCGAATATTATACACGTCCAAATTTCAGGTTGACCTCAGTAAGGATTATCGTGATTGGGAGAATTTAAACGATGGGGAGCGTCATTTCATCTCAAGAGTTCTGGCGTTTTTTGCCGCCTCAGATGGTATTGTCAACGAAAATTTGGTTAATTTTTAATTCGAACAGTTGAAATCGTTTAAAAAAGCTTCAAAGTGAACTTAACAATCTGTAATATATGAGAGTTTGAATTTTTCATCTGATCACATTTTTATCTCCAATTCTTATTTTCAGAAGGCAATGTTTTTTATCCCTTCTACTTTGTTCCAGGTAAATCGTTTCTCGCAAGAAGTCCAGGTGCCAGAAGCACGGTTTTTCTACGGTTTTCAAATTATGATCGAAAACATTCATTCTGAAATGTACTCCAAAATGATTGATACATATATTCGAGATCAAAAACAAAAGTGTGTCATTGCCGATCATCTTGATTTCTGTTTATGTTGTTAATTTTATCTCAACACAGATTTTTTGGATATCTCAGAATTATGCATTGCACTTTGTTTTCTCAAAACTGGTCAATTAGGCGCTCTTTGCATCGATTCGAAGCTGGATCTTGATGAAGCCTTTTGCACCACTAAAATGCAAAAAGAGTTACTCTGTATTCCAGGGTTTGTAACACTTGTAAGTATAAAGAAAAATATTGGCATTTTCGCTATCAAGGTAATGATGTTATCAGCGACTGAAATTAATTATCTATTCTTCTCTTAAGGTCTCTCTTATTCAATGCAATTTATGAATTCGAATTCGTTAAGAAGAAAGCCGATTGGGCGCTGTGTTGGATTGCTGATATAAGTGCTTCCTATGCGGAACGACTGATAGCTTTTGCTGCTGTTGAGGGTATATTTCAGTTTCTGTTTTTTGTTTAACAAGGAAGCCACTGTTAATATCTTGATTTTGTCTCTCCAATATTGTAGAAATCTTTTTAGGAATATTTTTCTCCGGAAGTTTTGCTGCAATATTTTGGCTGAAAAAGCGCGGTTTGATGCCGGGTCTAACACATAGCAATGAATTGATTTCAAGAGACGAAGTAAGTCATGGTAATTATTCAACAATAGATAAGTGATTAGAATAATTTTGGTCTTTTGTTAATATGAAGCAGTGCAGATCACTAATCAAATTGAAGCATTTACTTCTCTACTGTCCGGAGTCTTGTGATACAACAAGGCCAAGGTCGAATATGTTGGACTCGGTGAATCGTTCCAAAAACGAAGATACTTTTCCAAAGTGCTTTTGCTTTTCTTAAAAAAAATTAATTGATGTCGAGCAAAGTTTGTCTTCAGGGCTTGCATCGCGATTTTGCATGTCTCTTGTATTCTTATATCAAAAATAAACCTTCGGAGGAAAGAATTTATCAGATTATTCGCGAGGCGGTTGATATTGAAAAGGTTAGTCGATTTATTTATCCACGAATTGCCAAATGGTGTGGATTATTTTTCCACTTGGCTTACCATAGAACACATGAAGTGACGGTTTGTTCAAGTTTTAGGAGTATTTGACGGAAGCATTACCGGTCGATTTGATTGGCATAAATTGCAAGTTGATGTGTCAATATATTGAATATGTAGCTGATCATTTACTAACAGAACTCAATTGCGCAAAGGTAATTTTTCATGAAACACTTACAAATGATAAAAATTATGAAGTTATAACTGTTAAAGATCTCTTCGTTAGATTTTTTGAAATTAAAGCCAACTTTTTGTTTCATTTTTTGCTAATCGCGGTATTTCCAGATATACTGTTCGGATAATCCATTTGATTTCATGGAGCGTATATCTATCGAAGCGAAAACTAATTTTTTTGAAAAACGTGTCAGTGAGTACCAGAAAGCTGGTGTTTTAAGCAGCGAAGAGGGAAAAAGTTTCAAGTTAGATTCGGATTTTTGAGCTTTCTCTAATCTATAAATTAATGATCCTCATCGCTATTGTCTCTTGTAAACGAGTCTTTCTGAATCGTCAATAGTAACACATTACCTTTCTTGACCTAATTCTTACTGCATTTTTTCATCATAGGAAAAATTCGAAGTGTTTCTTTTTTAAAACATTCGCTAACCATTTCTTCTGAGTTGAATTATTGAGTAATTCAACTTCAGAAGAAACTTTGTAGAAAAAATTTTTCCTAACGACAATTTGCATCACGCATTATTGCAAGCCAACTGAAGAAGAATAAGAAAAGAAACAAGTTAAAAAGTAAACAAGGAAAAAGGACTAGAAGAAGGAGGAGTTTACTAATTGTTGTGCCTCTCTACATCACTTCGCTGATGTTATTATATCACTGATTGTTGAAAATTTGATATTTTCCCATGTCACATTTTTTGATTATCATGCTATATATTGGTATTTTCAATTCTAGTTACTTATTATAATGAAAATATGATTTTACAGCTTAACAAATCTTTGATTTTTGCTGACAGATCTCGCTTCGTTTTCACTGAAAACAAAAATACGCTGAACGACTTGAAAGTAATAGAAAATGGTGAATGAAAATCGCCCTATGATCAAAGTACGTGGGCTTGAAAGCTTTAATTTCTTATTCGGAAGATAAGACAAAAGGATTGCGAGTATGAAACTCATAATGGCTTCAAAGATAATCTTGTTAGAAAATGATTTAAGAAAAGTGCCATAGGAGATGTCTTTCATGGTGTTCCTTACAACATTTCACAGTGAAAATATTTCATTCTTGAAGTGATGTACGGATAAACTAAAGAGCAACCTATCAGGTTAGCTTACAGAAAATATCAGTTTGACTGTCAGAAATCTGTTAAGCAATCAACTTTTGATACAGTAGTGGTAAGTATTAAGAAACTTCAATGAGGCAGATTCAGAAGCGCGTTGAAAGCAGATGCAACCACTGAATTTTTATCAGACCTCAAGTTGATATTTCCTGAATTTTTAACTCACTTCCCATAAATCTTTAGGGATCTAAAATTAAGGACATATATTGGGGACTCTTTTCGCTGAGCTTATCATTTCCTAGGATATGTCAGATTGATTTATAAGTTTGCATGTTGAGGTCGTTTGATTCATTAAACAGCTGCGAAAATATCTTGAATTTCAACAAAGTGGTGAATTACTGGTGATGAACGCGTTATTCGTATTGACATCACTTAACTAAATTAAAAATATACATTAAAAGGTCCTTTTGTTGATTGGAGTTTATAAATAGCGGCAGTTCGCATCAATCGCCACTAAATCAGTCTAAATCAAAACCGTTATGAAGTCGCATAAATTGCGCAACATCTTAGGTGCCGGGAAATGTGTTCATCAAAATAGTTATCAGCTTTGAAACATGAAATGTTGAATGAACATCCATATGTGGATGAGACATGCACTTCAAGAAGTGCGACTTCATCCCATAGTTGCCGAGACAACTGACCAGAAGTCACATTATGAATTTGGATTGTTATTTACAAATAGCCCTGCGGAATGCAGCAGAATTCTTGCTTTTAGTAATTATAATGGTACACATAAAAGAAAATACTCGGCCTCTTTTACTATCACATTCTTGATCGCGACACCTCAAAAAAACTTCCTCACTCCAATTGCGAATTGTTTATGCCGCAAAAATACGATCATGAAGCAGCGTTATTTTATTTCTTCACTTGAGTAGGAATTGCGCTCAGATATTTTCAAAAATTCCATTTCCACATGCCTCCTCTAGTTTCATTGATTGAATCCCAGCAAAAGCAAATTCCCGCTGTATAAATTTGATGTTTGCTGCTACATAAACTTTTCTTAGCTTCTTTAGGGTTCAATCAATGTCAACAGTTTATTCCTATCATTTGAACTGACAATAAGTAATGGATTGTTGATAAAGAAGGCAGAGAGGGAAGATAATCGAAATGAAGTTACACATATTTGTTTAATTTACTCAATGATCACAGACAGCGATAATTGAAAAGCATCTATACGGAGCAGCAAATGGTATTAATAGCAGGTTTGCTAGAGATTTAATGGTGAGGAAAGGTTTCATTTCCTTCTTTTCTCCATTCACTTTCTAATCGCAATTTCAATCTTAAACATGACAATTACTGACGATAATGACCAGAAATGACTTCTACCTACTATATGTTCTCACCATTTGCTCCTTTACCGGAATCTTTATCATTAATCATAACATTAATATAAAATTTTTTCAAACAAACTTTTTTCTAAAGCAATACACAGAAACAAGGCGAATTAATATTTCTGGAAATATCCTGCCCAGCCTATAAAAGTTCGAAAGAAACAGACAACTAGACACAAGCTGAAGACTTGAAACGAAATAATCAGTAAAATAATATCCTAAAAATAAATTCAAGTAACTAATCATAAACGTCACGTCGCGAAAATCGCCTAATTAAGTTCATAAAAATTTTCAGCTTTTGAGTTCATTTAACAGGAAATTTTAAAAAGACATTAACCGACGCTAGTTTTTAACTGTTTTAAAGTTCTTGTTTTAAAATTTTGATAAATCAATTAATTGGTATTTGAGTTTTTATATCCTATTTCAGAATGACAGCACTAATCATTAAACGAAAAAATCTTTTTCCTGTACTCAATTTGAATTGAATTACAAAGCTACTCGTATTTGATTTGCTTAAATTATATCACGGACATCAGAACTCCAAGTTTTAACCGTATCATTCGTCAAGGCTGTTCAGTAGCACCATTGATGAAAGAAAATCATCAATTAATCTCAAAATTTTCTCCATGGCGTTCAAAAAACTTTGCCCACCGAAAATTTTCCAAAAAATATGCCAAATGAAACCATCTTTGACAAATATAAATAAAAAAATAGTTCGAAATAAATAAGTTAAAAACAGACAAAAATAAGCTTGAGATGTCAGAAAATATTACTTCATACAATTCAGGTAAAAGAAAAAAAGAATTGCAAAGGCTCATTATGCAGCCAAAACATGAAAAATGCCTACGATGAACCGCTGATCAATAAAAGAAAATTGACTCATAGCAGCAATGGAAAAATATGTCCAGTAACAATTATTTCTGAAAGAATCAGAATACCTTGCTAAGTTTTCAGGACATTTCTCAAACAATAATCTCGTATTTTCAGTTATAAATTAACAAAAATATGCTCTGATCCATAAAAGAAGGACGAAGTACGGACTTTAATTTCATAAAAAGAACCTGAACAAGTGGAAACAATAATTTTCTGATGAACAGGATTCCATTACTGTTCGGCTGTAATGAACAGAAAAATTAACTTTCAGAAACAGAAATACTATCATAAGCAGTGCACTTATGGTATGCTGTTAGAATATGCCTAGTTACCCATTGTGACCTCCTTAGCTTTTATAGTTCTTTTTTTATAATATCATTGCAGTGATGTCTTCTTAGAATTTTTGGGTAGTCATTCAGGATTTATTCCTAAGTTTCCAAGGATGCGCTGCTGAATAAAAGCCACATAACCAACCAACAACTAAAAAAACAGAAGAAAATGTGGAATACTTATTGTGCTATATTGCAACGCACTGAATAACTAATCTGTTTTCAGTTGTACGCGACTGGTGCAGCATTCAATCCAGGCACATTATTATTGTTGAAGGAATGACGCTGATATCCACGTAATACTCGATCTTTTAACCTAAAATTATAAAGGTGCTGAAACACTGTAATAGAACTGAATTAGTTCTTCAGTTTTTCTTCTATTAATTGTTCAAAAATAAGCAAACTGGCTGGTAGCCATCTCTTTCCAACCAAAAAATGATGAAATGAAAAAAGGAATGATGGTAAGTAATAATAAAATGGTGCTGTTAACAATTTTAGAATCTTTAGAAGGCCAGGAGAATAAAATTAACTGAAAGTAAGCATGGATGAAACTTGCAGAACTCAAGCTCAGAAAAATGAACTGCAGCAATTAATAAATATGTCACATTAAAGAGGCATCACTATATTAGGAATATTAATACAATTTGGGGAAAAAAAGTTGGCGAAAAACTGAAATAAAGTCAAAATGATCAACTATTTAATAATGAAGACATACTGCAAAAGCATATTACGACTCGAGAATTTGATAAGGTCTACGAAAAAGAACTTTTGAAATAATGGAAGGACCCATACTTACCTGTCGTCACCGTATTCGCAAACGATACATTTTTTATTTCGATTAAGTGCCAATAAAACTTGATATGCATGGGATGATTTCATGATTGTGTTATATGTACAATTGCGCAACAGTACCAAATTCACCTCGAGCTTCTGAAAATGAAATTATGCAAATTTGAGATTTCAATAGAAATTTGAACTCTGAAGCCTTCCATGTTTTGTTTTAGGTTATAAAAGAACGTGGTTCAGCGATAGGCGCTATAAATTCTGTTTTAGTTGTAAAAAACCACCAATCTGAAAAAGAAGCAACAATGAGAGGGCGATAACTACTGTCAATACTATTTTACGCATTAAACTGATGAAATTCACCTCGAGTGTACGTTCTACGTCAGGGATATCGGCCATCTTAAAATCAACATTTAAAAATTCGATAGACTGGATTCGCCATGCTCTAATATGGACTATACCACGAAGTAACCGTTGAAAACTAGGGTAATTGGCCTGAAATGAATTGTGAGAAAAGAAAAAAACTTGTTATTGGAAACAAGAAAAGATCTATAAATGCGAGCATAGGTGACAATAGATGATGGTAATTTTGCAGTGTTATCCTTCTTTGGCAAACAGATATGCAGAAAATGGTCGATATATGGTCGATCAAAACAGTTCAAAATGAAAACAGGAAAATATGCATACAGCGAATGGACGAAGATCGCATCGTGAGTGGAACTGCAAGATGAATTTACCGCTGGTTGTTTCCATGACTGATAAGCGATCAGGTGATAAGCCCACACGGTACATATAATCGACACCATCCAAGAATTGCTGACCTGATGTCTTCAACAGCAATTTCTCTGTTGCCATCGCAGTCAAACTTTTCACCAGAATCATTCTACTGCAAATTTTACTACTCTTTTCATCGTCAAATTTAGTGACATATAATAAAAAAACAAATGATAAGTTCAACTTAACAGGTGCACTTATAAACAGAGAAAAAGGCGCATGGAAACCATAAACCATCTCAAAAATCGGACATATTCCTTATAGAATGTGCTACTAGTTCCGCTTCTGTATCTTCGGTTCCCTTCTGCAGTATTATCTCAACACAATAAAGCACATCATTTAAAATGACATGCTAACAACTCTTCTTCTATGTACTTCCTCAATACAGTTAATAAAACAAATCGTTCAAATAAAAAATTAACAAGAGACTGAGAAATGGACAACTACAGACAGAACGCCCTTTAAACTGTACAAGTAAGAAATAATGTGGATGAGAGGATTGGAGATAAAGAAAATCAGCAAATGATAACGCATTGTAACAGTCACAGTGATTGAGAATATAGCAAGATGAAGAAGGCATAAAATCGATCGTAACCCACGGCGATGCAGCGGAATCCCCCGCAATCGTCTCCCAGACCCAACCACTGCCAACCGATGACAACGTACAGCTTGCGAATTCCGTAATTTTCAAATCGCAGTCTTATGAGTATTGTCGAATCTTGACGGGCCGCGCTCTAGATTGGTCGTCGGGGTACACGTTCTCGCGATAGAGAAGTGCTTATTCCGGGTTTTACCGGTATGATTCTGATTATGAGGGTGTAACAGAGATTCCTATCCATGTTAAAATTTACTTATTATTGCACAGTGTTTCAAATCACTTTTACTTTTTCATTCGTACTTCCGGTATTGTCCGTTTTTTGGAATATGCTTTTCCTTCACCAGTGGAAAAATTACCGTCTGAAAATGAGAAGCCTCTGTCAATTGTAAATGAGTGTAATCTATCATAAGCTTATATTACAAACAATTTCATGATCGTAGCCGTTTTAACTAGCTTTGAATGTGTTCAAATAATCTTGTAGATTATTGGTAGATTACGGAATAGAATGTGAGAAATTTGATTGAACAGCGGAGCTTATTGCTCCGTAAAGAATAGCATAACTTACACTTAACTTTGTTACACATTTCAATACTTTTCCAATTATTTCTAAATTGACAACATATTCATGGAAATAATGACTAATAAAAAAAAACAACAGAATCCACATTATTCAAATCAACCAAGCTTAAAGAATTTTCTTTAAAGGTTAAAGCCAGTTATTTCAATGGATAAGTTAAAAACTCAGGTTTAACTTTGCACATGCCATATATGTATATCTGATAGAATGATTAGGATATGTAGACTCAAAAATTTTCAATAAAATGGTGATTAAATTTATTACTCAACAAAAACAATACACTTGTCATTATTACTCTCTGAATACCAAACGACGGTATTTTGTTCTATGTACTAGCTGAAATTTTGAGCTATGAATTTTTGAATGAAAGGCTAGAATTCCGAGCAACATGAAATACTTCATTAGCTCAATTTATTGAATTTTCGATAATTATTGATAACAAGGAGTCATCAGTACTGTGCTTACGCATTGGAAATAACATTAATACAATATCGAACCTAAACTCCTGCTCTGTCACTATCAAACAATTGTGTGCAGTTCAACCAAAATTCATAATTTCTTTAGAAGTACTTGAAATAAATTGAATTCTGCGATTTAAAACTTTCATAGGATTATAAAATTTTATAGAAATCTTTTAGAAACATTAGCTTAAAACTGATGGTTCGGAAGAAATGGTTTGTTCAATGTACGTTCGGAAGAAATGGCTTGTTCGAAAATTTAATTCCAGAGATCCGTTAGGTAGTATATAAATGACAACAGAACGAGAATGATTGATTTCGATTAAAAAGAAAAGCTTCAGTAAAATACGAAAAGTTGTCTATCCGAGAGAAATGGAATTCCCTTCGTAAATTAGCTTTTTTTAATTCCTAATTAGTAACTCCGAAATATTGAAAAAAAAAACGGAAACTATTCTATATTTGAAAATTCAATGCTTCCCTACCGCTCTTCGGTAAGAATATATTTAAGCTTGCACTCATAAACAACAAAATGGGCAAAAATTTAAATTCGCGCCAGAACGTTTAATTTATGTGAAGTCCTGCATGTTTTCCCTTTTTTGCATAAATGCATGAAAGGTAAATTTGGATTGGAAATTATGAAAATTGGTTAGTTTGATGTGATGCAGTGGAATGTATATTATGGGGAAAGGTTCGAATTGTTTAGAGGAGGCTGGCACTAATCAATATCTTACCTGAATGCTTGGAAGATTATTCACGTTCGACGTGATCTGATCACAGTTAAACCATTCAGCTGAAATTAACTCACTTTGAGTTACGCTATCATGGTGGGTACTGTTTAATTTCAGCCTTCAACATGGTTTACCATTTTTTCTTAAATTATGCTGTATTTGCTTTCAGTTCGTTACATTTGAAAGAGTCCAAAATGAATGCAGTGCTGGTATCGGATAATATATAAGCCAAGCGATGCATTTTTATTGAGTTTGATTTTTATTTGGGAGTAATGATTACATATGAATTTCAAAGTACTTTATGGGCCGAAGAAAGCGGTTCCCATGCAGAGGATGGTCGTTGGTAATAATGAAGTGCAAAAGGAAAACATTTTTTTATTTGGTGATTGTCACTTGGTAAGTCTTGCGGCCAATAAATTTAACCGTAGCAAACTGTCACAGTTTCAAGTGTTTTCAGAAATCGTTTATTGTATATATTCATCAAATGTAACGCACGCATTTTACGTTGCATTTTTTAATGACTTAGTAGGCTTTACTTCGTTAAACCTTTAAAAAGCAGTATAAGATTCTAGATTGAAGATCGCAAGAACATGGCATTTTTTTATTGAGTTTGAGAATTATCAGAACATGAAGGAAGTACACGAACTATTCAAAACTAAATAGTTGGGTAAAGTTTGTTTTATTTCTCTTTCAAATTCTTCATTACTTTAGATCATAATATCTATGCCAATCTTTTTTTTAATAAAGATATCCAAATCATTTGGGATTTAACATGGCAGTAGTTATAGCAGATTATCTTTACTCTTATTGAAATATTTTTGGTTAAAACATGATTTACCTGTTTATCTATACAATTTACCTAATGTAATCTATCTCAATGATTTTTTTAAGTAGCTTATAATGAGTTCTAGCTGAAGAATTTACTGGAACGTTGCTGAGACTTCGAGGATCAAAACGCGCAAATAGGTTTTCCATTGATTTAAATTTTTACATTTTGGTAAAAGGCTTGAAATGCCGAATATAGTACGTCTTCTTTGCAATTATTACAAGTTGTCCGAAAATTCGGACGATAATTAAGAGATGAATTCAGGAAAGTGATTGTTTTATGATGGCGTTATCTCTATTTTTGAAAATCCACAACGGAATTATATTTTTTCATGTCATAGCTTTTCACTATCAATAGTCTTAGACGGACAGTGTTTTGAATCTTTTCTATGTCCTATGTGTTGCTATGCTTGTTGATGTATTTACATAACTATTTTAGGATGGCTAATGGCAAACATTTGTCTGGAATTTGTTCTAATGTTTCAAGATCTTTTGTTTCCAGTGTCAATAGAAATCAAAGCATAGTGAATCCAGATGATGTTGAAAGTAGTTTGTTTTAAATAAGTTTTTACGTCGTACATTGTTATATTATTATATACCTTAATTGCTAATTTCATACTTTGAATCTGTTAATTTGAGTTGGGAAATTGGCATATAATATTTCGCATAAAAATCATTCAGATATTTGATTGTGCTTTGCACAAGAAACAAAAATATATCAAAAGTCAGCAATTACATATGACCTGAAACGTTCTTTCAACTCTGTGAAATATGCGTAGAAAAATATGATGGTAACAGGTGACATAGATCTTGTGCAGAATATTGCAGTTCCAACTCACGGTTGGAACTGCAATATTCTTAATTCCATTTACACGTTATGATTTGGGATGAGTAGCAAGGCACAAAAGAGAATCATGAATTGTTCGGCAATGTTAAGAACAAATATTAATTGCCATGGAAATTTTTTTCTTTGTTGTTGTTGTTGTTGTTGATTTGGAGAGTTTACTCTTGTACGAAAATTATAACACAGTTATTAGAAAATATCGCATGGCTCGAAGCAGGTATTATTTAACAAAATAGGCTTAAATGAAGTCAATCACTATTCAGTAGTACTTTTTATGTTGCTGCTGATAATAATCTTCCGTAATTCTGGTATTGATGATACTGCTCCTTAAATTAAATCGAAGTGCATTATTTAAAGTCCTTTTGAATAGAAGTAAGCATTGCTCAATTCCGTCAATGAACGCTGACTTCATCCATTTTAGTCTTTCAACACGATCAACAAGCTTAAGAAGAAGATATCCCATAATAAATCTAAGATCAAACTAATTTACTAAGATCAGTCAAAAAATATTACAAGAAAGTTGTATATTTACTCATTGCTATAACTTTCATCATTCTTCTGTTCTCTCACTTATAGGTTGTAAATTGATTGTAACTTTTGCGTTTTTTTTAAACTCATGAATCTTCGTATTATTAATTATTATGATTATATTCATAATAAATAACAATAATTTATGATTTTTTTGGCTATATTGATAACAGCTTCTAACAATTAATAACAGTTATTAGTGATTAGGTAATACTAAGAGAATTAAGGAAAAAAACAATAAGAAGATGAAAATTGATTACACTTTTCACTTTCCCGATAAGGTTGACAATAATAGTACTTTAACAACAATATTTGCTTTGTTTCGATCAAAGAGATATCCATTCCACTTCGCTTTTAACAAATTTCCTATAGGATGAAGCAAAGAGGTAGGAGAGCTTTATCGAAACGGAGATTTATATTATTGGATGATAAGATATCGATCTTATTTTGATTTTAATAAATTTTTTCTCTAACTTCCAGTTTAATACGAATTATTTATCAGGAAACATTATAATCTCCGAAATTATTCTATCGATGTTTAACAAAATTTAACAAAAATTTTTCTGAATAACTTTGCGGTAACGCTACGTTAAACTGTACTACAAAGTGCTACAATGTTACGATTTAGTGTCATTTTTTCGACTGTTTATAAATTTCTTTTGCTAGCTTGGTAAAACGTTCTTAGATGAGCTGAATGGTGTCAACTATTTATTTTTAAAATTTATTTTTAGTATAATTTCGTCAATATTTGGTGGGAATAATGACTTCATCTCACTAATAATAATCATCTATGATTTACATTTGAGATATCCATACATATCAATGGTATAGCGGATATTTCATATTCAGTATCCATTTTCTAATATGAATATCACTTCTCACCACATTATAGTTCAATTTTTTCCAGTGACAGCGCGCATTTCAATCTTTTCTTTTCAATCGATTTCTGTATCTATTTTCTATAGATTTCTACTTCTATAGGTTATTTCTTTTTTTCAATCCATTTCTATAGCTGTTACTTCAAACTTCACTTCATCGTAACTGTCCTGTTCATCTAATAAATTTTGCGAATTTCAAACGTCCCGATTCCTTTCATCTTCAACGAAATATCTGCCTTCTGAATAAAGGCTGAAAATCTTTTTTTGCTTTCCGTTTCTGCTAATCGCTTACGATCCCTGCTACATGCTCATTCAAGAAGATTATACCGATTGCAAACAAATGGATGATGACTGATCTATTTATGAGGCCTCTATCCTGGCTCATGAATATGACCTAATGTTGAAAACTTGATATCATTTAATGTAATCCTAAAATTTATATGATTTAGATAAATAAGACGCTGTTTCGTAAAATAACGACATTTCGAAAATTGTTATATATTTTACGCCGAACTATTCATTGCTAAGAAACTTAACAACACATTTAATAAACCGATTAACACTGCTACTATTATTGGCACTGATGTAAAATGAATGATGGAACGAAAAATGGTCAAACGGATAACTGCCATCAACTGAATGGAAACTGTTGGGATTCAAATTTGGAAGTAATTTATAAGCAAAATTTTAAAACATTTATAATGTTTAATTATTCGCTTAGTTTACTGGAAAAGTTCATATTCGTATGAAGAAATTTTATTTCAGATAATTTTTTAATAAAATAAAATTTTTTTTTCAAACTCTCTCCTCAAATTCATATATTAAAGCTGAAGAAGATTCGGAATTTTGTAGTTTAAGAAGTACATAGGTTTTGCAGATTGATTACACTCGACAAAGCAAAGGAAGATATTTCAGCCTAGATGTTGGCGATGTTACATTTTATGTTGATCCTACTGAAATGTCTAAGGTAACTGCAAATTTTTCTCCAACTTAAAATAAACTTTTATGAATTCTATTAAAGCGAAAGGAAAGAGTATCAAGAAGGCTGCCAACAAGAACAAATGATAAATTCTTTATATTGACAATGAGGTAAAATTTGACAACATGTATCAGCTTTTTCAATAAATCAAAGAATTTAAAAATTATTTTCAAATTTAATCCTTGAATAAAACAGAATCGCACATTTCAGAAATCGCTCTATTTCGAGCTTCTTACAACCAGTCATCATTTTATGGAAGGAATTAACGGTTGCAGTCGTTTACACGATAGGAGTGAGGAAATTGCATGCATGTTACACTCTATATGCCCTACAGTTTACAATATATATCCACGAATTATTCGGGGTATTAGTAATTAAGTTTATTTAAAAAATTATTCAGAGATAGCATATTTCTTATACAATTTAAACAATATGAACAAATTAAAGAACAAAAAAGCCGCTATGATTCATATAATGAGCTTTTATATTCTATCGCGTTAATGACATCCTTCCATCCGGAAAAGAAATCTTTATACCATACCGACTTAACTCGACTCTCAGGATTTTGCCATTGATTTCAAGAGCGCAACTTCAATATCAATCATTTCTGAAAGCAGTATGAAAATTTCATATAACTTCAGAATATTTTGATGTAAAAGATAATCAGTTTTTACTGCTCATTGGAATACAAGAAAGAGTGAGAATTCTTGATGCGGTAAAAAACTGATTTATTATTTGAAGGATCATATTTCTGAAAGATATTAATTTTTAGTATTGTTCAGGAAATTCATTTTCAGTGCAATCGATTCCAGCACTTGCTCGTTTAGCTGATAAATACGATTTGAAAAATTTGCAACATTGTTGTGAGTATTTTGCGCTGAGAGCAAATTTCCAAAAATATGGAAATAATGATTTGGTTAAATTACTTCAAACAGCAATTATGTATAATTATGAGTAAGTCAATGAACTTCCTCCAATTTATATACTGAAAATTGTTATAGCTAATAATATGTAAAATATATATAAACTTTAAACGATCAGTATCGTAAAGTAAAGGTGATAACGCATTAGCTTGGATCGCACTAATATGCAAATATATTACATTTCTTCTAAACATCATATCAATGATTTTCCATTTTTTCTTCTAAAACTTTATTTTAGCTTAAAACTTCGAGAAAATCTCATTAATGAGTTAATGAATCGCTCAGAATTTCTTAACAATTCAATGAACAATGAAATGACGAAGGAAATTTGCAGTATCATTGTGTTTGTTAATTTCATTTCGTAATGCATCTAAGAACTCATCACCTATCTAATTAATTTAAATATCATTTGAATGAAATAATATTAGTGTTATATGATCATTAGTGATTAAAACTTCCAAATAAAAATTAGTAGAATGAATAATGAGAATTTTTTAGAAAGCATAGTTTAAAACATAATCTCACGAATATATTCGGAGGTATATGTTATAGCTGTGGATTACAGAGATCTTTTAATTATTCAGGTGCTGGAAACTGCTGCTGTATGGTTAGTACTTATTTATTTCTAAAATTTAGATTTCAAAATTTTATAATCTTTCAGTCATTTCTGATAAGATTACTTCAATCATTTGGCTTTACAATAAATTCTAATCATTAGTAACAGGCAATGTTGAGAGAATGAAAAAATCATCAAATGATGTAACATATTTGCAAACATCGTAATCCCTATTTCAATCAATATCTGCAATTGTAAGATATGAAGATATAATAATTTATATCGATGATTCATTCGAATAATATAATTAGATTTGATACATTGCAGTGGAAATGTGAACGGTGTAAATCAGTGTATTGTTTGAAATGTAAATTGGTACCATGCATGGTAGAAGTAGAAGAGCATCTAAGAAAGACGTTTGAGAAGTATGAAATGGAACAATTGAGAAAAGAAATTGAATCTGAGATGACTGCAAAAAGAAGCTAAATTATAGAGTGCAGCAATATTTCTGAAGTCAAACGAAATATGGAAATGATAAATTTCAAGTTTGTTATCTTTTGAACAGTTTACCTTCGATTTGTTTCATTTCATTCTAATAATGTTTCCTATTATGTTTTTAAATACCTCTTTATTATCTAAAAATTTCTTTAGGAACTACCTAATTGATAGAATTGCAATTAAGTTTTATTTCAGCTTATTCTCTCAAAAAATGTCTTCTTCCAAAAAAGATAGAAATTTCACTCGCAGTTAGATAATGTTTAAATTTATTGGTAGAATTTGAATGATCTAAGTAAAGTTGTTATTTGAGACGTAGAAGTTCGACTTTTTTGTTTTAGTTGGGCAGCTTTTCACTTTTGTCTTAAGAATAACTCATAGCAACATAATTAGTCATCGTTCTGCTAAAAGCAATCAGTCAAAATAGCAATTCTAAAAATGAAATTTTATACGATTGAAAATTTTAAAATGTGCTCTGTTATGACGTAAATATTGATTTTAGTATTAATTGCTGATCGTTTGTAGAATTTAGTTCTTTTCACATATATTAAAAAAATTTAATGGTTATGCTTAATTTAATTATTTAATCGTTTATCATATATAAATTATGTTTAATTTAATTATTTAATACGTTTATCATATATGTATCAACAATGTTATGCTTAATTTAATTATTTAATACATTCATCATATATAAATTATATTGTTTTTAATAATATATCCGTTATATTTTGTTGCCTTTTATATTGAAATCTATTCTTTTCTACATTCTGTATTACCTCTATCGTTTAATTCAATATTATTATTTCCATCATTCATTGTTTCTTATTACAACCTTCACTTGCAATGTCTTAATACTAATCAATGATGATGTGCTGTCTGATAAATTATCAGTGGTTATAAATGAAAGGTAATACATTTTCTAGCACAGCAAACAATTTCATTTTTAATCTCATATCGCATGGATTATTCATAATCATTGGACTAAAGAACAAAAGGGAAAGAAATAAACGAACCGATATGAATTTTAGATTTACGATATCGGCAAAGTAGCATATCGCAGATGCAACCTTTCCACAAATGTATTTAAGAAATAAAAGCTTAGGCTATACGACTTGTCTGGTTGGAAGGTAGTATTGTTATTTGGTTATACTTTACCAGATAATGTCAACTATTCATTATATACAATGAAATATAGAAAAATGGTAATGGGATTAAAATTTGCACTGTTCTTTAACGCATCTACTGGTGAACCTAGTGGATATGTGGACGACCTTTACGGTCTTGCATTCTAGTAGTATTCCAGGATTTTTTACTCTCGGAGATGGTCCTAGAACATCTAGCATATATGTTTCATGAGGAAATTTTCACCTTGAATGAGTGAAGATCGAAATTTCGGAAGTAGATGGAGAATTTAACTTGTCCATATCTAACAGTGCTAAAAACATATGGTCTATAGAGGAAAAATATTTCTTTTCTCAGTGACAGTACGAATTTTGATTGGAGACAGACAAGGACAAACATATTATTTCCTTCTGCATTATGGCAAGGATAAAGATTTAATAGAATTCCCGAATAAGAAGAGAAGGAATGATCTCGTATCAGGTGTTCTTCGTCTTAAATCCTTTTCCATCGTAGAACGTCACTGTATTTGGCGGTAATTGAATGATGTAGAAATGATGGAAATTTAGAGGAGATATACGTACCTTGAAATGTTATTGATTTATTCGCGTGGGAAACCGAAATACTTTCTTATTAGGAATTAATGCTATGACAGACGAAATCCGAGGATGGTTATATGGATGGCTTGGGAAAAGGAAACTTGGTATACCATCCTATAACACAATACCGTTGACGAAATGTGGTGAAGAAACGCGCTTCAGATGTGAATTACGTATACCAGGTTTTACATGTTTATTTCCTATAATTTTTACACCAACATTCAATTTACGTGTTGATGCATGCATGGGAGCACACATTAACAAAAGCAGCATGGTGTGAAATAATTGTTGATTAAAATTGGTTGTAGATGTATGTGTAAAGTGTTTATTTAATGTTTAGAAGAAATCATTAATGTAACATTTTCAGGGCAGTCTCATGTAGGGTTAGGGATCTCGAAGAATAAGAAGGATGCTGCTACAAATGCTGCGCGAGATTTTGCACAATTTCTTATTCGACAAAAATTGCTTGATCCGATAGAGCTTCCAAAACTTACCGTATCTTTTATTTCACATTGTATCCATAATTAGCCAGTGTATCATGATTGATCCTTTCATATCAATGCGCTACTGAATATCTGATTGAGTTTGACGCTCCATTTATTCTGCTCACTATTTATTTAATATCTCTTGAATTTTTGTGATTCTTTTGTTTCTTCATATGCCTGAAAGTTACGTTATAACGCTTAGCCCAACTATTTTTAGAAATTGATAGCCAATCCTATTGATGATATATGATATAAATTTATTTCAGTTGTAATGGGCTTTTTCTCTTTCTTCTGTCTTTTCAAATGTGTCATTTCAGTTATCTATGCTGGAGGCAACAAATCTGGATTCATTTGGCTGGGACAACACACTAGAAGATAGCAGTTTATTGAACAAAGCAGAAAAAAATAGCCACGCAACAGTTGGCGTTGCAATGAATATGCAGTTTCTTCCTTTACCGATAGTTAAAACGGAACATCAGTGTTATATTGAGCGAAAAGCAGAGGAGATTGCGCCAGTTAGTTTTCTTTGATTTCAATTTTATTGTCTTTTTCCTGACGATTCTGGAAAGCTTGATCAACTTATTGAATGAAAAAAAGTTTTTTTGTCAGTGCAGGGGCTTTTTTCGATAGCCGGAAAGCATCAAGCCAAGATTCGTTAGTTTTGAAAGTCCGTAATTTGTTTTTATTTCAATTTCAATGCTTTACGCATTATGAATTAAAAAGAATTTATTTAAAATGTCGTGCAGTTGAGTGATATTTGTGATGTTAAATTCTAATAAAGTAGCGTTATTTACTTTTGTAGATTTCAGTTTCAAGAGTTGGCAGAGTGCTTTGCTATGGAAACTGCAAAAGCAGATAGCGATAAGCTTAGTCTTTAGCATAGTACTTTGTCCTATGTTATTAAACTCTAGAAAGTATTACTTTTAGTTGGATTCAGTCGATTTGCGGACAGATATACATGGAGGATGGATGGCTGGCAGTAGCAAAATGCACTTAAATGAATTTGTGCAAAAAATCAAGCAACCACCATTGAAATATGATACCCGCTGTATTGGCAATGATAATTCCAGGTAAAACTTGTTGTATATTAGAAAATCATGTCAATGTGAATTTTTCATTTTTGGAATTGTTTTTAATCTTATTGCCTTCTTGCTTGTGGCTGGGGAGGCATATTGGCAAAAGCAATTTTGGATTTTTTGTCTTTACCATGTTCAAAATTTATTCGGAACCTGCTTTCATTCAAAATATAACTGTACAGTTGTGCTTCATCCCATTACTTCAGTTCAATTTTGGTAGTTTTTTGGGAAGCGACTGTTTTTGCATATTTGTTGAATGGATCTAAAGGATTGAATTTCCCATCAAATACAAAATCTCAGAATCCTTTGTGTTCACTTGAGCTAAACTATGAGTTATATTTTTTTACTGATTTGGTGGCTGAACCAGTAAAAGAGATAATACAGATCAACTGTTATTCACCGCATTTCAAGCATCACTATTTCAGAACTTTTGTTGCCGAAGTGTCACTCTTCGTCCCGGAAGTGCGACATAGTGAGTAGTAATTAATTTTAGCCCAGATATGTGGTTTTTAAGCGGATGTGCAGATTATGACAGTGATTTTGGTCCACTTCCATGTATAATGCGATGAATTTGTTCCAAAACTATTAAATTTATTGTGGGTCATCAGTGATTGTATAGGAGAGACAATATTGATAAAAAACGTTGCTAAATAGGCACTGCTTTTCGTTCATTCTTTAGTCAGTTGTCTTTTTTTTTTAAAAATTTGAGAAATCTGCTAGCTTGTACACTTTATGTAATTGTTACTTTGTTAACTATGCAAAAAAATTTGCAAATTCGCTTACGAAATTTGTTTAGGTTGTTTGTTAAAAAAAAACGAAATTTGTTAAAAAATTTGTATTTTAGACCGTCTCTCTTGCGGAATTAAATTCACCTTTTGTTTTTTTTCTGGGGATCCATCTGTTGTTTTTCCTTGAAAAAGAAAGAAATTTATAGTAAATTCATAGTGTGAGTGTACTTGTTAGGACATCTTAATTGCAAATGCGATTTGGCAGATAACGTACAGTAGTTTCATGGAACCCGTTCTTTTCCATACTTTTGCCTTTAAACTTTTAAGAAGACATTTTGCAGTTGTTGTTGATTGCTTATTCGGTTGTGGGAAGAAGGATTATTACTTTCAAAAATCTTCTGTTATGTTTTGAATGGTAATTTTCCGAAGAAATTATGTCCAAAATTCTATTATTAATTAAATGAACCAAATTTCTCTGTTTTTCAGCATTTTCGGCAAGAGCAGAAGGATCAACAAAAAAAACTGCCGAAGCAACATGTGCACTTTCTTTGATGCGTCAATTGTTTCATAATAAGTTAATTGGTGCTTACACTGGTCAAAAGAAGAAAAAAACAGCGGGAAATGTAGGTTTAAATGAAAACAGTTGTCTAGTTACTTTTTCCGTTTTTCCATTACAATCCATGGATGCGAGAGAGGCAATTTAGAATCCAGGGCAACTGTTCTGAAGTAGAGTTGATTATGGAGCAAGGAGTATCAAAAATGTTTAATAATCTGTGATTCCCCCTTGCTTCTACCATTTCTAAAACCTGTCAATCTTCGTTATCATTTTGTTTTCAGTTACCAGACATCCCTGTTATTGTAAGTGACGAACTTTCTGAAGAAATAGCTCGTTATCTTGCATTGGTTGGTGTTGATGAAATACAGCCACCACCAGAAGCTTCAGCTTCTAAACCAGTTTCCTTGTTGATTACACAAAAATTGAATCAGTTCGAGCCATCACAATCTATCTCAGATGGTTTTATATCGTGGTGTCCAGCATTGCAAAATTGGAATCCGTGGAAGTCAGTGAGTATCGACGAAGCCCCATTTGCTTTTGTATGTTCTTTCTGATGGAAATTTTTTCATTGTCAGATTTGTGCCGATGTGATACCAATTGCTATGGAATTTTCAGATGTCTCTTGAGGCAATAAGTGCTGACTTGTTAGAAGCGGAAAAGAAACGGAAGATACCATCAAGTATAAAAATTCAACGAGAATCATTACCTGTGTATCAGCATCGCAAACAATTAATTGATACTATTGCAATTAATTCAGTTACAATAGTGAAAGGTGAAACAGGTTGCGGAAAATCTACTCAGGTGTCACTTCCTTTGTTTTTGGTGCAGCATGAATTCTTGACATTAGGGTTTAATTTCCAGTTTGTAATGCTTTATGATTTTAGAAGGCGAGGTTTTGATAAGAGAAGCTTTTGTACAAAAGTGTCGGAAATCCACGATCTATTTTGGCTTATAATTTAGTAAATCATAATTTTATTGGTAATTCAGGCGTCTTTGCTATTATTCCTCGTTACACATCACCTGCTACATAATCGTGTTTTTATTTGTTCCGTTCTGTTTTGTTAAAAGCATTTCCATTCTTTTCCTGAGGCGAAATTTTTAAATGTTTTAGGTTTGCCAGTATCTGCTAGAACACTACATAAACAATTATCGTGGTGCTGAATTCGCTGCATTTGTTACTCAACCACGAAAAATCAGTGCTTTAACGTTAGCTGAGCGCATTGCTGATGAACGTGGGGAGCAACTGGGAGTGTCAGTTGGATACGCTGTCAGGTGTTTTCAGAGAATTCCTTGTGGGAGTTTTAAGCAGCAAAATAGTTTATGGAAGCTTTGTTGAGATGTATTATGTTTCCCAAAAAGAAAAGAAATCGGTAGCCTATTTTTTAACCTTGCCGACACGAAGTAATTTGCCATTCCACTGTGTCGTAGTTTCAGTTTATATTTGTAAAAGTTTATCATACCACAAATGTTGTCGGCATCCCAATATTAATTATTTGCAATGAGCTAAAAGCGACAAAAGGATTACATGCGAATCATGTCTTACAGGTTTGATTCACTTTATCCTCGACCATATGGATCACTGATGTTTGTCACTGTTGGTCTGCTGTTGAAAAGATTAGAATCAGGCTTGCGTGGAATAAGCCATATTATTGTTGATGAAATTCATGAGCGAGATATTAATGTAAGATTCCGATATTTTAAAATTTTATCGTTTTGAGTTATAATGCATCGTGGTTTACTGAAAGGTTTACCTGTCTCCAGTGGATCATCAACTTATTGACATTTCTTCTGCATGCTTGTTTAATTTTCATTTTATTTTTTTCAGCTCTTCTCTCTTATATGCAATCTAAAAAATGAAGGAGGAAATATTGCACACATAGATTGTAATTCACTGTTAAAATTTATTTTAAAAGTTGATGTTCCACTTTTCTGTCTCATAAACATGCAATGAAGAAAAAAGAAAATATAACAATATAGCTTTTTTCCGGTTTCCATCCAAGAGGTGACAGAAAAATTACCGTTTCTTCCCATTAACTTTCATTTCATATTTTTCTGTAAGATTTTTTCCTCACTATTTAAGTATGTTGATTTTTCAGACAGACTTCATCATGATTGTGTTACGCGATATGGTAAATATGTATCCTGATTTGAGAGTTATTTTAATGTCTGCAACTGTCGATACGAGTCTTTTTACTAATTATTTTGGCAATTGCTCAGTGGTTCTATTAGAAGGACGAAATTTTCCCGTTCAACGTATGTTAAGCTTTCACTGATGAAGTCTGTTACATCATGGAATCATTGCATATGTAATTGTTTGAACTGATAATTTACAAAAAGCGTAATTATAAAAGGGAACATGATGAAAAAACTGAAGTGAAAATTTTCATTAAGGAATTTCTTCTTGGCAAGTGTCGGATTACCCAACATGTTCTGTTTTCCATACCATTACATGGATAGAGAAAGTCTGAGAGAACATATGTGAGCATCTCTCAATTGGAGACAGTTTCTTTAGCTGTGATTATTGTCATTAGACGTTTCACACCACTTTAAGGAAGTGTCGGTATATATATTGCAATTTAATTAAAATTTGGAATGTTTATCAATTTTACTTTAGACTATTTCTTGGAAGATATTGTACAGATGATTCGTTTTTTGCCACCAACTGACGAATTAAGAAATAACAAAGATTGTGACGATGAAGGGGAAGAATTTATAGACGAGGTGTTATTTTCTTCAAATTTTGACTTTGAATGTGTTTCAGGTTATTAGAGTTTGAATATGGATAAAATTTTTAGGCACAAAATCTGAATTTGGTTATAAGTGAAGAATATGGCTTAAATACAAAGCTTGCTATGAGCCGACTTTCAGAAAGGGAAATATCGTTCGAGCTTATCGAGGTTGTTACTATTTCGAAATCACTGTATAATATGAGTTCTTTTGTTTTCTTTTTGTGGAAATTTATGATGTTGCACAATGAATTTATATTACAGAAAGCTAGAATTACTAAACGTATTATAAAAACCTCTATGTAGCATCTGTTTAGCCATTGAGGTTTTTATTCTTCATCCCTCTGCACGGTTTTGTATTGGTTTATGGTGCCATGAACAGATGCTGCATAGTGGAAATTTATGATGTTGCACAATGAACCTCGAAATTTTAAAAATTAGTAATTCGAACAGAGGGTAAATTGATAGTAGAATTAGATAGTAACAAATCAGATAATGCTGATGTAATTGATACTTTTGTAGTCGATCGGAAATCCGAGAAAACTGTTAAATTATGCAAACTGCAGGCACTTTTGAATGACATCGTAAGCAAGGGTGAAGAGGGTGCTGTTCTGATTTTCTTACCAGGATGGCATGTCATCCAACTTTTGCTCAATTTTCTGAAATCACATTCCGTGTTCAGTAATGAATCACAATTTGTTATTCTTCCACTTCATTCGCAGTTAACTGGCCAGGAACAACGCAGAGTTTTTGAAAGTTATTCATCCGACGTTAGAAAAGTTGGTGTACTTTTTTTTAAAAGACTGACAATTGGAATTTGTTATCTATGAAAAATTTTATGATGTTCTCGAGATTTAATGGAGCTGTGAAAAATAAAAGATGGTTTTTGAATAATTATGTCTTAAACCATCTAATAGTTTCAAATTTAGATCCAGCATCAATTGCTGATTTAATTTCATCATCATTACAGAATTTGTGTGCTATTCAAATTATTCCATCTTTTGACATTTATTCAGATTATCCTATCAACGAATATTGCGGAAACCAGTATTACAATCGACGATGTTGTCTACGTAATCGATAGTTGCAAGTGAACTTTAGTTTTTATAAAATTTGTTCAGTTTACAGAGTTTGCAGAGTCATTTGCAGCCTTGCAAATTTTTTTTTCGAAAGAGAAAAGAAAATTAAAACATCTCACTAAGAGAAAGTTTTTGTATTTAATTTTATAGCGTCGTACTTGTTAATTTAGGGCTAAAGAGAAAATGTATACTTCACACAATAACATGGTTAATTATGCAACAGTTTGGGCATCTCGTACCAGTATCATACAACGGAGAGGACGAGCTGGGCGTGTGCGTGAAGGCTTCTGCTTCCATTTATGCTCCAAAAGTCGATACGAAGCGTCTGTTATCTTTTTTCATTTATCGCTTTTAGTTTTTTTCAAACTTTTAACTATTCGTCAATATTAGTTTGAATTATTTTTAATTTATTTTGCTCGCTTAACAGCGCGATTTTTTTTGTCTTATACTGTTTTTGCGGCAAGTCTTTATAAGGTTCATGCTAGTTCTTTCATTTTTTAAATCAAAATAATAATCATCCATCTGTTTCACTAACTTGGCTTTTCTTATGCTTCTTTCCAAATATTGCCACAAAGCCTACTGAAGTTTGTTGAATAAGTATCGAAAACAACACAGAAGCTTTGTAGTATGTCTGTTTTAAATGGTTTTTAATGTAAAGGTTAGAAGAATATCGCACGGCGGAAATGCTGAGATCTCCATTACATGAAATTGCATTGATGATTAAACTAATTGGATTAGGCTCAATTGGTGATTTTCTAGCCAAAGCAATCGAGGCACCACCAATCGATTCTGTCACTGAAACCGAAATGCTTCTTCGGGGTTGGTGTTTGAACAAAAATATTTAAATCGATATACATAATATGGAATTGTACAATTATGGGACCGATTAATTCAAAATATTTCTCCTAGAAGTAGATCAATAATGATCGTTAACTATATGCGGCATCAATAAACAAATGTATTCTTAAACAGTTTGACGCCCCAAATGTTAGAAGTATAATACTCTTTTATTTGCAGCCTTTTAAACCCTATTTACTTATTATTTAGAATCTCTTTTGCAGAGATGTCAGCTTTGGATTCAAACAGTGAATTAACAGAACTTGGTCGCATTTTAGCTCGACTTCCTATTGAACCAGTACTCGGCAAAACTCTTATTCTTGCTACTGCATGCGGGTAGATTTTCTGGAGATTGGGGGAAAAATAAAGGAATATTTCAGCAACAATATTGTAGATTGGATTCATATTTGTTTTTTTATTATAACGATAGGAAAGTGCTCGATTTGTGAACTTTATTTAACTCTATAACTTTCTGTTATATATATATATATATATATAACTTTTTAACTTTAACACTTATTTTGTTAGTCATAATGTTTGCGAATATATAACTTTTTATAATTAAATAACTTAACATTTATTTCTGTTAGTCATAGTAGATTTATTCACATATATATAAAAAGACACGCTACTTTTTTAACCTTGCGGAAAGTTTTTTGAAATTTCAGTATTGGCGAATTATTAGCAACGATATCTGCAGCGTCATCATTTGCGACACCATATATACCACATGATCGGACGGCTTCAAAACTGTCCTTTCAACAACGTTCATTTTCTGGTAGCCGCTTCTCCGATCATGTTGCAATTATATGTGTTTACAACAAGTGGTGTGAAGCATTTAATCAAAATCCAATGGCAGAGAAGAATGTTTGCCAATGGTTTTCGTTGAATTCTACAGTATTACGAATGATTAGGTATCTTCTTTTTCAAAGCAATTTTTCAAAGCAATGGGATAAGATGGATATTTCATAGAAATAGTGATGACTCTTTAGAAATTATGAAATTTATATATACGAAATAATTGAGTGCAAATATACCTTTTTTGCAAATATATAGTGCAAATATACCTTCTTCAGGATTGCTAAACAACAACTAATCGATACACTGATCTCATCTGGTTTCTCTGAATCATTGTTCACTCCATTAGTTGTGTCCAATACAGGACCGGATTCAAATCTCGATCTCGTACTTTCATTATTAGTTTATGGTGAGACTATGTAACTTTATTTTTAAATGAACTTGGACTATAACAATGGTTTTTGAAATCATTTACACATTTCTGTTTAACAATATTTGCAAGAGCGAATTATAACAAATTATGAAAATTCGAATATAGTACAAAGCTGAAAAAAAAAAATTTTTCCGTATATCAACTCTTCATGAAATTTGCCGTGGTCTTCATAAAAACGAGGGGAAAGTAAAATAGATTACTTTTATCGAGTTAAGAAACTAAGCTGAGTTTAGTTCTATTTCTTCCTTCTTTTCTACGGAAAAACACTGATTAGCTTAAAATCAATGAATTTTAGCTTTGTATCCAAATGTTTGTCACTATCGAGATAAACGACGTGTTTATACACTGGAACAGGCGACAGCTTTGATGAGCAAGCAGTCCGTGAACACACCTTTTTATAGTTCCGATATTATTAAATTTCCGTCTCCTTTGTTTGTTTTTTCGGAAAAAGTTAGCATTTTGCTTCTTCCTAAAAAGTCTGGAATAATTTTCTTGATAGCAAGTAAGAGAAGTGTTTAAATAAGGGCTCTTTGCTAATAGAAAGTAATTTTGATTGAAATTGATTTGAAAGTTATTTTGCAATGCAAAATAATAAAAGTGATCTTTTTCAGCTTCGCACTAAAATGATATCATGTAAACAAATTTCGAACATAACTCCACTTCAATTACTTCTTTTTGGAAGCCGAAAAGTGGAGTATCACGGAAATAATATTATTAGATTAGACGACATGTAAGTTTTAGTGCTTGCTTTGTTTTTTGCATTAATAGAAATAATTTAAATAATTAAAAATAAGCTCTCAGAAATAATTTAAATATCTTTATAATATTAAAGCTGTTATCATTACCTCTCTTTTTTCATTATATTTATGCTTGTGTCTGTTTCTTGCAGGATTCCTCTGAAAATGAATGTACAAGCTGCTGCTCGAGTTGTAGCTTTGCGACCATGCATTGAAGCGCTTATTGTACGAACTTGTTTGAATCCAGAAGCTACAAATAAAGTTCGTGAGAATGATAGTAAACTTCTTAAGATCCTAAAACAACTATCATCACCTTTTAGTTGGTCGCCAAATGAAGAAATAACTGAAACACAGCAGAAAGACTATGCTAATGTTGAAGAAGTTCCGAGCTATATGAGAAGGTATCTTTTGGAATAATTTGAAGTTACGTTAACACAAAACATAGCAAGTAGATAAGAACTTTACTGATTAGATCTTTATAAGAATACATCGGCATTGTAAAATGTCCAATTAATATTTTTAAGCTTATTTTAAAAACGATTAAAATTATGTCGGTATGCAAAAATTTTTGGTGTGATTTTTTGCACTCAATCTTGTTTTATTCTACAACTCTTAATCCACCTATTTTTCCTAAATTTTCTGAACAAATAGTTTTGATTTTTTAAGTCTTTTTAGTTGACGATGGCCTTTACTATTAAATAAAACTCGTGTGTCAAATTTAAATTCTCACTTCAATATTTTGAATAAAATATTTTTCATAAGTTTTATGATTTTAAGAAATTTTGAGATTTTAATTTTATGAAATTATACGATCTTAAAACAAGTATTTCGTTCTTTTCTTTTCTGTCTTGTTCATTTTCTATAGATTGACTCCTTTTATGAAGGTTTTAGCATAGTTTGATTTTCTTTAGGATTCGAGGCTGTGCCGATGGCATGAAACCGAATACGAGAGGAAATAGATGGAGCGTAAGAAGAGGGCAAGGAAGATGTGGCCCAGTTGGTGCTTTTGGGAATCATGAGATAGAATATCAGAGTCATGAAAGGGCAAGAATGAGAAGAAATGTTTGCGATCATGATTATTTTACATCTCAGAGTTGGTCCAGAGAAACCTACCGAGGACGGTCCTATAATTCTGGTGGTTATAGCAACATGAAAAATAACAGAAGGCGTTTTAGTAGTTTTCGTGAACGAAGTAGAAGTAATTAGGGTTACCCTTCGTTTAGCTTTGGAATTGCTCAAAACAAAACTTTTTGTCCTTATATGATCAAGAGTAATATGCGAAATTGTAGCAGAGGTTCACTATCGGATTATGTCAGTAAGCTTTTCGGTAGAGGTTTTATTTATTCGAAGTCAATTCCGTAGATTCGGGATATAATTTACTGGCACATTTTTCATCTAGCTGGATTTGAATTATAATAACATATGTACTTTAACCAAATAGTAATGATTCGAGATAGTACAATATAAGGGAATATGATACAAGATGATCAACTGTTCAATTTACTTATTGATTGATGATTAATTAACTTATTTGAATAAGTTGCTGTATAAACTGTGAGTCAGGATGTCAGCTTTTTCAAGTTGAATAATGGTTAATTTGCAAGTTTTCGTGTCTACGTTTTCGTGTCATCGTAATTGTAGATCATTCAGTGTCACCAGTTTCTGGATATTGTTGTTATTGTTCATACTGCATTATTTCTCTTTATTATTTATTGCTCTGCGATGTTTAATTGTGTGAAGTCGAAATGTAGGGATGAGAATTGTAACGTAAATTATAGAATGTGATCGTTTGGAAAGTGGCACAGTTGGTTTGGCAGCAAACTGGGATATTATACCTGTGAAACGTGCTCGAACAGGTTGATGAAGTAGTGATGATCCTCTGGATGTTGTTTGGGGAGTTTAGATCGTTTACAGTAAAATTTATGTAGAAATTGTTAAAACGATATTCAATATTAGTTTCGCATTCAAGAAAGAGAAATATATTTTTTGTTTTATTTTTCACTTTTTAATGAAATATGTTTACTGTTCCACTAAATCCAAACTGAATACCGCAATACTTATAAATTAGTTATAGTTTGATTCAACCAAAACAAGTATGATATATTCCTGAAACTGCATGCAATCAAGATAGCCATTTTAATTGCTGGAATTCTAGGGAAAAAGCGAAAAATAAAAATTTTCAATGCCTTATATTTTAAGACCTGTTTATACTTTTTCTGGCGCCTCACTAGGGACGTGTTGCAATGGGTATCCAACTATTAAGTTCATTAAGAAAAATTTCCGAAGGTTCCCAATTTTTAAACTGAACTAATAATGCTAATATTACTCCCACCATCCATATTCAGTTCATGTTTAGTTTACTTATGCTTTCGATTTCCTGAATTTCTTAAACTTTCGGTGTTAATGAATTTTATTTTATCACCAAGCACTGTTTTAATACTACTTAACTAAGAATGACAGCTGTGTGATCTGTCTAATTACATAAGATTCTCTCAAACAAGGTAAAAGCATTTGTAGAAGTTCTGAAATTATCCATTTACCTTAGGTGATTCCTTCCTGGTATTTGTTGGGATGCAGAGACCATCAATTTCAAAAATTTTCCAGCATATTTGAAATTGAATACTAAAATGCACTGCGGAAATTCCTTCGCCTTGTTGAGATCGAAATGTTCATTTAATTAGCAATGAATTATAGAAATTATATTTGCATCTAAAATTCATTCATTATTTTGCATATATATATCCACTCACTGATCTTCATTGCTGTACATAAAAGAATGTTCTAGTATTTCTTGAAGTAGTTCTTGATAATAAATTAACATGAAACGATCGTTTACATTAGTAATTTCTCTGGTTTTAATTATCGGCGTTAAGGCAAATATTGAGAGTAATGTTTGGAGATTGGTGGATGCCGTTTATCCGAAGGTATTTTATGCTAGTAGTTTATGGTTTGTATCATGTTATAATTGGTTTTGGAAATTCTGGTTCGTTCGCTCAGAACTCATCGGCTTAAAAATATGATATTTTTTATTCATTTCCATACTACTGAGGCAAATATAGAAATTTGAATAATGAAAATGAAATAATTTATTACCTCATCAGAAATTAAATAACACACTTCGCGCGATTTTTAAGAAGTTTACACTTCAAAGATTTGCGTGCAACATCAGATTTGAATTTCATAGAAACGCTTAAAGATAGTTCTTCCTTTAAAATAGGATGGAACAGAAAGAAATTTTTAGTTTAAAGAGGAAGATCGATTTTACGGGAAACTAATATTAGCAACTATTTGCAAAGTTTCTATAAGAGAATTTATCCATACGATAAAATTACTAGTGAATTATGCGCAAATAAAAATAGGGGTCCTTAATCTCTTAGTTGACGAGTAGTATTTCCGCATCCTAAAGTTCATTTGAAATTTAAACGTATGCGAGGAAGGTAAGAGAGGATCTGCGAGCATTATATTCATTTATTCTTCAGTATTGCTATTAATCAATTTATATTAATTTTCACTTCTCGATAAGTATTTTAGATGGAATATTTGCGAAATTGTGGATCAAATATTGAAATTAATTTAGCATATAAACGACTAATTGTTCACAATAATATTATTCTTTGTGGTGAATCGAAATTCTTCCAATATAAAAGATTGCTGAGAAATAATTTGGTTTGAAGCGCTTTCTTATATTCGCTGAAATTACATGAGATTTTCTTAAGGATTTATTAATTTAGTAGTGGTAAGTAAAAACAATTTTCAGTGTGTTAGTACGATGTGAATAGGAGGCAGAGGATGTGAATTTCATTTTGTTTTAATTCTTAACATTTCATAAGTTTGTATATTTTCAGGATTTGGCAGTAAATATATGCCATAGGTTAAACATCCAGAATGGAATCGTCGAACATTTTGGTACAAATTATTCCAAAGTTTATTGTATTTGGCCAAAAATATTCTCGGATATAAATTATTGTGCTGCTGGTTTTCGTTTGAATTCTTCATCAGAGGCAGTCGAAAGTTTGTATAATTGTTCTGAAGCTGAAATATTGGCAGAACTTCGGCAGGAATCTCCGAAACGCTCATTGGAAATAATTTTTACGACAATTGGAAAAAGTAGTATTTCAAATTTTCTTTCTCAACTGCAATTAAGAAGTTGCAATTTTCGTTTTTTGTCAGATTCTGTTGAGATTTTATTAGCTTTTTGCATCGGTGCTATTGATTGAAAATGATTTAAGATTATAATAAGAATCTTTAAGAATTTCATGAATGCATTTCCTTCGTTTTTAAAACCTAAAAGATGAAATTTGGAAGGATGCCTAGGCTAAAGATGATAAACGGAATAAATTTGATAGCGCTTTGAGGATTGTCTTATTCCATTCTTTGTATATTCAGATTTTCATTTCATCTTTTTGTTTAATGTAAAAAAATTGCAGAAGATCGAGAAATGCTTGATGCCAAACATGCAGTTAATGAATCAATTGAACAATTGGATTCAAACAATTCACCGGACGGCGGCATGAACGTGAAGATAGGTAAATGTAATTTTTTAATTTCTTATAATTGACATTTTCGATTTTTATTTCAGTTTTATATCCAATGAATTGAAGTTATGTTGTAAATAATTTAGTAAACGATAGAGAAGCGATGATTTTGCAATTAGATCATTACAAGCAAAACAAAGGAAACGACTGTCATGGAGATTGATTATGGTATTAATTGATTATTTAATGCTGTTTCTAACAATGTATTTCATTGCTATATCATTAGCTAATAAAAATTCTCACAATAAATGCTGCGTTTATTTCGCAGTAACGACATTAATAAAGTCTTTCGTGGATGAAGCAATTATTACTTATCCTTAATAGGCTCACCTGATTAAATGCTAATTCATCGAAATCTTTGATTGATTTTGAATTTGAATAAATGAATATATTTTGAAATAAACAAGCAAGTTATTCACCTGTTCTCCGTCTTCCTGCATATATTCAATAATAACTTCTTTAAGTGTCGAAAATGGAACGAAAACAAGAATTCCTTGTTAAAACTTAGCAAGCCTAGTAAATTTAGCATTAGAAAATGAGACAGAATTCCTTGTATTACCTTTATAGACTTACGGTTTCAGAAAATGCAAATAATTGTTTACTAATCATTTAAAATGTTATTACTTGCAGGAACTAGTAATCGTTTCAGATGTTATTACTTGCAGGAACTAGTAATCGTTTCAGATGTTATTACTTGCAGGGACTTCTATACTAAAGCTTATTGATTGATTGATTGCTTTCAAAAATCAAGTTTATTTTATACATAATCGTTTACTAATCAATTTAAAATTCCAACTACTAACCAAATGTGTCGTTTGTGAAAAAGCTTATTTAATGCATTAAATGAATTGATCATATTCTTCATTTTTGATCATTTCGATAAATTTTTTCTAAAATATAATTTTGCCAATTATTAAGATTAAAAAGCGATACAACCGTGCATCTTATTTTATTACACATTAACTGTGCATCTTTTGTTGAACTGGGAGTGATTGCTTATGAGTTCCATTGCTCTTTTACCACACATTAATTAAACTTCTTCAGGCAATGATATTTATTTACGATATCTATGCTAATAATTATTGAGGTAAAGTAATTAGTTGATTTAAAATTATATTTTCTTTCATAGTATTATATTAAATCATGATAATAGCTTGCATAATAGATAAGCTGATAATATTTCATTTATAAATCATATGAATCTCACATTTAAATTGATTAGTTCACCAATTTGTGTTGGATCACATTTTTACATGAACATATTTGTAATGATGAAAAGGAGAAGAAACATTTGCTTCAGATCAGAAATAAGTTTGATATTTAGACATGATGAAATGGCAGACGAAATTTAAATTTGCTTCTCATAAAAGTTGAAATCTTAAAAATGCATATTAAATTGATGTTAAAAATGAAATGTTCATTTTAGTATCTCTTTTACATCTCTCTTATGCATATTTCAACATCAACAAATATAAACATTATTATTTACGCTATGTGAAAGAAAGTGCTATTGAAGAAGAATCAATTCTTCTTTGCATATGCCAGCCATTCAACATGCTGCCACTCAGATTTTTATCATTTATTTGCTAAGAAGGAAGGGGTGGAATTTAGTTTTTTCCTATACTCTATATGATTTTCATTCCATGTCACTTCACTAAGTCTATTTATCAAATCCATTCGATGAGATTAGCTTAGCTGGCATTAAATCGATGTAATACTTTTTTTTTTTTATTTACTCTTTTATACAAAATGGGTAATTTATTTTCGGCTTTCGGTTTCAATCAACCATTCCTGATTGCATTAACTGTGTAAGTTTCACTTTTCTTCGGTTCTTTGAAAGCTCGATATTATCAGATATCTCTGACTCAATCATTAAGCGCAATATGCTTACAGCATATTATCAGATGATTGATTGAACAAAAAGCATTTAGATATTTTTTGAAAAACACTTAAAATGCTGCACTTCCTTGTGGAATTTCGAAAATTATTTTTCTATTGTTGTGCGGACTAAGGTGTCAAATGGTTCAACACCTGTCCTTGATAAGTCAGCAGGTGATAACTACTTCAATAAGTTAGCCATTACATTTTCCTATAATTTGATTAGATAATTGAAAATTAGTTTTAATGGGTTAAATCTGTCGATCATGCTAATATCTGTTAAAATGTGGTAATTAAATTGATTTTTATTTTTGATGATTATTAATAGGTGACATTTAGTAATCTATCATTAATACTTTCATTAATCTTTAAAATTTTATAATTTAGCCTGTTCACAGGCCTGCCCACTCAATGGGATCGCTACGAAAAAAATTTTATCTTGTGGATTTTGACTCTTTTGATCTTATCATTTTCCTTCTTAACTTACTCTATGGATAATTTAATTTGCTTCAAAGGAAATAATAACAGTGGCAAGAGGAAAATAAAAAAAGTTGAAAAGTAAAAAATTTTGAACTACGAGAAAGAATTAAATAAAGGTCGCCCAGTGAATGCTCCATCTGCATTGATAATCTTAAGTTTCAAATATATGAATTAATGCTTAAATATTGCAGAATTATAATAATGCTTTTCGTAATAGCCGTACTTGTCGGAAATGATGAACCACAAAAATCTATCGTCGCTCACCGGTACGATGATATAGCTACCGTAAGGTTTTATTATTGCTTTTTCATACCACTCATTAAGGTAATGAGAAGATTGAATTGCTTTAGAATACTGTAATTTTTCTTTTAAATAAGCATTTTTTCCTCAGATCAGTCAACTTGAAAGACTGAATATAAGCCTCTCAAGAATTATGTTGCTTAAGAATTTCTCATTCCGATATTTCCATCTTCGATTTCTAATCAGGAATAGAATTATGCTTGTTCCGAATCTCCGATTCTATTACCTCAATGAATTATGCTGAAAACATCTTAGCTTCTGAAGATGATTTCAATTAATTCAGTAATTACAGATTTATGTCCCGTAATGCTTTCCACAATTATTTCCATTATTTCAGCCACATATCACAATTCACAATCCGCTCTTACTCGATACAACTACCAGGAGCTATCAAGTGGGCTGGAAAAAAAATCAATGCGTATCCTAAGCAACAGCTAATTTGGTGCTAAAATTTTGAAATATTTTATTACATACATTATGAAGAATCTGACCTGTTATCTTATAGCGGAATGAATTTCGAGAGAAGTTATTTTATAAAGAATGATTGACATATCGATTCATTCCTCGCTTTCTTTTTGCATTAGTTAAATTTCCTTGCTTTCTCTTTGCATTGTTCCTTAAAGAAAAATTAGACTTGGATTATAGCGTTGAGTGATCAAGCAACAATGAAGTAACAAGATATTTATTTACTGGAGTGAATTTCAGAATTAAATTTTTGAGACTTAGCGCATTTTTAAGAGCTGCCACTAATGTTAGCATTAAAAATAATGTAGTTGTGAACTATGTATAAAATGTAGTTATATATTTATCCGAAATTTCATTTTAATGTGATTTCATTTTAAGCATTTCATAAAAATTGAATTGAGAAATTTTTACGCACTAAAAGAAATCTATGCAGTCATAAACTTATTTTCAATTAAGGCAGTTATTTCCAATTAAGACAATTAAGGCAGTTGTCAATTGCTGCACACTTATAAAATTTCATCTTTGCATATTCCTGTATTTTTAATTTATTTTCTATTAATTAATTTTTGATTTTGCTATCACAAATACAAGAATGCTTGAATGGATCTTTCTTCGGTAGTATGATAATATGATATTTTCTACGACATAGAAGATGAAAAAGTTTAAGAATGCTTGGTTTAATTTCTCTTTTTCGTACACATAAGCAAGATAAAGCTCCATAGGTGCTGTCAACTTCAATCGGTCGATATATAGGACAAATCCGCCAGCACATCAGTACACCATCTTTTGTCAACAAGAGGCATACGAATTCGAGAGTAGCTATCAATAATAGCAATGGGTGGAATCAAAAATGCTATAATTTACCAGCATACAAACAACCGAAATGGTTCATTCATCTATGAATGCTTCAATTTTTAAATTAAAATTTTTTGTCTGACGTTGCTTTTTTTCAAAAACGTTGCTTTTTACGCTGCTTATTTCATCTCCACTTCAAATATATACACTTAAGTACAAATATAGCATCTCATGCTTGAACTAAAATTTAAAACTATTATCAGTATTATTCTCATTTGTCATCATCATTAATCGCATTCATAACTGAAAAATCATTTGCGAATTGGATGTGATATATTACGAATCGGATAATCATTTTTTCACATTATTTTAAGAATGATAAATGCTTACAATTTCAATCATTGTAAGTGATAAATAAAAGCTTTATTTTCTTGGAAAATTCTGATAAACTTATCAAATATCGTTCATAATATTATTGAACTAAAATAAGAAACATTATCATTTGTAGTTTTGGAATTTCTTTTTTAACGGTTATAAATTATCAATTGCATACTATCACTTAATTTTGGAAATATTTATGTTCAATGGATTCAAACCCAGCGATATATATGTATGTGTATTGATCTATTCATTAACAGTATTTTTGATTAGTCATCATTTTCCACAAATTATCATTGTTGAAATATTTCATTCATACTGAAATATGAAAATGAAATATTTCATTCCTAAGATATCCATTTTAATTGCATTTCTCAAATTTTACTTTTGCATAAAATAAGTAATATTCGAATATTAACTTAAAGTCCGAATTATCTATGAGTCATTACGGTGAATGATTATTCACCGTAATGACTCATAGATTTTTCGATAGTTTCTATAGCAATTTAGAGGCTCATTATTAGATAGATGAAATAAAATGAGTAAGAAAATTGGGAAGATTGTTTTTATAGTTTATTTCAAATTGAAATATAAAATATTTCATTCCTTCTACAACAGCAATAATCCATTCCTCATTTTATAAAATTTTTAAAAAATTGGAGAAGCCATTATTTATGGATACTCTGTTATTAGCTTTATCGTATAATCTTATCATTATATCATTATCAATTCTCTTTCGAGCTACGAAACAATGGCATAATTCTGATTCAACTTTTCCTAATTTTTTTGTTGTATAAAAAATTAATTGAAATTAGCATATTTACTTATTGGTTTAATCAAATAGCTTCATTACTTAATACATTTTCC